AGGTGGGGCTGGGGGTGTAGCTCAGTGGTAGAGCAGTGTTTGCCTACATGAACTAGGCCTGGGTTCTGTCCCCAGCACTGAAAACCAAAAAAAAAAAAACTTCCAGAGGTAAAGGGATACATTTGGACACTTGGGAGAAAGAAAGACATCATAGCCAGCAGGAACAGCCAGTGCGAATGCTCTCGGGAGGAGTGATTTCAGCGAATTCAAAAAGCAGCAACTACTGGGGACATGGCTCAAGAGGTACAGAGAGCACCTGCTGAGCAAGCAAGAGGGCCAGAGTTCAAACCCCAGCACTACAAATACAAAACAAATCCAAGAGCAACAAAGCTAGGGTGGCTCGAGCAGGGTGATGAGAAGAGGCAAAATAAGATCAGCGGGGCAACAGTGGGTCTAATCATGTGTCATTGTGGGCCAGCGGTAGTGGACACTGGCTGAGCATTCATCCAAAGTGTCCCTTGTTCTTGGACACACAACTGGACTACATTCCCCAGCGGTCCTTGCGGCTGGGTATAGTCACGTGACTGGACTCTAGCCAGTGAAACCACAGCAAGAGAGAACGTGGGGTGGGCACTGATCGCTGAATGTCTGGAAATTAAAGATCCTAGTTCAAATCCCCACCAAAAGCTGGCGTTGTCGCTCAAGTGCTAGGCTCTGGGCTCAAAACCAACTAACTAACTAACTAAATAATCCCCAAGTGCACCTGGGCTGCCCATACAATGTGACGATAATCCCTCTCTTACAAATCTAGATGATTAAATAAAAATGTTCCCTTGCAAAATCTTGAAATCCTTAACCTAAGTGCATCCTGAGGCCTCTGAGGGGACTGTGTTGGGGGATTGTGGTGACCCAGGACAGGGTCAGACTGGTGTCCTCTGTCGAAACCTCCTGGTCTGATGGTGGAGGCCAACAGGTGCTAGCCCTAAGTGACAAGCTAGGAGGTGATGCAGGTCCCATTGGCCGGGCTGTGTTGGGACTGCTGGGGACAAAAGAGCGAAGCTGAAAAGAGCCTGGGGTGCACTGGGGGAAATCGGCTGGGAAAGCAGGCCCACACCATCCCCTAGTGACCATGTGGGAATTTGCAGGCCAAGCCCTGCAAATGACTTAAGTAGGAAGTTACCACCAAGTGAAGTGATCTGAGGGTCCCAGACTGAGAGTTCCAGTTGCCGAATCAGAGAGGTGGTGCGGTGAAGGTTATCATAGAGACACTGTCTGTCTATTCTGTCTCAGAGGAGCCCCGAAAGCTAGGGGTGCTCCAAGCACATCTTATCTGTCATTTATTGAGTGATCAAGTGATCACTATGTTTCAGGAACTGTCCTAGGTTGCTAGAGACAAGGCCAGGAAAAAAAGTTGCAGCTGGGTACAGTGGCTCATGCCTGTAATCCCAGCTACCCAGGAAGTGTAGACAGGAGAATGGTGAGTTCGAGGCCAACCTGGGCAAAGTTATGGAGACCTTATTTCAATAAAATAAAATAAAAGGAGGTATAATTCAAGTGTAGAGAATTTTCTTGGCATGCATGAGGCATAGGTTCGATTCCCTGGTACTGCAGATGCTGAACAGCCTGCCCTCCTCAGAACTGGATTCTAACAGGGGAAGAAATCTAATAAGTAAATTACAACGTTGCAGGCTGAATCATGGCTCCTAAACTGTATCCTCATCTTCATCCCTGGGATAGGGAATGTTACCTTCTATTACAATGGTTATTTTTTCTTTTCTTTTCTTTTCAACAAAAGAGGCTGGCAGATAAGGATAAGTGATGGATTTTTGAGATGCAGAGGTGATATGACCCAGACATCAGTGGCTCACGCCTATAATCCTAGCTACTTGGAAGGCTGAGATCAGGAGGATCACGGTTGGAGACCAGCTCGGGCAAATAAATGCATGAGACCCCCATCTCCAAAATAACCAGAGCAGCTGGTGGAGTGGCTCAAGTGGTAGAGTGCCTGCCTAGCAAGCATGAAACCCTGAGTTCAAACCCCAGTACTGCCCCAAAACAATAAAATAACCAGAGCAATATAGACAGGAGGGGTGGCTCAAGTGGTAGAGCACCTGCTTTGGAAGTGTGAAGCACTGAGTTCAAACCCCAGTCCCACCTAAACAAATATAATCTATAGAGGACTAAAGGGAAGATACTACACTGCTGACTTTTAAGAGAGTGGAAGGGGCTTCACACCAAGGAATGTGAGTGGAAAAGGTGAGGAAACCAGTTCTTCCCTTTCTTATAATCTCCCCCGCCCCTCCTCCTCCTCCCTCCCTCCCTCCCTGCCTCTTTCACACAAGATCTTGATATATAGTCTAGACTGGCCTCAAACTTTTGATCCTTCTGCCTCTGCCTCCCAGGTGCTGGGATTACAGCTGTGCACTGGCCTGACTGCATTGTGTTTTTTTGTTCCTTGTTTTTCTTTTCTCATATCCCAGAGATGTCCCTTTTATTACAGGGAACATACAAAGCCCATTCCTCCCAGGGAAAAGTCCTTCCCCCCTCCCCCAGGTGACAAATGCACCTCTACCATGGTTTTCAGCTTCCTCTTCTACTTGTACTTCCATGGTGGTTAAACCATTGGTAGAGAGCTGATTCCAGTGAATGTTGTGCAGTCATCAACAAACATTCTATTTCCAACCATTTTTCTTCACTCCTCTTCCAGCCTCATATGGAGCCTCCGATCAGTGTGTGTGCATGTGTGCCTGTGGGTGGTACTGGGGTTTGAACTCATAGCTTTGAACTTGCTAGGCTGGTACTCTGCCACTTGAGCTACACTCCCCACTAAGGTAACATTTAACACAAGATTGGAAGGAGGAGGAGGGAGGAAGGTTTTCTGGAGAGAAAACACTCAGGAAGAACAGCCAGTGTGCCAAGGTCCTGAGGCAGGAGCACATGAGCAGTGTTTGAGGATCATGGAGGCCAGTGTGGCCACAGCAGAGTGAGGGATGTTACAGGGGAAGAGGTGAAGCAGATTGTACATGGCTTTTCAATTCTGAGATGCCAACAGGGCCCCCATTCATCCGTTTATTCATTAATTCATTTATCTATTTATTCAATTTGTTGTGGTCCTGGGGATGGAGCCCAGAGCCTCTCCCATGCTGGGCAAGCTCTCTACCACTTGAGATGTCCCCTTTGGTTTTTTTTTTTTTTCTTCCCATATTGGGGCTTGAACTCAGGGCCTACACCAGGAGCCACTCCACCAGCCCTTTTTTGTATTGGGTTTTTTTTTTCCTGAGATAGGGTCTCACGAACAATTTCCCTGGGGCTGGCTTCGAACTTAGAGTCTCCTGATCTCTGCCTCCTGAGTAGCTAGGATTACAGACATGGGCCACTGGTGCCGTACCCGGCTGTATTTTGTTTATGAGACAGAGTCTCGCTAACTTTGACTGGGCTGGCCTCGAACTCTTCCTCCTACCTCCATCTTCTGAGTACCTGGGATTACAGGCGTGTAACACCACACCCAGCTGGACTTCCAGTCTTTAGATCCTACCCTTTTCCTCTATTTCCCTCCCTCCTCTCACATCTTCTCCTTCCTTTTTTTTTTTTTTCATTTTTCTTTTATTATTCATATGTGCATACAAGGATTGGTTCATTTCTCCCCCCTGCCCCCACCCCCTATCTTCTCCTTCCTTACCCAGCACAGATGATATAATCAGTCACCAGAATCGTGTCTTACACACAAAGACTTTTTTCCCCCATCATCACATGAACTCTGTGACACCCCACGGCTGGCCCACCCCGCTGAGCAAGCCCAGTGGAGTCACTTGAGATGATTAACCGCAAACTGCCAGCACCCACTCAGAGCTAACTAGCACAGCTTCCTCAGGTCTCTTCTCCATCGTCTAGGTCGCGGCTCACTTCCTCTCTCCCAGCCTCCGACACCCTCCCACTCCACGCCCTCACTTCTTCCTTTGCTGAAGAAAACCACAAGCAATCTGAAGGAAAGCTCTTATTACAGGGTGGACACTGACTCTCTGCAAAAGTCCACTTCCAGCTGGGTGTGGTGGCTCACACCTGTAATCCCAGCTGCTTTGGAGGCTAAAATTAGGAAGATCGAGGTTCAAGGCCATCCTGGGAAAATAGTTCAAGAGACACCCCCCACCATCTCCAAACTAACCAGAGTAACATGGACTGGAGATGTGGCTCAAGTGGTAGAGTGCCTGCTTTGCAAGTGTTCAAACCCCAGTCCCAGGGGAAAAAAGAAAAAGTCCGCCTACATCAACCGCTGGCCTCCCATGACCTCAAGGGGGAAGTCTGTACCAGGTGCTCTCCCTGTAGGCACTGAAACCCTTTTCTTCTCCCAGTTCACAATTCTCCCTCCCGAGCCCCTACCCCACCTACTGCATTATCATTTGTGTAGAGAACCCCTTCTCTTTCCAAATACTCTTTGCAGTAACAGTGGGGTGAAGGCTGGTGTGTGTGTATTTGTGTGTGCACAATTTTCAAATGAAACAGTAAGAGTCCAGGGTGGGTCCTAGCCAAGCACAGTGGCGCACTCCTTGAATCCCAACTACTCAGGAGGCTGAGGCAGGAGAATCACTTTGAGTCCAGGTGTTCAAGGCCACTCTGGGCTACATGGTGAGACCCTGTCTTATGAAAATACAAAACCAAAAAACACACCAAGCAAACAACACTCGGAAGACTCTGAGTCCTAAGACACAGGCACCGTCCCTAGGACACAGGAGAGCAGGAGCTGAATGTGACTTTCTCTCCCCTCCCTCTTTTCTTTCCTTTGCAGTGCTCAGGATTGAACATGGGGGTCTCAGCTTAGGCAAGCCCTTGTACCTGTGAGCCAAGACCCCAGTCTTTATGCTTTTAGTTTGGCTTTTCTGCTTTTTTCTAGATAGGGTCTTGCACCAAATTGACCAGCCTGGAACTCCCATCCTCCTGCCACCACACCCATCCAGTCCCTCCCTCTTGCCCAAGAACACATTGTGGTTAGTCTCAGAAAAGTGAAGTGAAAGTTAAAAGTAAAAAGAGGTAGAGACTTTGGCACAGACTAATGGAGGGGGGCCTTCACACCCAACAAGGGATGGGCCACAGTTAAGGAGACCCTACCCCTCCCCTACCCAAGGTGGCAGTGAGCAGCCAGGAAACGGAAATATTTCTGGCAACCCTAAGAACTTCTCAGAGTCTCCCTATGTCACCTTCTCAGAGACTCCACCTCTAAAACCTGGTTGTAGGGTATCAATAGGGCGGAGTCTCAGAGGGAAAAAAAGGAGCCAAAGAATGCTTGGGTTCACTCCCAGTTCTTCAGAGATGTCTCCGCTGCCGCTGCTGGGCCTGCTGTTTCTAATGCTGCCTAATTCAGATCCTGTGTGGGCCAAGCTGATCCGGTATGGACACCCCACTCATAACCCCATCACCCCAAACCTGAGGACTCACTGCCTTCTGCCTTTAAGACTAAGATTCCAGATTTGGTACCCCCCGAATCTGTGAATCCTCTTTCTTGGGTCCCCAGATCTCGAAGCTGGGCCTCACCCTAGAGAGTTCAAGACTCCCTACTCCCCTACTCCTAGGGGGGCAAACCAGGTCCTTGCTCTTGCTAGCCAAGAGTTCTACCACTTGAACCACACCCCAGACCTTTTTGCTTTTATATTTATAAATAAGTTCTCCTGTTTTGCCAGGGTGGGCCTTGGACTTTACCTCGATCCTCCTACCTCCATCTTTCAGTATAGCTGGGTTTACAGATTTACATCACTATGCCTGCCTTGTTTTTTTGAGATAGGGTCTTGTTAACCTTTTTTTTTTTTAACTTTCTTGGGTTGGTTTCCAACCTCCATCTTCTTATTTCCATATACCTTGGGATTACAGGCAAGGGGCACCATGCCTGCCTGACTCTGCTTATTTAAGACCAACATTCCTGCAAGTTCAAGGCCAGCTTGGGCTACATAACAAGACCCTATCTCACAAACAAACAAAATGACTGGACTAGGAATGGCGGTCCAACTCTGTAGTCTGAGCAAAGAATAAAGGAAACCCTACCTCAAAAACAAGCTGGTGTGGTAGAACACATGTAATCCTAGCTATTTATCAGGGAAAAAATGTGAACCCTATCTGAAAAATACTAAAAGCAAAAGGGGAGGGCTGGAGACATGGCTCAAGTGGTACAATGGGCAAGGAGGAGGTCACAAGTCCAAATCTCGGTACTGTAAAAACAAGAAAAAATCAGGACTCTTATTAAGTCTCTGGGGAGATTGTGCTCAAGGTATTTTGGCAGCATTTCTTGGGAGCTTGTTTTTGTGGCTTCCTGGTAAGCACTGGCCCTGGAAATACTCAGTTGCCATCATGTCTTATTTGGGGACATGCACTATAGAGGGTCCCTAGCAAGAGTGGGTTGCTCACTCTCAGCATCGTCTTTCCCACCAGGGTCCCCCTTCACCGAGTGCACCCTAGACACAGGACCCTGAACCCACTGAGGGCATGGGGACAGCCAGCACAGCCCCCTAGGCTGGGGAGCCTAACCCCGGGGAACAAGACCGGCTTTGTGCCTCTGTCCAACTACATGAATGTGAGTCACAGCCCCCACTCCCCCCAACCTGCGTCCTCAAGCCAAACTCTCGTCATCCATCCAGCGTCCTCTTGTGCCACCAGGCCCAGTATTTTGGGGAAATCGGGCTGGGAACACCTCCACAAAACTTCTCTGTTGTCTTTGACACCGGATCCTCCAATCTCTGGGTCCCTTCCACAAGATGCTCCTACCTCAGTCTGCCCTGCTGTGAGTTTCTGTGGGGGGATATGGCTGGACTGGGTGACGGGAGGGGTGGAGGGCTGGGCTGAGCTCGGTGAAGCGCCATTTTCTTCTGAAGCCCTCACAGGTGAGGTGAGAAGGTCCAAGGGGTAGGATCCTGGGAGCCTCCCGTGCCCCTGTGACACTTGTCTGATGTGACTTAGGGCTCCACCGCCGATTTGATGCCAAGGCCTCCAGCTCCTTCAAGCCCAATGGAACCAAGTTTGCCATTCAATATGGAACTGGACAGCTGGAAGGAATCCTGAGTGAGGACAAGCTGACTGTGCGTGACCTTCAGCCACAGGAGGCCTGAACTTAGGGGAACTCAGTGTCTAAAACCGTGCGGTTCAGGGACAGGGGAAAAGTCAGGGCCTCTTGAGTAAAGAGGAGAGACTCCCCCAGAAGGGCCAGAGCTTCCGGGTTGAAAGGGCGAGCTAAACAGGAAGAGGCAGTGTTTCCTGGGGAAGGGGCGGGGCTTTTCAGGAAAAGGCAGACCTTCCGGGGGAAGGGGCGGGGCTTCTCCGGAAGACACGGAATTTAGTGTGGAAGGGGCGGGGCTTCTCAGGAAATGGCAGAGCTTCCCGTTAAGGGGGCTCCTGGAACAGAAGACAGTTTTCCTACGTAGCTAGGACGTGTCCCAGATGTTCCCAGACCTGTGTTTCATGCCTTGGTTGGGGGGAGAGTTCAGGGATAGGAGAGTAACTGGTCCCATCTCAATCTACCCCATAGATTGGAGGAATCACAGGTGCAAGGGTGACTTTTGGGGAGTCTGTGTGGGAGCCCAGCTTGGTCTTCGCATTTTCCTTCTTCGACGGAATATTGGGCCTCGGTTTCCCCATTCTGGCCGTGGAAGGAGTTAAGCCGCCGCTGGATGCACTGGTGGAGCAGGGGCTGCTGGAAAAGCCCGTCTTCTCCATTTACCTCAACAGGTATTGGGGAGGGTCTCCACACCCATGAGTCTCAGCCCCAGGAAGGAAGCTTTGCCTCACTTTCAGGAAGTCATCCACCCAACAGGGAAGTCCCACAGGAAGTCAGCCATGTCCTCTTCATTCAGGAAGTCATCCTGGAGGCTTCAGTCTCCATCGAGGAAAGCACATACCCAAAATATCAACGCCTGATCTCATTCAGATGCCCCATAGCCTAAGTGACTACTTAGACATACCAAAGGTACTCCCCTTCGGGTCACACTGCTCCAGGACTCAGAATCAAACCGGAAATCCTGTGCCCCACCCAAGCATAACCACTTCTCACTGTGAGGAGGGGAGATCATTCCCCAGAAAATATTGGATTTAATCCAGGCAGTCCCACCCACATTTTTTTTTTTTCCTTTGTGGTACTGAGGATTGAACCCAGGGCCAGGCTGTCTAGGCAAGCACTCTAGCACTTAGCTATGCTCCTAGCCCTTTTGTTTGTATTTTGTTTTGCAACAGCATCTTAATAACTTTGCCAGGTCTGGCATCAGACTTGAGATCCTCCTACATCTGCTTCCTACATAGCTGAGATTATAGGCATGCACTACTGTGCTGACCTCCTACCCACCTTTTTGTGTAAGTTTAACTGTATGCTTAGAAAGTCATATTCACCATTCAAGAACTCTCAACCCTCCCCACCAGAGGCCCATCACCCACAGTCCTAAAATTCTGTGCCAAGGTCAGGCACAGTGACTCATGCCTGTAATCCCACCCACTTGGGAGGCAAAGGTAGGAGGATCTCCATCCAAGGCCAACCCCCAAAGCAGGAGACCCTCTGTGAAAAATAAGCTAAATAAAAAGATCTAGGGGGCATGCCTCAAGTGGGAGAGAGCTTGCCTGGCATGGGTGATTACTATCTCCAGCACTGCCTGAAACCCTACTTGGTTACTATGAGGTGCAACTCGGGAAATTTTCCCATTCCTAAAAGTTCTACTTTTCACAAATAAGGAAATCTCATCTCCACTTCAGGATGGACAAAACACTGTTTCCCTTGCCTTGCTTCCAGTCATAACACCCAGGCCCTGCCCACATCACCCTTCTCCATCTAGAACCCAGAAAGGACCCACTTGGCATGGCACCCTATCCCTGGTCACTCCTGGGGCTGCAAGGGGAACTGTGCATGAACCCCACTACAATGTACCTCTGCAGGGATCCTGAAGGTGCTGAAGGAGGAGAGCTGGTCCTGGGGGGCTCAGACCCCGCCCACTACATCCCACCCCTCACCTTCATGCCAGTCACTATCCCCGCCTACTGGCAGATCCACATGGAGCGGTGAGGACACAGATCCCTGGGTCTGGAGCTGGGGGCTGGGCGCCTGGACTCCTAGGACCCTGCCTCTAACCTCTGCCCACTCCCCCCTCAGTGTGAAGGTGGGCACAGGGCTGACTCTCTGTGCCCAGGGATGTGCTGTCATCCTGGACACAGGCACGTCCCTCATCACAGGACCCACTGAGGAGATCAAGGCCTTGCATGCAGCCATTGGGGGTTTCCCCTTGCTGTTTGGGGAGGTAAGGACCCAGCTGTGGTGGGCATGGGCTGGGATGACTGATGGGAGCTTGGTGGCAGACACTGGAGAGGATGTTGGGGCCACAGGAGAGAAGCAGGTAGCTAGCAGGTCTCTGAGAGCAGAAGGGTAGAAGGGTGTGGACCACAGAATGGTGGGCCTCGGGACTGAGGGACCGAGTGAGGACACTTCCCAGGTGTCTGTTCTGAGTGACTCAGGGGAGTAGATGGGAGAGGTTTGATTAAGAATGCTCAATCATTAAGGACTGAGTGACAGGAGCCTATGTAACAAAGCCTGTCCACATATGGCCCCAATACCTAGCTGCCCTGATATACACTTTACCCTATGGCACTGAGGAACCACAGAAGGGACTTGAGCAGTGCAGGAACCTTCACTTCTTCCTCTTCTGCCTCATTCACTAGTACTTCATTCACTGCTCCAAGTTACCAACACTTCCTCTGGTCTCCATCCTCCTTGGGGAAGTCTGGTTTAACCTCACGGCCCAAGACTATGTCATCCAGGTAAGTGACCATCCAAATGACCCTTACAATGGGTTTAGAGTAACGTGTGCCTGGGTAAAAGGACTACAGAAACTGTTTTTGTTGCTGTTTTTTGAAGCAAAATCCAGGCTGGCCTGGAACTCAAATGTTTTTGCGGTACTTGGGCTCCAACCCCGGTTCGCACGTGCTAGACAAACGATCACCACCAGGGCCACTCCCCCGTCTGCATTTCATTCTTTATTTCTCTCTCACTTTGCGCCCACATTGGCCTTTAGTCTCAATCCTCCCGATTTAGCTCCCTAATTCCCCAGCTGTTGAGATTAAGTTCGGACGTCACCACGCCCGGCCTAAAAACATTTGTTCTCTCTTCTTCCTTGGAGCCAGTCCCAAGGAAGAGGAGGGTGCGGAAGGGGTGACACCCAGTGTCACTGAGTGGTTCTGTCTTGTTGCCTTGCAGATTTCCCAGGGTGGTTTCCGACTCTGCTTGTCAGGGTTCCGGGCCTTGGACGTGCCTCCTCCTGCAGGACCCCTCTGGATCCTCGGCGATGTCTTCCTGAGGTCCTACGTGGCGGTCTTCGACCGCGGAGACAGCAGCACTGGCGCCCGCGTGGGCCTCGCGCGCGCGCGCGCTCGGGGGACGGGGCGTCGAGGGGCGGGGTTGCGCGTGCGCAGTTCTCTGGCGAAGGTTCCGGTTCAGCGCATGCGTACCAGGCACCGCGGAGGCCCTGATTCCCAATAAAAAAATCCAGCGCTTCCATTGGAAAAACCTACCTGGATTACCTCTTTTAATCGCGCGTCTTTTGGAGGGTAAAAGTAGAGCTTGGACCTTTGGAGCTGAGGACGAGAGAAAGGGGAAGCGCATCGCCTCTCCCCGTAGTACTCGCGAATGATGGATCCATATTACAAATCCCATGAAGCCTCGGTCCCACCCTGTCCCTAGTCGAAGGCGCCCGCACCGCGGGGCATCTCGATGTTGTAGTCCATGGTACTGGCGGGAACAGCCGGAACAAGTGTGGGAGGCAACAGGTCGCTACGGCAGCGATAGGTGGCAATGTGTGTGTGTGCGGGGGGAGGGAGTTCCTAAAGGGTTTCCTAATCTTTGTTCTAAGGAGAGGGAATTCCACTACTGCGGACCTCATCTGTTTCCGTTTTCCTGTTGGGATTCCAGCACTCTTGGTTCCGCCATAAAGGCGGAGCTTCCCTGCCTTCGGCGCGGACGTCACTCACCCCTCTGGAATCTCAGGCTGAGAAAACGTTGATGAGGATGAGCAAGGTTTACCATGACCAGCCCACCTTTTGGCATGGGAGAACTCGAAAAATTGTGTTCATGAAAATGGGGTTCATGACTCCACCTGCAGCGGGAAAGAGGCTGATACTGCATTGCTGATCCCCAGTTCGTGTCCTGGTGAAAACGCCGGACCAGGAGTTAAGAGTAAAGCAAGAACAAAGTTTAGTGAAAGGACAGCAGAGCTCCCTAGTGCAGCCCCTCTCCTAGCTGGAGTCTAGGAGATGATACAGACTCTGCTGACTGAGGTCCTCCTGTCCTACCTTGAAACTACGTTTGTGATTGCATGTCATCTACTTGACTCCCTGCTGAACCCGACCACCTGGTCACCCCCATCTTCATCGAACTGGACACCCCAGGAGCATCTGCTCAGCTCATCCTGGCCTCGAGGCCCCCCACTCACACTGCATAGCGACCTTTTCCATCTTGGTGAGACATTGGCTGTTACTTTTCTGGGAAGCCTGCTTCTCATGTCTTCCTGAGATGTTTCTTTTAAGGATGCCTTCCTGTTTCTCTTCTGTAAAACAAAGTCACTTCTGTTATTTGCTCCCCTCACAAGGCCACAGTCAGCCCCCTTGGTTGGAACCTGTCTCACATCCTGGTCCCTGGTGCTGCCCAGTTGGGTGAGGGAAACAGCCGTGATGATAGCTTTCTTATCCCTGTCCACCTCCGCATCCCCGTGCCTGCAGGAGGGCCTGGCACGCAGGTGTGCCACAAACCCTGCCTACAGGATGGAACAAGGACCGAGGACGTGTGCGCCCCGTGTCTCTCACCGTCCTCCACTCTACGTCCTGTGCATGGCCGGCAGTTTCTGGTGTCCCGAGTCTCTGACCTCCCCCTTTACGGAGGAAGAGGTTCCATTGTGCCTATCCCCAGGTGGCTCCCACTGCTTTGGGGGTCAAGCTGAGACTCATTTCTGAGACCGACCCATTCCCTCACTCATTCATCAAACACTACTGAGCATGAACTGCATGCCAGGCCCTGGGGTGAGCAGGTGACAAGACAAAGCCCCTGCTCTTGTAGGACTTTGGGGTGTGGGGACGAAAGACAAACATCAGTAAATACCCAGCCTGTGAGACTGTGAGATTTACAGGTAATGCACGGAAGGGCCTCGGAACCACCGAGAATCACAGTGCACTTTATACACTTTACAGGCAGGAGGCCTCACTTAGGTCCCTTATTTGAGCAAAGGTGAAGGAGGGGCTGGGGCGTCACTCAAGTGTTACAAGGAAGACATGACGTCAGGGAGGGAATGGAGCCATACTGTGTGGGGCCTTTGAATTCTCAGAGGCCAGTGAAGCCTCAGGATGGAACCTCCTCCATGCTACTCAAGCGCTCTATCCCTTGAGTCACACCCCCGAGGGTTGTATTTGTGTTTATTTTATTTTTGACATAGAGTCTCGCTATCTTTGCCTGAGCTTACCTTGAACTTGCTATCCTCTTGCCTCAGTCTCGATTACAGGTATGCACCACCATATTGCTCAAATTCAATATTTGAGACTCCTCCAAGCCTCCCTGAGCACCCTTCTCTTACAAGCTGTGGGCGCCACCTACTGCTTCAGAAAGAGGTAAATGGTGGGATCATTTACCCAGACAGGGGCGGGACTAAGAACACAAAGTGGCCTGGGACTGGTGGAAATACCAATGATTGATGTGGAGGGATGGGGCCAATACGGTGGGGGCGTTGCCAGTCTTGATTGACAGGCGGTGGCACCAGTGATCTTGCCATATAACAGACGAGGCAAAAAGGGGTGTGACCTTAGCAGTGATTGACAGAGATTGCCAGGGGCCAATGTAGAAAAGGAGTCACACGGGGTGGATCTGGGACCATAGCTGACAGCTATGACGTGGACCTAGCAGCATGGCCGACAGAGGTTCTACCGTTGCCTTCTGAGGGCAGGGGCTGTTGTAGAAAGTTAATTGCCCTCAGAGAGCTGCTGACGTCCTTCATGTCGCTCTAGGTCCTCCTAACAGAAGAGCTTCCTGGTCACCCTCATGTTTTATCGTGACACGGAAGTGTTCAACTGGAGAGGTGTCCACAGTAATGTTTAAGATACCCGCAAGTCCTACAGGAAGCAAAAAATAATTGAAATAATTCTTTCACAAAGGAAAAACATTTTTCTATATGACCAAAACAACCATATACGCCACAAAGAACGAAGTAACAAACTGTGACAAACCTTTGCAACACATTGATCAGAGTTAATGACCCAAGTTCTGTTGTCAGATCCGATCCCTCCTCTGATCTCCAAACCCATGTATCTAAGAGCTGACAAGAGTTGTGAACAAATAAAAGGCATTTGAACTCAACACATCGAAAGTGAACTAGGGCTGAGCTGTATGACCATCAGAAAAACAGGAAAATGAGAGCACAGAGCTGGGCATGGTTTCTCACCCCTGTAATCCCAGCTATTTAGGAGGCTAAAGGAGGAGGCCAGCCTAGGCTATGTAGTAAAATCCTGTCTCAAAAACAAAAACCAGGAATGGGGTGTAGCTTTTATAGAGCACTCGCCTAGCATTCTCGAGACCCTGGGTTCAAACCCCAGTACCACAAAAAGCAAAACAACCCCAAATCCCCAGTAGTGAGGATTATTGGAGCTTAGTGATACAGAGAAGGATGGCATTCCCTTTGGTCTTTGGTCATTCTTGGGGAAGTGGCCACCATGTTGTGGGGATGTTCTAGCAGCCCCTGGAGACTTCTGTGCCCATTCATCTGCGATGTGCAGGAACCATCTTGAAAGAGCTTCCTCCGGCTTTGGTTAAGTCTTTGGACGGTGCTAGCCTCAATTCTCATCTGTCGCACCTCTTGAGCCACAACTGGCAGAGCTGCCTTCAAATTCCCTACACAGACAGACCATGAAAGATCACACATGGTTATTACTCTGGTTTTTGTTGTTGGAGCTTTTTGTTTGTTTTGTTTTTGTCAAGACAGGGTGTCACTGTGTAGCCCAGGCTGGCCTCGAACTCATGATTCTCCTGCCTCAGCCTCCCATGAGCTGGGATTACAGCTGTATCACCACACCTGGTGGCCATTGTTGTTAATACACTTGATTTGACTGCAACTTGTTACACAGAATTAGTTTAACGCATGCTCTGAAACACTTTCCTATGGGAAATAGCACTTATGTCATTGTAATGATGTTAACATTGAATTTTCTCCAGGCACTTATCTTCCCTCCTTCCCTTCTTCCCTCCCTTCCTCTCTCCCCCTCCATCCCTCCCTTCCTTCTTTCCTTCTCTCCTCTCTTTCTAGTCCCCCCCTTTCCCCTCCCCCCCTTTTTCTTTCCTTTGGAACTGGGGATTAAACTCAGGGTTTCACACTTGCTAGGCAGGCACTCTAGCACTTGAGCCACTCCCCCAGCCCTTCTTGCTTTAGTTGTTTTTCATGTAGGGTCTTGTGTTTTTTGCCTGCGTCAGCCTGGACAGAGATCCTCCTATTTATGCTTCCTGCATAGCTGGGATGACAAGCACACACTGCCATGCCATCTCTTTTTATTACTTTTATTTTTTGAGATGGACTCTTGTTAACTTTTTGCCCAGGCTGGCCTCAAACCATGATCCTTCTGATCTTTGCTTCTCAAGTTACTGGGATTATAGGCATGAGCCTCTGCTCCCAGCCTCTTTCTTCCTTTTAACTCTGAGTTCAAATTTGCCTAAAGTAAAATGCAAAACCTTAGCCAGAAGCCAGTGGCTCACGCCTGTAATCCCAGCTTCTCAGGAGGCAGAGATCAAGAGAATCGAGGTTTGAAGCCAGCCCTGGCCAATTAATTCCGAGAAACCCTATCTCGAAAGTACCTAACATAAAAAAGGACTGATGGAGTGGCTCAAGATGGACCCTGAGTTCAAGCCCTAGTACCACAAAAAGAAAAAAAAAAAGCAAAACCTTCATGTACAGGTTAATGAATTTCTACTTATGCATCCCCCACATAACTGCGCTCAGGTCAAGGTATGGAATATCCAACACCTCTGAAGGCTCCTGTGGCTCACTCCCAGTTGATAGGCTTCCCAAAGGTCACCTGTACCTCTATTCCAGCTGCCATAACTATAAATTCATTTCTCCTGTTTTTTTTTTTGTTTTTTTTTTTTTTTTTGCAGTACTGGGGTTTGAACTCAGGGCCTACACCTTGAGCCATGCCACCAGCCCTTTTTTAGGTTGGGTTTTTTTGAGATAGGGTCTCAAGAACTATTTGCCTGGTCAATCCCCCTGATCTCTACCTCCTAAGTAACTAGGATTACAGACATGAGCCATGGTGCCTGGACTTTTTACCTATTTGTTGTTGTTTTTGCAATACTGGGGCTTGAATTTAGGGCCTTCACCTTGATCCACTCCACTAGCCCTATTTTTGGGTTTTTCTTTTTTTTTTTTGAGATAGGGTCTCACAAACCATTTGCCTGGGCTGGTCTCAAACCTCAATCCTCCTGATCTCTACCTCCTGAGTAGCTACGATTACAGGTGTGAGCCATGGTGCCCAGCCCTTCTGCCTGTTTTTGAGCTTAATATCAATGCAGTGTTTTTGTTTTTATTTTGTTTTGTTTTCCACTTTTGGCCTGCAGGTGTCTCTGTGATACTGAATATGCGTTCCAGTATCTGAAAGCAGATTGTTTCAGGGGCCTGTTGTCTGGACCCCACCTCCCAGTCATCCAGACCACACCAAGACCCAGAGTCCTGCACAGGGAGTGAGACCTGGCAAAGCTGGTCTCAGGACAGCAAAGCCTGTCCTACGTGGGCTGAGTGGGCAGTAGTTCTCCACACCAGCTTAAAAGTGGAGGGGAGACCCGCAGCCAAGACCAAAGGTAGCCAGCATGGGCAAGGGGGTAAAGTGGGCTCCAGCCCAGGTGCCACCCCAGCAGGGACCAACCTTATTAGGGAGATGGACAAGACCTCCCAAAGGCTGAGACCAGGTCTCATACCCTTCTCTGCAGAGGTGCTGGCGGCCTTGGGCCAGCAGTGGCTCAATCCCGTCAGCGGAGTACTTGACTCTAGACCATGTCACACAGGGAGAGCCTGCTCCTCCCACAGCCCACATCAATTCACACCCACAATGCACCCCCCAGAGCTGAATCTGGTATTCTCGCCCCCTTGTGGCCAGGTTCTAAAATGCACCACCAGCTAGAATGCAGAGATCCCCTTGGTAGGTACGGCTGGCGGACACCTGGCCAGAGCTCATGTGTGCCCTTTCCCTTGTCATTCTGTGAGCATCCTGCACAGTGTTATCTGATTGACCAGTTCACTCCTTCCTGTTCCTCTGCAGAGTACCAGTGAGTGAACATGACCACAGTACACTTCTCTCTTCCCATCTGCATGGATACAGGTTTCTATTTTGTTTCCAGTTTGGGGTTATTATAAACACTGCTAGAACAATTTTCTACCTCTTTTGGTGACATGAATGATAAGGACTCAGCAGGGAGTTAGGAAACCTGGTGGCTGATGACCATGGCCTGCTGATGTTTATAGAACGGCTATAACAATACATCAGGGTGTTGCTGATAAGCAGCCCCTGAAGACCCCTAAAAATAATACCCCACTCTGACCACCCAAGACCAAAAACTCCCTGGCCTGACATGTGGGAGAAACTGATGATATGTAGCCTAGTCTCAGAGTTAGTGACACACTTTCCAAGACTGGGAACTCCCATCTCTGCAGACCCCAATAAAAGCCCACCCTTCTGTAGAGGAAGTGAGGCAGGTCAGAGTTAGGGAAAATTTGGGAGTCAGAGAAAATATATGACTTGATATTGTATTTCAGATTGAGTCAGTTGTAGATGTGTGTGTAGGTTGCCCATGCCCTGGCCCTTGCCTGGCCTGGAAACCACCCAAGCCCCACCCCACTCATTGATTACTGGTTGGGAGTCCCCCATTCTTCCTTCCCATAGGTTAGCAGAAGTTTTTAAAGCACCTGGAGAAGAACAGCATGTTCTCTCTACTTCCAGATTCCACCTGGACCCACCATGCTTCCTTTTGTAATTCCCTTCCCTAACTTTTAATAAACTCCAACAACACATGTATGTCCTGCTATGGATTCTTCCAAGTAGGACACAAAGAATTTGGAAGTCTTGTGATCACAGACTGCACCATTGCTGTTAATGGTGCATCTTTGCTTTACATAAATAAACCTGCCCAACTCTCATACTGTCCCAGGAGCAGCAGCAGCACTCAGAAGTGCTCAGCTGCCCCTGCTTCTCTGCACCCTAATAAACCTCTTCCTTCTCCTGCATGCTTGTTGTGATAAATCCTTTTACCAACCTGCAGCACTGAAAAATCCCCCACCAGTATTTATTCATCTTGGGCATTTCCATTGCTAAGCCATGGTGCTGGGCCGGGGGTGGGGGAGGGCTGGCAGTGCCTATTTTCAACCACCTTAGTAGATTCTGGCATGTATTTTGCTCAGAGAGAATACAGAATTCAACACTCCCGCCAACAATGGATGTGCATTCTGGTTGCTCTACCTCCTAATCAACACTTGTCATTGTCAGTCTGCCTATTTCTTTCTACTTCCTTTGTAGGACAAATGGTCGCCAGGGCTTACAACTGAAAATGGAAGAGGGAAAGGAAAAGGATAGACCACCCCTCCTGGGACAGCACCACTACCCTCAGTCACTGCCCCTCCCCAAAGCTATCAGTCTTTTTAATGATCACCAACCATTCTGAGGAATATATCAAAGTGGTAACTGGGGCTTGAACTCAGGGCCTCACCCTTGCTAGGCAGGTGCTCTACCATTTGAGCCACTCTGCCAGTTCTCCCCCCATTTTAATTTTTTATGCATGTCTCTTTTGAGCTATAATATGTATTCAATATAGATCCATCCAATATTTTCTACTCATACTGAAGACAGTGGGCAGAGGGAAGAGTATGTCAGCAGTGTGGCATAAGCATGTTGGTGCCTCCCTACAGGCTTCTTGGGAGACTAAGGCAGGAGGATTGCTTGCACCCAGGAGTTTGAGACCAACCTGGTCAAGGATAAAACTCCACCTCAAAAAATAAAATAGAAAAAATAATAAGTGTGACATAGAGAGAAAAGAGAGTTTTCTATTTCCCATAGTGAGAAGACAAAGGATTATGTCTAAAACAGATAAAGAGGTAGTGATACCTGGTGAGGCATGGCAGCACACACGTGTAATCATGCTACTTGGGAAGCTGAGGCAGGCGGATCAAGAGTTGTAGGCCAGCCAAGGTTGCCTGGTAAGAAGACCCTGATGCAAAAAAAGTGAGAGAGAAGAGGGGGAGAGAGAGGAAGAAGAAGGGGAAAGAGGAGGAAAAGTGGGAGGAGAAGCGGGAGGGGGAAGGGGGGGAGGAGGAGGAGAAGGGGGAGGGGGAAGGGGAGGAGGAGGAGAAGGGGGAGGGGGAAGGGGAGGAGGAGGAGAAGGGGGAGGGGGAAGGGGAGGAGGAGAAGGAGAAGGGGGAGGGAGAAGGGGAGGAGGAGGAGGAGGGTCCTGGGACACAGGCAGATCCACTACCAGGAGGGTGGGTGTCTAATGTGACTTTCTCTCTCTTCACAATCCCCTGAGCATCCTTTCTTCTTACCCAAGAAAACATTTGTGGTTAAGAGTCTCTGAAAAGTGAAGTCTACATTAAAAGTAAAAGCAGTGGAGAGGGAAGAGGGGAGGGGCATCCTGCAGGTGAGGAGACCCTGCCCTCACCAGCCCCACCCAAGATGGGAATGAACAGCCAGGACACCAGCAAATACACTCAGCACCAATCTGCAAAAATATCCAACTCGTCCCCCTGTCACCTGCTCACACTCCACTTTCTGCTTACTTTAGAAACCCCGTGGCGGTGCATGGACAAGGCGGAGTCTCAGAGCAAAGAAAAGGGACTAGAGGTCGCCTGGGTTCATTCCTGGGTCCCCAGAGATGTCGCCCTTGCCACTGCTGTGCCTGCTACTGCTGACACTGTGGAGTACAGATCCCGTGCAGACCAAGCTGATCCGGTATGGGAACCCCGCCTGCCACCCCCAACCCTGAGGATTCTCTACCTCTTGCCCTTTAAGACTGGGACTCTCACTTCTGTGACTCCCAAACTCCCTTCTCCAGGATCCTTGACTCCTCTTTCTTGGGTCCTCAGGTCTTTAAACTGGGGTCTTACCCTTGAGAACAGAAATATTAAAGCTCCTCAGAGCTCAAGAGATGCTCCTTGCCCCCCAAAGGAAGGCTGGGAGTGGTCTTTCATGCCTGCAATCCCAGCACTCCGGAGATGGAGGCAGGCGGGTAGTGAGTTCAAGGCCAGCCAGGACAAAGTTAGGAAGAACCTGTTTTGAAGCCAGCCTGGGCAAATAGTTCTTGAGACCCTATCTCAAAAAGAAAAATTCACAAAAAAAGGCTGGTGGAGTGGCACAAGATGTAGGCCCTGAGTTCAAACCCCAGTACCAAAAAAAGAAAAAAAAAAAGAGGTAAAAACAAAAGGGCTGGGGTCGTAGCTCAAGTGGGAGGACACGGGCCTAACATGGGTGGGAACCTGGTTTACGGTTTCTTCTCAGTTCTAAAAAAAATAGCCCAGTTTTGGAAACCCGCCCCTTACTGCCTTGCCTTTGATACTTCCCTTCCTCTTCTTCCTCTTATTCACCTCCGCTGAGTAGAGGGCTCTCCAGGATGCCTTTTCCCCACTTCACTTTCTCTCACCTCTTAAGACTGAGTCACGAGGAGGGGAGGGCAAAGGTGTGAACGAGGGGCCCAGTGACATGGCAGGGACAATTTGCCACACAGGATGTTCATTAACCAGCTTTTTGAACCTAATATGACAGAGGCATTTTCCAGGTGCAAAGAGCTGTGAGTCTCCAAGGGTTGTCCCCAACTAAGGGCACTAGAGGACCCACAGCCTGGTTGGAAGTGATACACTCCATCCCGACTGACTCTGACTTAATAGGAAGTTAGGAGGTTTGAATTTTAACTGCCCTTGGGGTAGGGGCTGGCACGCACTCAGCTCAAGGGCCAACTCCAGCCAATCACCTATTTTTGCAGTAAAACTTAAGGATGCCCGTGGCCCATGGTGACTTTACTGCAATATTGACTGTTTCATTATAGAGACTGTGGGAACTGCCAGGCCTTTAAAGAAACATTTGTCCACCGGGCACGGGTGGCTCATGCCTGTAATCCTAGCTACTCAGGAGGCAGAGATCAGGAGGACCGCGGTTCAAAGCCAGCCCTAGGCAAATAGCTCTCAAGACCCTATTTTAAAAAACCCTTCACAAAAAAGGGCTGATGAAGTGGCTCAAGGTGTAGGTCTTGAGTTCAAACCCCAGTATCAGAAAAACAGGAAGGAAGGAAGGACAGAAGAAAAGAAAGAAAGAAAGAAAGAAGGAAGGAAGGAATAAAGAAAGAAAGTTTGTCCAACACCATGAGCTAAGCGGTTCTGCTTTGCACTAAAACTTTGAGAACCACTGGTCAAGTGGAGCTTTCTCCTTTCTCAGGGTTGAATGAGATTCTGTTCTGTGTGTACTCCGTAGCCAGGCCAAGCCCACTGGTGGCCACTGTCTGTCTCCACTTTCCAAAGTCAGACACACACTGGTGTCCACCTCTTCCTGTACTCACTGCCTGCAGATGCAACGCCTGGACTGGGATTCATTGCTTAAAATCCTTGGTGTCCAAGGATTTTTCTAGTTGTTCTTTTCTCCTTTACTTCCTGGGAGAGAGAGGTTCACTCACTCTCTCTCAATCTCTCTCTCTCTCTCTCTCTCTCTCTCTCTCTCTCTCTCTCTCTGGGTGGGACTCAAATTTGAACTCAGGGCTTCACACTTGCAAAGCAGGTGCTCTACCGCTTGAGCCACGCCTCCAGCCCATTTTGCTCTGATTATTTTGGAGATGGAATCTCACAGGCATGAGCGAGCCACTGCCTCCTGGTTTTCTCTCTCTTGCTTTGCAGATCAAGCTGGCCCCATCAGCCTCCTGAGTGCTGGGATTACAGATTTATGCCACCATGCTGGCTTTCAGTATCACTTTCTAATTAAAAATAAAATAAATATTGAATATTTACTTCAGACTTAATCCCTCCCTACCCCCCCCCTTTTTGGGAGGAGGGTACTACGGTTTTGAACTGAGGGCCTCAAGGTTGCTAGACAACACTCTACCACATAAGCCACACCCAAAACCTTTTTCACTTTTTTTTTTCATGGTACTAGGGGTTGAACTCAGAGCCTCAGGCTTGCTAGGCAGGTGCACTTACCTCTTGAACCATTCCACCAGCCCTTTTTGTGATGGGTTTTTTTGAGATAGGGTCTTGAGAATTATTTGCCTGGGCTGGCTTCAAACCTCCATTCTCCTGATTTCTGCCTCCTGAGTAGCTAGGATTACAGGCAGGAGCCATTGGTGCCTGGCTTTGATCGAATCTCTTAATGATTTATCTGAGAATCAATGAAAGAATTAGCCAATCACAGAACAGAAAAAAAAATGCTTAGTTGCATAGAGTGTGTATAGGGCATAACCCCATGGGAGAGGCAGGGCTTTGCCTAGGTAAAACCTTGGGTTCAATCCCTAGCTCTGAAAAGTGTAACACATCTGATACATATTTGCCAAATCATTCTCCAGAAAGTTTGTAGCCATCCACATCCCCAAATGGTAGTATTTTCAGTTCTCTGCCAATGTGCAGTGAAACAAGGTTGCTCAGTTCCTGTTATTTTTATTTCTTTGGTGACTAGCAGAGATAAACACCTTTCTTGTGTTTAGAAACTTTGTATCTCTTTTATAAATTGCCTGTTCATGTCCTCTCCCCATTTTCCTACAGAGAGCCAAGCCCTGTGACCTAAGCTTGCTACACTTTCTTGGCTGCTCAGAGAGACACAAGATCCCCAGGTCAGAGACAAAGGACAGGACATTGCTCCCAGCTATGTCAACATGAAGAATGGAAGCATTTTGTGTCAGTTTTCTGAGACACTATGTATCTTCCAAACAAAATCCTTGAAAAGACAGACAGTCTGGTTATTTTGGAGATGGGGGTCTCATGAACTATTTGCCAGGACTGGCCTTTAACCACCACCTTCCCAATTTCAACCTCTCAGGTAGCTAGGATTACAAGCGTGAGCCACTGGTGCCAGTCTCTCCTACATTTTTTTTGTCTTTTAATTTTATTTACAGCTTTGCGTGTGTGAAGAGTACAGAGATTTAAAATTTCAGTGTCACTTATTGATATTTCCCCTCGGTATTATGCTTAGGGAAGCCTTCTGCTTGCCACAGTTATTAAAAATGTCACTGGCTTCACATTAAATCTTTGATATATATAAGCAACAAATTTTGGTGTAAAGAGTGAAATTAAGATTTCGTACTTACATTTTACCCTAATAGTGGGGAGGAGAGTTCCCAACATCATAAATAAAGTGTAGAAGTTTTCAACACTGTAGAGTTTGTGCAAGGGCAAGACCTCATGGGAGGGTCTTGGAAACCCTCTGAGATCAGTTACAGAGGAATGGCTTAGTTGAAGGTCTGTAGGATGGTCTTTGGGAATGGTTTGTGATTGTTAGTCTCTGGGGAGACTGTGCTCAAGGTATTTTGGCAGCATTTCTTGGGAGCTTGTTTTTGTGGCTTCCTGGTAAGCACTGGCCCTGGAAATACTCAGTTGCCATCATGTCTTATTTGGGGACATGCACTATAGAGGGTCCCTAGCAAGAGTGGGTTGCTCACTCTCAGCATCGTCTTTCCCACCAGGGTCCCCCTTCGCCGAGTGCACCCTAGACACAGGACCCTGAACCCACTGAGGGCATGGGGACGGCCAGCACAGCCCCCTAGGCTGGGGAGCCTAACCCCGGGGAACAAGACCGGCTTTGTGCCTCTGTCCAACTACATGAATGTGAGTCACAGCCCCCACTCCCCCCAACCTGCGTCCTCAAGCCAAACTCTCGTCATCCATCCAGCGTCCTCTTGTGCCACCAGGCCCAGTATTTTGGGGAAATCGGGCTGGGAACACCTCCACAAAACTTCTCTGTTGTCTTTGACACCGGATCCTCCAATCTCTGGGTCCCTTCCACAAGATGCTCCTACCTCAGTCTGCCCTGCTGTGAGTTTCTGTGGGGGGATATGGCTGGACTGGGTGACGGGAGGGGTGGAGGGCTGGGCTGAGCTCGGTGAAGCGCCATTTTCTTCTGAAGCCCTCACAGGTGAGGTGAGAAGGTCCAAGGGGTAGGATCCTGGGAGCCTCCCGTGCCCCTGTGACACTTGTCTGATGTGACTTAGGGCTCCACCGCCGATTTGATGCCAAGGCCTCCAGCTCCTTCAAGCCCAATGGAACCAAGTTTGCCATTCAGTATGGAACTGGACAGCTGGAAGGAATCCTGAGTGAGGACAAGCTGACTGTGCGTGACCTTCAGCCACAGGAGGCCTGAACTTAGGGGAACTCAGTGTCTAAAACCGTGCGGTTCAGGGACAGGGGAAGAGGGGGGAAGAGGCGGGGCCTCCAGCAAAAAAAAAAAAAATGGTGGGGCTACTGGTGATGGAGGCGGGTCCTTCTGGGGAAATGGGCGGGGCTTCCTGAGTGGGGCGGGGCTTCCCCCGCAGCCCTTGGGACTTGTTCCAGACGTTACCAGGCCTGAGCTTCTTGCCTGTTTTGGGGGTTGCGGGGGAGGAATCTCAGGGACATGAGAGGAACATCCAGCACTAACAGATCCCATCTCAATCTACCCCATAGATTGGGGCAATCACAGGTGCAAGGGTGACTTTTGGGGAAGCTCTGTGGGAGCCCAGCTTGGTCTTCGATTTTGGCCACTTTGATGGAATATTGGGCCTCGGTTTCCCCATTCTGGCCGTGGAAGGAGTTAAGCCGCCGCTGGATGCACTGGTGGAGCAGGGGCTGCTGGAAAAGCCCGTCTTCTCCATTTACCTCAACAGGTATTGGGGGGGTCTCCACACCCATGAGTCTCAGCCCCAGGAAGGAAGCTTTGCCTCACCTTCAGGAAGTCATCCACCCAACAGGGAAGTCCCACAGGAAGTCAGCCATGTCCTCTTCATTCAGGAAGTCATCCTGGAGGCTTCAGTCTCCACCGAGGAAAGCACATACCCAATATATCAACGCCTGATCTCAATCAGATGCCCCATAGCCTAAGTGACTACTTAGACATACCAAAGATATTCCCCTTCGGGTCACACTGCTCCAGGACTCAGAATCAAACCGGAAATCCTGTGCCCCACCCAAGCATAACTCCACTTGGGAACCCTCTCCTCACTGTGAGGAAAGATCCGTTGTCATCTGAGAACCTTCACAGAAGTCAGGAATTGTCCACTTTTGTGTGTGTGTGTGTGTGTGTGTGTGTGTGTGTGTGTGTGTGTGTGTGTGTGACTGGGGTGTGAACACAGGCTTCCTGCTTGCAAAGCAGATGCTGTACTGTTTGAGCCACACCTCCAGTCCATTTTGCTCTGGTTATTTTGGAGGTAAGGTCTGCAGAGCTATTGGCCCTGATTGGCCTCAAACTTCAATCCTCTCAATCTCAGCCTCCTAAGTAGCTAAGATTACAGGCATGGACCTCTGGCATCTGGTTTATTTTTGACTTTACTCAAAGTAACCCAGGATGGCATGCAATTTGCAGCCTCTTAAGTTCTGAGATTACAAAAGCGTGTCATCATGTCTGCTCAGAAATTGCCCATTGCAATCTAGGGAGTCCCACCTGTCTGTAAGGAAGTTTAAGCTTATGCTTAGAAATTTCCATGAGCCATCCAATCAGCCTGCACTCACCCTCCCTCCCAGAAGCCCATCACCCACAGTCACAAAATCTTGTGGCCATCAAGGTACCCTAACAGCCATCCCCCCCAAGCATCCCTGCCTTCCACTTAGCAGACACTCCTACACACCCCACAAGTCCTCACTACCTCTTCCCATCATTCCAGCCTGCTCAGGAAACCTAATGCCTCTGCAGATTCCAGGTCACACAATTCAGAAAGTCTCACTGGCCACCAGGAAGGCATGCCATCTCTATAGAAGTTGCATCCAGAGCCAATCAACAAACCCTAATAGCCAAGCATGGTGGCACACACCTGTAAATCCAGCTACTCAGTAGGTATAGATAGGACGATCAAAAGTGTAAGGCCAGGGCTGGTGGAGTGAGTGGCTTAAGTGGTAAAGCATTACCTAACCAATGTGAGGCCCTGAGTTCACACAAAAGAATTTGAGGCCTGCCTGGGTAAAGTTGTCTCAAAAACAAAATACAAACAAGGGCTGGGGTCGTGTCTCAGATGGTTGAGCCTTGCCTAACAGCCAAAAGCCCTAGATTCAATCTCCACACAGAAAACCCTTAACCCCTGCTTGATAACTATGACATGGCCCCAAAATTTCTACCTTCCACAGTCAAATGAGGAGGTCTAATTTCCACTTCAGGATGTTCCCATACACATGGAATCTTTCTACATCAACAAAGTAACACTCTGCCAGGTATTGTAGTCATACCTATAATCCCAGCTATTCAGGAAGCAGAGGAAGGAGGATTGCCAGACTGGGCTACATAGTAGGACCTTGTCAAAGAAAAAAGAAAGGGAGAAAGCACCATTTCTTTTTATTATTGCCTTGCTTCCAGTCCCAAAATCTATTCCCTGCTCACATCTAGAACCCAGAAAGGACCCAGTTGGCATGGCGCCCTATCCCTGGTCACTCCTGGGGCTGCAAGGGGAACTCTCCATGAACCCCATGACACTGTACTTCTGCAGGGATCCTGAAGGGGCTGAAGGAGGAGAGCTGGTCCTGGGGGGCTCAGACCCTGCCCACTACATCCCACCCCTCACCTTCATGCCAGTCACTATCCCCGCCTACTGGCAGATCCACATGGAGCGGTGAGGACACAGATCCCTGGGTCTGGAGCTGGGGGCTGGGCGCCTGGACTCCTAGGACCCTGCCTCTAACCTCTGCCCACTCCCCCCCTCAGTGTGAAGGTGGGCACAGGGCTGACTCTCTGTGCCCAGGGATGTGCTGTCATCCTGGACACAGGCACGTCCCTCATCACAGGACCCACTGAGGAGATCAAGGCCTTGCATGCAGCCATTGGGGGTTTCCCCTTGCTGTTTGGGGAGGTAAGGACCCAGCTGTGGTGGGTGTGGGCCGGGGACTCTGATGGCAGCTTGATGGCAGACACTGGGAAGGATGCTGGGCCCACGGAAGACAAGCAGGTAGCTAGGAGGTCTCTGAGAGCAGAAGGGTCTGGAGACCTTTGAATGGTGGGCCTCAGGACAGAGGGACCAAGTGAGGACACTTCCCAGGTGTCTGTTCTGAGTGACTTAGGGGAGTAGATGGGAGAGGGTTGATTAAGAATGCTCATTTAGGACTGAGTGACAGGAGCCTATGTGACAAGGCCTGTCCACAAATGGCTCCAAATACCGTGCTGCTCGATATACACTTTACCCAATGGCACTGGGGAGCCACAGAAGGGATTTGAGCAGTTTGGAAACCTTCACTTCTTCCTCTTCTGCCCTAGTACCTCATTCACTGCTCCAAGTTACCAACACTTCCCCCGGTCTCCATCCTCCTTGAGGGAGTCTGGTTTAACCTCACGGCCCAAGACTATGTCATCCAGGTAAGTGACCTCACAGCGACGTCAGACTAACATACATGACTGATACTGAGAGGTTGGAGCTGGGAGTGTGACTCCAACTTTTTTTTTTTTTTTTTTTTGGCCAGAATCTCGCTGTGTAGCCCAGGCTGGTCTTGAACTCCCTATCCCCCTCTCTCAGTCTTCCGAGTGCTGAGATTACAGGCAGGAGCTACCATGCCTGGTCTAGAAACATTTCTTGTTCTCTCGCACTGGTTCCCAAGGAAGAGGCCGTTGCGGAAGGGGTGACAGCCAGTGTCACTGAGTGGCCTTGTCTTGTTGCCTTGCAGATTTCCCAGGGTGGCTTCCGCCTCTGCTTATCAGGCTTCCAGGCCTTGGACCTGCCTCCTCCTGCAGGACCCCTCTGGATCCTCGGCGACGTCTTCTTGGGGACCTATGTGGCTGTCTTTGACCGCGGGGACACCAGCACTGGCGCCCGCGTGGGCCTGGCACGCGCGCGTTCTCGGGGCGCGGGGCGTGGTGGGCGAGGGGCCGCGCAAGGTGGTCGCCCAGGTTAAGCGCATGCACGCCAGGCAGCCGCGGAGGCCCCGCTTCCCAGTAAAAAGCCAACACTTCCTTTCAACGAACCTTCCTGGGTTTCTTTAAATCGCGCGCCTTCCGAAGAGCAAAAGTAGAGCACCGTAGGGGAAGCGCATCGCCCCTATTGCTCAGGGCTCTCGGTCGAGGGATCTGTACTACAAATCCCATGAAGCTCCTGGCCCACTCTGCCCCTAATCCAAGGCGTCTTCACCGCAGAGCGTCTCGGAAGTTGTAGTCCATACGCAGTTTACGCCCTGGCGGGGCGGGAGCAGCCACAACAAGCGTGGGAGGCGACAGGTTGCTACGACAGCGACAGGTGGCGATGTGTGTGTGTGGGGGGGGGTGGTGGTGGTAGTGGCTGAAATCCTTAAAGAGTTTCCAACCTTTGTTCTAAGGAGAGGAGACTCCATTACTGCGGACCTCATCTGTTGTTCCGTTCTTCTGTTAGATTTCCAGCACCCTTGGTTCCGCCATAAAGGCGGAGCTTGAAGCCCGCGGGTTGGGGGGAGCGGTACTGCCCCTCCTCCGGCGGTGATGTCACTCACCCCTTCGCAGCCTCTGGGTGCCCAGAGCTGCTGAGCCTGGGTTACCCCTCCCCCCATCGTCAGTCCGGGATCCCCCCCACTCCCGCCTCGCCTCGACTTGGAGTGAGTATGGGGGAGGGGGTTGAGACCTAGGTCCGTGGGCGGTAATACAGCCTAAATCCCAGTTTTGGAAGCTCCGGACTCGGGAGACGGGTACCCAAATATTATAGCGGAGAGACCATTGATTCTGAGCTTTGGGGGCCGAGATATTTGGAGGTGTCAGGGCACCAAAGATCTTAGGCAGCGAATCCCGTTTCGGCTTTTGAGACTTCCTTTCCAGGATTTGCAACCGATGGGAATAGGGTGGAGGAACAAGGAGTGAATCCTAGGAGTTTGGGAGGTGTAGAACTGTCCCCATTTCAGGCCCTTGGGGAATGGCGGAGGGAGTATCCGGAGGGCGTGCAGAGGAGATGGAGGCGGGTGTTTGGAGACTCCGGTATTTTGTGTCCTGAGGGTCCGGGGAAAGATGGGTTGGAGAGGAACAGGGGTAGGGAAAGGGTTTGACATGGCCAGACATTAGCCTTTCCTCTCCTGGTGCTGTTGACAAATACGGAGTCCGTTCCCCTTCGGGCCTGAGCATAACTCAGCGTCCCATAACTCGAAGCCCGTCCTGTCTCCACAAGCCCACTTCTTTCTAACGGACGGGTGCAGAATCCAGGCTAGCACTCTCTGGCGAGGTTTGGGGAGGGCCGTGAGGCAGTGATGGCATCCAGTTTCCCAGAGCTGATGGAGTCTGGACCCTCCAGTTATCCTTCATCTTCTCCCTTTTCCCCATCTCTCGTGGTTTCGAATTCCGAGTCTCATCCCACGTCTGCCCTTTTCCCAGCTCCCTCTCCACACAGCCCCCACCTTCTCTCACACCTTCTGACCTCTGCAAAAAAGTGCTGAGTTGGTGACTCTATCCCGTGCCTGGTTGCTGTCAAAAGCAGAAAGTAGGGGTGGGGGTGGGGTGTAAGGGAGGAAGGAGACGTAGGTCTTTACCCCAGCCCTTACTTCCAGCTCCCAGTGCTTATCCAACCCCTGCTCCAGTCTCTATCCCTGCCTTCAACTGGCCGGGGAGTCTTGCTCAATCTCTACCCATTCCCTCACCTCGGGATTCACTGCTTCTGCCTGGGGGTACACCAAAATTCAGGACCGGGAGGGATAGGACGTGCCCGCGTCTTTTTTCTGCCCTGGTGGGTCCTATCAGAAAGTTGAGGGCTGATCACAGATCCTGGATTGGGGAAAGTGGGAGAACCCAGGATCTAGGGAGTGAGGAACTACCTCTTTGGTCTGCAGGACAGGGCTCAATTCTGCAAATCTCTGCAGTGACTGCAGCCTCCAGTCCTGCCAGGATGGGAGTTAGAACGGGCAGGAGGCGGGGAGTTTGGGGAGAATGCTGAGAGAACGGGGCAGAGACTCAGGGAAAGGAGAGACTCAGAGGGGGTGAGACATGGGAGGGAAGACAGATCCAGGGATAGGGCAGAGAAAGGGAGGAAGACACCAGACAGCTAGAAAAAGAAAGATGGGGAGGGGTATACAAGGGAGAGAGGGAAAGTGAAGGGTAGAGGGAGTGGAGAACAGGCACGAATACAGAACAGAGACTAGAAGAGGACAGCGACTCGCTGAATGGAAGACAGACCCAGATGAAAAGGCCAAGATGAGATGGGGGAACACAGTCACCAAGAGTGGGATAGAATCCAGGAGACAGAGACCCAGGCAGAGGCGGGCCCCTGCGTAAAAGGGACAGAGACCAAGAGAAAGAGCCGGGGGAGCTTAGTGAGCGACAGCTGGGGAAGGGGAAACTGACCCCTAAAAAGAGGGGCAGAGACTCGGAATGAGGGTGACAGACGCAGAGACCCAGAGGGAAGGCAGAGACTTAGAAAAGAAGGGTCAGAGACTCAGAGAGGTGGGGACAGAGGTGGTGGGACAGATGCTCAGAAAACGAGGAGAAAAAGGGACACCGAGAGACACAGAAATGGGAGAAGGGGTGGGTGGGGAGGCGATACGAACCAGCCGCCGCACCTGCAGAGGGAGGCGGCGGGCCAGGGACTGTGCTAATGGAGGACGCCCGCAGCCCCTGACCTGCCCCCTTCGCTCCCACAGGCGCCTCCTCCCTCCGCAGCCCCCACAGCCCCCGCCGCCGCAGCCGCCGCAGCCGCCGCTGGTCCCGCCCCTGCCCTGCATCTGCGCAGTGTTTCCCAGCGCCTAGGACCGCCCACGGGCCGGGACCCGCCCGCTTGGAGGCGGTCCACCTGGTTCTGGCCCCGCCCCCAGCTTTCCACCACCTAATCCCGTCTCATTTTCCATTGGTTCCGCCTATTGCCTCTGCCTAGAAGGTGTTCCTGGCCCTCTGAGCTCCCCGTTCCTCTCTGCCTGATTTGGCGCTTACTCCGCACCAGTATTTATCCATCTCTTGGTCCTCCAATTTGCAGTCGGAGCTCCCTTTCCTACACCTGTTGGAAGTTCCCTCCCCGTCCCCTAAGGCCTCGCTCACCCTTTGTCAAGGTCCTCTTCCAGGATCTCCGTCCCCTCTGTCCAGAGCAGTACCTTTCTTCTCTTCGCGGATCTCACTTTTCCACTGGCGCCCTCCGCTCCTGTTTTTCCACCTTCTCAGCCTTGCCTCTGTCCTGCCTACTACCCTAATTGCATTCAAGCCTCTTAAGGCCTCTCTCCTCCCTTAGTCTCATCTTCCTGTTTTCCACTATTTGTAGATCCCGTCCACCTTCCTCGGTCACGCCCCATTCATTGGGGTACTCCTTCTCCCTGCCCAACCCCGTCTGATCATGCCAAGTTTGCAACCTCGCCCTTTTTCTAAATCCTATTCAGACGCTTTCAGGCCTCTCTTGTCCCACCCCTTCTTACCGAGTCTGTCTCTCTTTCCCTCGTCGATCCCTATTCAGTCCAACCTGTTCCCTCTCCAGATCCGCCCCCTCACTGTTCCAAACCAATCAGAACCGTTTCTGCTACCTTTAGCCCCGCCCATTCAACCTATGTTAGTCTAACCTCGCCTCTCCACCTGCCACTCCACCTGGGGTCCTGCCTTCTAGGGTTTTAGTGATCTCTTTTCTTTCTGCTCCTTGTCAGCCCAGTCAAGTTGGCTTCTCCCACTATGGCCCTGCCCTCCCATCCATTCTGACTCCCCTCCTTTATATTCTATCAGATGTCCCAGCTTTTCCCTTTCTCCCTGTGTTGCTGAGCCAGGCAAGTCCCTTTGGCGCCCCGCCCCTCCTCCCCGCTCTCTCTCAAAGATCCAATCAGTGAGCTTCATTTGTGAGCCTCCCCTCCCCCTCCCCCCACCCCGCCCCCCGCCTGCTCCAGCGTGGAGGTGTTACAGCCTCAGCCCCTCTCCTTCTGGCCTTAGTCCCGCCCATATCCTTCGGACAAATCAGCTCAGCTCCTCCCCACAGAGGCCCCGCTCCCTATCATCTATCTCCTCCTCCCACCCAATTGTATCTGTTTTTGCCTTCACCGCCCGTCCCCTCCATCCATCGCTTCCTCCCACCCAATCACGTCTGTCCCTCTCCAGCCCCGCCCATTTCGGTCCCGCCCCCTCCAGCCCCGCCCCCCGTCCAATGCTGAGCTCAGTCTGCGTCTCGTCCTTCCGCGGGCGCCAGGGGGCCAGCAAGCAGCAGCCGGCGCCACCGCCGCAGCCCCCCGAGTCCCCGCCGCCGCTGTCCCCGCAGCCACTGCCGCTGCCGCCTCCACCGCAGCAGCAGCAGCAACAACAGCAGGCTGAGCAGCCCGGCCCCGCCGCGTCCCCGGCGGGTCCCCCGGCACCCCGCGGGCCCGGGGGCCGGCGTGCCGAGCCATGCCCCGGGCTGCCGGCGGCGGCCATGGGGCGGCACGGCGGCGGCGGTGGCGACAGCGGCAAGATCGTGATCAACGTGGGCGGCGTGCGCCATGAGACGTACCGCTCGACGCTGCGCACCCTGCCGGGGACGCGGCTGGCCGGCTTGACCGAGCCTGAAGCGGCTGCACGTTTTGACTACGACCCCGGAGCGGACGAGTTCTTCTTCGATCGGCACCCGGGCGTCTTCGCCTACGTGCTCAATTACTACCGCACCGGCAAGCTGCACTGCCCGGCCGACGTTTGCGGGCCGCTCTTCGAGGAGGAGCTCGGCTTCTGGGGCATCGACGAGACCGACGTGGAGGCCTGCTGCTGGATGACCTACCGGCAGCACCGGGACGCCGAGGAGGCGCTCGATTCCTTCGAGGCGCCCGACCCATCGGGTTCCGCCAACGCCACCAATGCCGCGGGCGCCCACGAGGCGGGCCTGGACGACGAGGCGGGCGCGGGCGGCGGTGGCCTGGACGGAGCTGGCGGCGAGCTCAAGCGCCTCTGCTTCCAGGACGCGGGCGGCGGTGCCGGGGGACCGCCAGGGGGCGCGGGCGGCGCGGGCGGCACGTGGTGGCGCCGCTGGCAGCCCCGAGTGTGGGCGCTCTTCGAGGACCCCTACTCATCGCGGGCCGCCAGGGTGAGCGCGATCTCAGAGTCCCTAATCCCCTTCCCGCCACCTCCTCCAGATGTCCCCAGATCCCCAGGAGGGCTCCATCCTAACCTGGTCTCTCTAGGTTCCTCCCCTCTCCCCCCAGTCTCTTAGAATCCGTTTCCCCAAAACTGAGTCTTCTGTATCCTGTAATCCTCCTCTCCCTCTCAGTCATTCCCCAGGTCCTCAAAAGACATCTGTCCAACTGTCAGCACCTCCCAGACCTTCCACCCTGCTGCTTCAGGACACCCTAGACCTTTAGAGACTTCTTCCTGCCCCTGATTCTCCTAGACTTCCCAAACGACGCCATCTCCGCCTTTTCCAGACTCTTGGGAAACCCTCAGAAAACATTTCCCAGTCGTTAGTTTCTTGGGCCACCCCTAGTTTGTCAGAAGACATCCTTCCCCAACCCCTCCAAATGTCCTAGGCCCTGTGACCACTGCCCCCACTTTCCCATCCTCTCCAGACCCTCTGAAGCCCCATCTTCAACTCCCAGTTCTCTCAGCGCTTCCCCATTCTCCCTGGGCCGGACTCCAAGAAGACCTCTCTCTACAAGTTTGCGTTTTCTGGTTAGTTTTGATCCCCACCCCTTCTCTCAAAGTCTTATAAGACCCCTATCCTCACCTCAGAGCCTCTCTGGACCTCTAAACCCGTTGCTCTAGCTAGGACACTTTCCCCTCCAGCTCACTGCGACACTGAAGCTGAACCTTGGTCCGCCTTCCCTCTTGGAACTTCCCTCCCACACCCTCTGTGTTTATGTCCTTTTTGCTTCCACGACACCAACTCTCACACCAAGGACTTGCCCCATAAAGTTCCAGGCTCCCTCCAGCCTTTTCACACTCCTCCTCATGCCTCCAGAAGAGCCCTGAGCCCCCATACCGTGCCTTTCCTCTAGAACCCCCTATGTCCTGCAGACTTGCTCTGCCTCACGCATCCATCTACCAGCTTCTCCCTGCAGCCATGCGTCCAAACTGCACCCCACTCTATCTCTGGAATCCCCCCGACCCCTCCCACAACTGCAAGTCCCCTTTTCCTAGTTTGTCAAGTGACTCTGTTCTGCTCCAGAACTTTATCTCACCTCAAACCTTGGGTTTCCCCCCAAGTCATCAGCCCAGAAACTTGTCAAAATAGCGTGCATTCTTTCTATCCTGTCTAGGATCCTTTCACTGCTCTCCTCCCCTACCCCAAAGCCCAGGACTGGACACCTCAGTCTCTTTACCAAAGCATTTCAAAGCGCTCTCACCCTAGCATCCCCAAAGTATTTCAGAGAGCTCCCACCCTAGCTCCCTCAGCAGTTCAAATCACCCCCCCACACACACACCCTAAAAAGCTCTCTCCAACCGTCCTGGAAAAGTTCCTAAAGCCTCAAAAACTTCCCAGGCTAAGTGGCTTCCCTCCCCGCTGGCTCTCCCCAGAACTTTTTCCCCCTCCTAACTTCCTCCTTGTCCCAAAGACCCAGGAGGGACTATGTGTAAAGAGCGGGGGCAGTTAAAAAAAGGTGGGGGGACTGGAAATAGGGGGAAAGAAGAGCGATTTGGGTCCCCTGGTAGCCTTCCAGAAATCCAAACACCCAGAGGAGCTGGTCTTGGCCCCCTCCCCCCACCGTGCCGCGTCCTGGGCCGGGAAGGACGCTGAGCCGCAGTGCCGCATTCGCGCGAGGGCGGGGGTGGGGGGAGCGGAGGCACCGCATAAAGTTTGGTCCCTGGGAAACGCTGAGTTGGCGAGATTTGGGGTTGAGTGGGGGGAGGTGAGGAGGAAGAGGTTCTGAAGGGACATGGCCCTAAATGCCCTCTGAGGTCTCTGAGCGGCTCCCTTCCCCCATGGCCTGGGGCGCCCTTCCCTTCTGTGACCCCATTGAAGGGTGCTGAGGTGAGAGGGAGGATGAAGGTGGAGTCCTTTTCTGATGGTCGGGGTAGGGGTCCTGGACAGCTACGGAGGTCATTCATTTGCTGCACAGATATTTTCTTCAGTGCCTGCGATGTGCTTAAGCACTTTGCAGTCTCAGAGTGAGATGTCTTGAGAGTCCTGAGCTCTGGCCAGTGCAAAGCGGAGGGTCCCGCCCTCCCTTTTCCCTCTCTCCCTTCCTCGTAACTTCTCCTTTCCTTCTTGCAGGGACTCCGGGCCCTCCTATCCCTCCTGCTTTTGGGCCACCCGGGGTCAAGGGGTTAAACCAGCCCTGGAGGGCCCTGGAAGGGAAGGAGTTAACCAAGTTTCTGGCCCGTGGTCTCTTGCCAGGAGGCGGCGGCACTGCGGCTGCGCGCTGCCTGCGAGGCTCTGGAGGGAACGGGTTAAACTGGCGCCCGGCCACTGCGGCTGCGCACTGCGGCGGGGGAGCTGTCCGTGGTGCTGCCCCCCCCCCCCCCGCCCGGCCCGGCCGGCCCGCCCCCACTGCAGTGCTGCAGCCCGCGCCGCTTGCCCGGCCCGGAGTGGGCGGGGCAGCAGTGGGCATGCGCTCTGAGGGGACCTCTGGCCTCTGAAACCATTGCGGAGAAACCAAGACGACCGCAAAGAGCGCCCACGCTGACCCTTCCCCCCACCCAGCCCACCCTAGGGTCCAGGGTACTCTCTGTGGTGGGACCCTGGCCCCTCTCTCTGGTTTGTACTTGAAGTTAAAAGTCAAACCCCATACCCTTCCGCCTCCACTACCCATCTAGTAAAGGCCTCTCTACTCCAACAACCATTCCTCTCCAAGGGACTCCAACCCCACTCTTTCCTCCCTCCCCTCTCCATATTGGTATGGGGTTTGATTCCTGGCCTTCCTTCTAACCCTAGATTCTTTCCCCTCCACAGCAAGGCTTTGGTCAAACCACACACATTGTGTAGCAAGACTCTTGGTTCTCCCCCACCTGGAAATGCCCCAGCTTCCCCCCTCCCTATTTCTTTGGTCCTGGCCTGCCCACTCCCACAATGTCAGATCCCTGAACCCCTCTGTACCCCTTCTCTATTCTCTTCTGTTTTTGCACCCTTAACCTGCCAATCCCTTTCCTCTTCAGGGCCTGACACCTCCCCATATCCCTAGTCCCACCTCCACTCTTTGTTTGTCTTCCTGTCCTGTCTTCTCTGGGTGAAGTCCTCATCCTGCCCTCTCGCGCTCCCCTGGATCTTGGCACTGACTGAGGTCCTTAACTCCTGGCCCATCTCTGACTCCTCAACCTCCCCCGGCCCCAGCTAATGCCCCATACCCTCAGGCCTTTTTACTGTGTTCTGGGCACAGGACCAAGCACTGGTTTTGGTGCCAAGCCCTTTGTACACTCACCTAATTTAATCATCAATTTAATCACAATGATCCCATTTAAAAAATAAAAACAACCTGAGGTTCAGAAGGCATGATTGCCTTGCCTAAGTGTGGCGGGTTCAAAGCCAAATTCAAACCCAGGCTTTCTTGTTCTTGACCAACTCATGGTTCTGTCTCTCACTTGCCCTGTCCCCTTCCCTTCCCACTCCAGGCTGCATCCCCTCTGAGACATAAAGGGTGTATGATTTTAGTTTGCCATAGCCCAATCCCATAGCAGAGCCTTTGAACCAGAGTGGGGAGATCCAAAATGACAAGAGGGTGGGGGAAGGTGATCTAGGAGACAGTACTGGGCCAGAAATGCTGGTTTTAGAGAAGACATTGTATTACTGCATCTTCTGGGGTCAGTTCCTGGTCCACTGCCTCTGTGCCTTTCTCTCTCCTTCTGTTGGCTTTTAGGGGAGAAGGGGATGCTGGGAGTGGTAGAGACATAGGGTTGGGACACCCGGATTCTTTCACCTGGGGCTTGGGCCCAGGGAGGCTGGGGAACAGGGCACTGGAAGGGTCCTTAGGCTCTAGTGGATCTGATACCTGGGTCACCTCTCCTCTCTTCCACCTGCCTGCAGTATGTAGCCTTTGCCTCGCTGTTCTTCATCCTCATCTCCATCACCACCTTCTGCCTGGAGACGCATGAGGGCTTCATCCACATTAGCAACAAGACGGTGACACAGGCCTCCCCGATCCCTGGGGCTCCCCCGGAAAACATCACGAACGTGGAGGTGGAGACGGAGCCCTTCCTGACCTACGTGGAGGGGGTGTGCGTGGTCTGGTTCACCTTTGAGTTCCTCATGAGGATCACCTTCTGCCCTGACAAGGTGGAATTTCTCAAGAGCAGCCTGAACATCATTGACTGTGTCGCGATCCTTCCTTTCTACCTGGAGGTGGGCCTGTCGGGCCTCAGCTCCAAAGCGGCCAAGGACGTGCTGGGCTTCCTGCGCGTCGTGCGCTTTGTGCGAATCCTGCGTATCTTTAAGCTGACCCGACACTTTGTGGGTCTGCGGGTGCTGGGCCACACGCTCCGGGCCAGCACCAATGAGTTCCTGCTGCTTATCATCTTCCTGGCGTTGGGGGTCCTCATCTTTGCCACCATGATCTACTACGCTGAGCGCATTGGCGCCGACCCCGATGACATCCTGGGCTCTAACCACACGTACTTCAAGAACATCCCCATCGGCTTCTGGTGGGCTGTGGTCACCATGACAACCCTAGGCTATGGAGACATGTATCCCAAGACGTGGTCAGGGATGCTGGTCGGGGCACTCTGTGCGCTGGCGGGGGTGCTGACCATCGCCATGCCTGTGCCCGTCATTGTCAACAACTTCGGCATGTACTATTCCCTGGCCATGGCCAAGCAGAAGCTGCCCAAGAAGAAGAACAAACACATCCCTCGTCCGCCACAACCTGGCTCACCGAACTACTGCAAGCCAGACCCACCCCCGCCACCCCCGCCCCATCCTCAGCATGGTAGTGGTGGCATCAGCCCCCCACCACCCATCACCCCGCCCTCCATGGGGGTGACTGTGGCTGGGGCCTACCCGCCAGGGCCCCACACGCACCCTGGGCTGCTCAGGGGAGGCGCAGGGGGACTGGGGATCATGGGGCTGCCTCCTCTGCCGGCCCCTGGTGAGCCCTGCCCGCTGGCTCAGGAGGAAGTAATTGAGATCAACAGAGCAGGTGAGGCTGGGGTGGGGCTTGGGGGGAGACTCAGAGACCTATGGGAGGAAGTGGGGAGGATGTGGGGGGGAGGCAAGAGGTAGTTCTGGGTTGTTGTGGGTTTTTTGTTTGTTTGTTTGTTTTTTGGCAGTACTGGGGCCTCACACATCCTAGGCAGGCGCTCTACCACTTGAGCCACTCCGCCAGCCCTTTCTGTGTTGGGTATTTTTAAGATACGGTCTCTCATTTTGCCTGGGGCTGGCTTTGAAGGGTGACCCTTCTGATCTCTGCCTCCTGAGTAGCTGGGATTACAGATGTGAGCCACTGGCGCCTGGCAGTTGGTTGTTTCTGAAGTTCAGAGAGACTGGAGTGTTTGGCAACAGAGAAAACTGACAAACATCAAGGTGACGTGCAGAGAGGAGGTGCAGGTAGCCACTGAGACATGGATTCCATCTGAGAGAGTTTGGGGAGGCACGCACTGGTAGCCAAGCTGCTCCAGAGGCCACTGAAGCAGAGGCAGGAAGCAGAGTAATGAATGAGCTGTGAGAGGGACTCAGAGACAGCCTGGGGACCTTCGCAGCCTCTGATACAGTCCTGAGACCCAAGAGGGAAAAAGCACGCACAGTTGGTTCACAGCAGGGAGATAGGCCATCATTTAGAGACTTGAGCAAGAGGAGAGGGAGGAAACTCTGAAGGGTGGGGTGGTGGTCAGAGGAGTCCAGACTCTAACAGTGACCCCAGTGAGGGAGCCAGAGAACCTATAGATGGAACGGTCATATGCAGGGTGGGCACTGTGGAGGGCAGCATGAAAGGGTCTAGAGAGAGCTCCAGACACATTGCTAAGAGTAGATGGGACCAGGGAGACGAGGGCGGTGTGTGTTCACTTGTGCGAGCGTCCTAGGGGAGCCTGTGCCTCAGAGGCAGTAATTTGGGTGTCTGAGAGGAGGAGGCAGGCCCCACCCCCAGGCCTTAAGTAGGTCAAGAAAGGGAGCTGGGCCACCCGGCCCCCATCTCGCTCCCTCAGCCACTGACCCATTTTCACACCCATTAAAAATAACTCAAGTCAGAACCTAGGGGACCCCCCCACACCTGCCCCTCCCTCATTGTCACCTCTCCAGCCCTTCCCTGCAGTGCCCCAAACCTGTCCCTAATCATGGTTTCCCAACCTGTGACATCCTCCCCACTCTGCCTGCCAAGCCCCCAGCACCTTGCATGCCTGGCTCAGTTCATTCCAGCCCACCCACCTGCCCAGCACTCCATCTAGGTCCCTTCTCAGCACCCACCTGGCTTCCTCCACCCCCGATCCAACCCCACCCCAGCCTGCCCTTCCCAATATTTGCAGCAAACACCACTTAGAGCTCACCAATGCCTCCCAACCCGCCTCTCTCCACGCCCTACCCTGACCACTGTCCATCCCAGTTACCCACCTAGGGATTCCCCCCTCCCCAAGCCCACAGACACTCCTTATACTTGATGTGCCCCTCTTGCCAAAACCCTGCCATGGAATACTTTTTCTTTTTTGTGGTACTGGAGATGGAGCCCAAAGCCTTGCTCTAACCAGTTGAGCTCTACCCCCAGCTCTTTTGTTGTTGCGGTACTGGGGCTTGAACTCAGAACTTTCACCCTGAGCCACTCCACCAGCCCTATTTTTGTGAAGGGTTTTTCGAGATAGGGTCTCATGGCACTATTTATTTAGGCTGGCTTCGAACCACGATCCTCCTGATCTCTGCTTCCTGAGTATCTAGGATTACAGGCGCTTGGTTGTATTTTGTTTTTGAGATCGCGTCTCATTAACTTTGCCTGGGCTGGCCTCCATCTTGTGATCCTCCTGCCTCAATCTCCTAAGTAGCTGGGATTACAAGCATGAACCACCATACCCGGCTGGCCCTGGCCCTGGAATCTTCCATTTCAGCACCAGCATCTTCCAGCTGATCCAACCCCCCCCCCAATCTCCTCTGTGTCTCTCTGACCCTGTGGGATGCAGATCCCCGCCCCAATGGGGATCCAGCAGCAGCTGCACTGGCCCATGAGGACTGCCCTGCCATTGACCAGCCCGCCATGTCCCCAGAGGACAAGAGCCCTGTCACACCTGGAAGCCGGGGCCGCTACAGCCGAGACCGAGCCTGCTTCCTCCTCACAGACTACGCCCCATCGCCTGATGGCTCCATCCGGAAAGGTGAGGCACCCTCCAGAGGGACCCCTGGGACCCTCCTTCTCTCCCCTGCCCAGGGGAGGGAGGAGAGGGTGATGGGGGGAGGTGCTGGGTTTCCCTCCCTCTTTCCCCTCAGCCCCAAACTGCCTTCCTCCCACACCTCACCCCCACATCCCACCCCAGGAGTCCATGCCACTGAACCTTCACCGGTCTTACTCCATCTTCATTTTCCCCACCTGCCCCATCCCACCCTCTCTGGCCTCTTCCCCCACCCCTAGCCACTGGTGCTCCCCCACTGCTTCCCCCAGACTGGCGTAAGCCAGGTCCCCCAAGCTTCTTGCCCGACCTCAACGCCAACGCTGCAGCCTGGATATCCCCCTAGTGGACGAACCCCCTACCCCCGGGGTAAGTAGCCCCCCACTCTGGTCCCTCCTGACTCCTCCTCCCTCCCTCCTGACTAACCCCTCTGAGAACATGTAGCCCCCCACTGACCGACACCCCCCCTACCGTGAACAGCTGCATCTGGCTCTTGACACTGACTCCCCCATCCACCTGCCCAGGACTTGCCCCACTCCCACTAACCCCCCAGAAGTAATCCTCCCACCCTGACCTGTGCACCCCATCCTCACAACCACCCAGCCCTCGAAACCAACCCCATCCTTGCCCCTTTGGCATCTTTCTCCCTGACCCCCCACCCTGGGCAAGTATTACCTGATCAGGAAAACAGAGACATTCCCAGATACAGGATGGGGTCACCGTCCCATGCCCTGAGACCTGAGCCCATGTCCTAGGAGCTGGGCTGGGATTCAACCTTAGCAAACCCTGTGCCCCAGGATGTGAGCAGACACTCGCTGAGTCACAGTGGAGGCGACCATGCTTACTCAGACGGAGGGGGCACTGGGTGGGATCAGCAGCTAGCCGAGGCAGAAATGCAGGGCCAGGCTGGGGGACAGGAACCTCGCCTAGGTGCCTAAGGAAGCAGGGCAGCTCTGGGGACATGGGGGCCACACTGGAGTGGAGTTGGGGTCACAAGCCTGGGGTGAGGGGTCCAGTTCAGAGGCCCAAACTGAACCCAGGACTGTGGGAATGGATGGACTGGACAGAAGGAAGGGATGAGGTGGGCAGTCGTCAGAGGTCAGGGATGGAGAGTTGGGACCAGGGAGGTGAGGGAGTTGGAGTAAAGAAGAGATACCTAGGTGGAGTATCCAGCACTTTCCACATGCCAGGGACAGAACCATGGCATAATCTTTGCCACAAGCCTGGCCAGCCTGTGCTCACTCAGGAACCTAACTTTGTTCCGTAATATTTTTTTGTTTTTGGTGGCACTGGGGTTTGAACTCAGGGCCTCTCATTTGCCAGGTGGGCACTCTACCACTCAAGCCATACCCCAGCACTTTTTTGCTTTAGTTATTTTTCAAGTAGGGTCTCACATTTTTGCCATGGGACAGCCTCAGACCTTGATCGTCATACTTCTGCCTCCTGTGTAGCTGGGTTACAGGTCTGGACCACCACATGTGCTTATTGATTGAGATGGGGTCTCACTAACTTTCTGCCCGGTCTGGCCTGGAACCTTGATCTTCTGATCTGTGATCTCTGCATTCCAACTAGCTGGAATTACAGGTTTGCATCACTGCACCTGGCCCCACCAATGAATTCTCGAGGCTCTGGAGAGTTAACTAGCTACTGATTCAGTCTAGAGTAGAGGTTGGCAGCTGTTTTTGTAAATAAAGTTTTATTGGGACACAACCACTCACTACAACAACAGAGTAGATTGTGAGCTGACCATGTGGCCCCTGCAGCCTGAAAGGTTCACTACCTGGCTCTAAACTGAATGAGTCTGCCAAACCCCTGATTGGAGGAAGTAGAAAAGAACAAGAAAGTTATTTTGGCCATTTCAGACAAAGGGGTCTGTGAAGACCTTGACCTTTTTGGGGAAGTGACACAAAACCTGTAGGGTGAAAAGGGCCAGCTGGGCAGAAGGAGCAGCAGATGCAAAGGCCCTGAGGTTCTGAGATGGTTTGTAAAGAAACAGCAAGGAAGGGCAATATGGCCGTAGCAGAGTGAACCAGGGAGAGGAAGTCCAGAGAGAAAGATTGTGGTTAGGATGAGTCACATGTTTATCTTAAATGTAGTGGGAAGACTGGAGGCGTGGCTCAAGTGCTAGAGCACTTGTAATAACAGCTATTAATCTGAAGCCCTCAGTTCAAACCCTAGTACCACCACCAAAAAAACAAAAAAGTAATAGGAAGCCACCTGAAGGTATTGTCTCCATCACTTATTCATTCAACAAACCTCAGTGGACTATTCCTTAGAAACACAAAGACACATCTTAAACAATCCCTGCCCACAAGCAAGCCAAGGAGATGACATAGGGGAACTTGGGGAGTCTGTAGGGATGGCTTAAGTCCCCTATTCAGAAGTTCAGGGAAGGCTTGACCAACCAGAGACATGGGAGCACACAGAGCCTGGAGAACCCAGGCTTCCAGCTCCTAGTCCAGAAGGGACTCCCTTCCATCCCTCCACTGCTCTTTTCCACCCCATCCTCCATTTTCATCTCATTACCTTCCCCTTCTCCTGTCTGACCCCCTGGCCTGCTTGCACCCAGCCTTTACCCTTACCGACCTTTATTCCTCACCCCTCCCTGGGTCTGAGGGGCCCCAGTGGAAGGGAGGGGGAGGGGTAAAGAGGGGAGGGGATGGAGGTGGGGAGGGTGGAGTAGGGGAAATCTTTGCTTCTCTTGCCTATAATGCCAAAATTCATTCATTGAACTCAAATAGTGGCTGGAGCTGACGGGGCTGACTGAACCCTCCGCCCGGGGTCCCAAATTCATCTGATCCCTCACTTCCCTTCCTCTCAGTCCTGCCCCAAGTCCCTCCCCCCAAGCCCCACCTTCCCCATTCGCAACCTTCCTCTCCTTGCCCCAAGACCTCGCGTCCCTCCCGGCCTGTTCCGAAACCAACCACCCGGTTCCCACGCCTGCCGCTCACTCCCGCGCCCTCCCACCCCTACCCCCCACCCCCGGCCCGCCCCACCCGCCCCAGCCACCCCCGGAAGCTCCTTCCATATTTGACGTCTCTGGCCGCCCCCATTTCACTGCTCCCCTCCCCCCGGAAAACACCAGAGAGGAGGAAGAGATCCCGGCGTTTCTCCGGCCCCCCAACAGTGAGGCTGTGTTGGGGGGTTCCCCCCACCATCCTCCCCCACCCCCCCACCGTGACTCTCTGTATTTCTGTCCCCAGCTCTTGTCACCGCCTGAGACCTCGCGAGACCCTCGGGTCCCCCCTGTCCCTTCCCCCAGGTTAGCAATTGGGAATGGCTGGGAGGGGGTATCCCTAAGATACTGGGCTTCCACCTCCCCAGGTCCCTCTGCCCTACAGTCAGGACCCCCCTTCCACACAGTCCCCTGGCTCTACCTGGAAAAGCCATGGAGTGCTCCCCCACCCCCCAATGCTGGCAGAATTTAAGAAACGACACGCATTGCTCCCGGACCTTGGGTCCCTTGAGGTGTACCCTTATCCCTGGTGACACCCACAAGAAACCCCTTAGGCCTTGGGGACGCTCCAAATCCTTCTCGCAGCTCCGCCTTCCTGGACCCTTGGAAGACGCGGGAGCCGGGCCTGGCCCCGCCCACTGCCCTTGGCGTCCCCTCCCCTCCCCCAGGGCAGCCCACTGCCCTTGCTGTCCCCTTCCCTCCACTAGGGCGGCCCCAGCCCCGCGCCCCAGCCTGGCCCCCCAAATCCCTCCACCGGCTGCTCCCCACATGCATCCCGCCTCAGCCCCTGCCCGCGCCCTCGCCGCCCACCATCCCGCCTCGCTGCCCGGCGCCTTTTGGCCTCAGACAAGGGGATCTACGGGTGGGGGAGGGGAGGGGGGACGGGAGCTGCGGTGGGGGCGGGGAGGCTCGGTGGCGCCGCCCCGCCTCCTAATCCTGAGTCTCTCCCCCTCCCCGTGTCTGAACCCTTCTCGTGGATGCCGACTGACTCTCCGATTTGTTCACTTTTCTCTCTCTCCATCTCCTTGGTCCTCCTCCGTCCATCGCTGTCTCTTGCCCTCTATCTTTTTGTGTGTCTCTGTGCCGACTGTCCCTCCCTGTCGTCCTTTCCGTCTCCATCTCTCTGGGCACCTCTTGCTCTCTCCTTCCATCTCTTTCTCTTTTCTTGTTTTGGTTCTCTGTGGGACCCTCTCTCTGCACCCCCATCCATGCTTCCTCCCCGTGTTTCTGCCCCCCCCAGGTTACGAGAAATCCCGCAGCCTGAGCAGCATCGCGGGCCTGAGTGGGGTGTCGCTGCGCCTCGCGCCCCTTGCCACCCCCCCTGGCTCTCCCCGGGCCGCCCGCCGCGCTCCCCCAACCCTGCCCTCCATCCTTTAGGGTTCCCCTCCCACCTGTGGGGGGACTCGGGGGTGGTCGGGAAGAAGGTCAAAGGAGCTGGGGGTGGGGGGGGTGGGAAAAGGTTTTTTTTTTTTAAAAAAAATCAAAAAGTCATTAATAATATGCAACCGAAATGTTGACGCCAGCAGACACCCCCGGGCCTCTCACCCCCTATTTGGGCCCCCAGGATGGTGGGGGAGGGGCCGAAGCCCATCTCCCCCATTCCCCCCACCCAAAGGAAAAAAAAAAAAGCCTTCTCAGGTCTCCATGAGCCATAGGTTACCCCTCCCATCAACTGTGTAAATAAGTCCAAATTATACCAGATCCATTTTGGGGCACCCCCCACACACAACACGCGCCGCATGCCTCCCAGAACCCAGACCCCAGCTCTAACTCCTCAGCAATGAGCCGCCAGGGACTACATGTCGCGGGTTCGAGGGGACAGGGCTGGGAGCTCACCCGGTCGGGCTGGCCTTTAAGCCACTGCAGGACTCCGGGCTCCCTCCCCTCCCGCAGGAAGGCCACCAACCCATCACGCATTGATTCAGGAAAAACAAAAACCTAGAAAGTGTGGTAGGGTTGGGAGGAGGAGGGAGGAGGGCTCCCGCGGCGGCTCCCTCAGCCTTCTGGAGGATCTCGTGGTGAACCCCACCCTCATCCCTCACCCCCCAATCTGCTCGCCTCTTGTTGCATGGACTCAGAACTTCCATCCCACAGTTTCTGGGGTGATGTGGCCCTAGCACACACAGTTCTCCATTCCCAGGACGTGAGACCGGCACCCAGAACTCCTGAGATGGGCCCTGGCACCCCGCACCCCCAATTCCCACACACTCCTGGGACTTGCCTCTGCACATGCTTCCCTTCCTCTCCCAAATGCCCCCACCCCGGGCAGCATCCCGGATCCCGGCAGTTTTCAAACCTCCAAGACTTGACCCAGCTCCTCAGCTGTTTCAGCCTCTGGGATGCTCCAAACCTGACATTTCTCGGACACCCCAAATCTTCAGACTTGCCTCTCAAATCCTTAACATCAGACTCACCCGCTCCTTGGATGTTAGAACTTTCTAGATAGGATCAACCTGTCTGCAATCCCAGGAGCCAGACCCTCCCCAGTACCCCTTTCTCACGCTTAGGGCTGCCCACCCCCCAAAACCTCTTCCCTGGATACCAGTGTTTTCCAGAGTGTGGGACCCATGTCCCGCGCTGGCGGGCTAAACTTTTAGGGAGTAGGACACACGGGACGTTGTGTCTTTGGTGTGCGCGTTTTGTACGGGTATTACTGCTTAGCCAGAACACCGTTTATTTAGGTTAAAAGTTTCCAATTGAAAATAGCCAAAAGCGATCCTAGACGCTGTGCCCGACGTCGGGGACGGCTCGGGAGACAAGGACACCCTCCTCGGCTGGGATTCCAGCTGCCCTTCCCCAGGTCCTCGCCCGCCACACTGGCTGGCTCAGGCAGAATTACTTCTCACACCCCATCCTGGCTCAAAAGGGGCGTTACCTCCCCCAAGCCCAGGGACCACAGCGGTCCCAGAATCTTTAGCGGACCCCCCCTTTTGGAGCTGGGGGCCCATGGAATTAACAACCTCCTTCCCCCCTCACTCCCATCTGAGTTGGGGGGGGCGTCCCTGGGCGCGATTCTTGATGCAACGATTCCTATGCAAGGGGCACTTTTGAGTCCCCCCATCCCCCGTCCTTCCCTGGGACCCTAAACCCTGGTGAATCAGGGGTGAGGGGTGGGGCGGGTTTGATGGGGCCGGGGCAAAGGGCTAGGGGCTCCAGACACCAGGGTATGGGGTGGGGGACTGGTTATATTGCCAAAGGGTTCAACTTCTTTAAACAGCCCCCCAAATTCCTCCTGGCCCTCCCAAAAGCCGAAATGGGCGGGGAAAGGGGGTGAGGGTCTTTTCCAAAGGGTACTGACCTCTTCCCAACGTTTCCCCCTGCTCGCCAATCTGCCACACATCACCCAGCTTTTTAGTTCAGCTTTTAAAAAGTAATCACAATCGTCATAAAAAGTCCACAAAATGGGACTTCCGTTCCCTCTCTCCCCCTGCCCCAAGTCAACAGTGTGGGATGCGGGGAAGGGAGATCGAGCCAAAGGGACTACTTCCAAGTCCGGCTCCCGCTTTTCTCTCCCACCCCACCCGGGCCCGACCGCCCCCCCCCCCGGCCGCCAGGGTGCCTGCAACTGCACGCATGCGCTGCATGACGCGCCCCCCCACGCATGTCGCGCCCCCCCGCGCTCCGGGAACGCACGGACACGGGGCAAGGGGCGGGGCGATCGGGGAGGAATGACCGGCGGGGGGTCTTCCTGAGCTCAGCGGCTCCCCCTCCCCAACACACACAGCAATAAGTTTCTCACTCCAATGTGGGCGGGGCGGGCCTGGCCTGTCGCTGGGGCGGGGAGCGGTGGCACAGAGGGCGCTCTCAGGGATGGGGGCGGGGGTCCGGAGTCGGTGTGGGGAGGGGAGGTCTGCAAATCGTCCAACTCTGGTGCTAACGGCGGGTCTTCTCAGCCCACCCGCAGGGCAGGGAGGGAGGGGTCGGCAGGCCCCTCCCCCAAGCCTCCCCCACGCCCACCCAGGGTGCATGAACCGCCCAATGCAGAAGCTGCCGCATGTCATCCCCCCTCCCCAAAGAAAAAGTGTCATGCCCCCTTCCTACCCGCCCTCTCACTCCCCATCAAAATAAAGGTTTCCTTTTCATTTAAAAGTCGTCTGTTGAGAAGGTCTGGTTGAGGTTGGGAACACGCAGAGGAACTGGGGCTTCAAGTGTGGCCGAGGATGTGCTGTTTGGTGATCTAGACATACATCCCCTCGATCACTGGATCTCATTTGTTATTCGGGGCAAATGCCTGTCTCCGTTTCCTGGATAGCAAAGGGATAGCACCCCTAACTTAAATGTCTTTGGAATGTGATCCCATAGGTGATGGTGACTAGTCCCCAGGGGCACAGTGGGCGTGGGGACTGAGGGCCGCACCCTCTGTATTATTTATTAACTCTGGGTTTGAATCATGGTTGGACATCATCCTAGCTGTGTGTCCTGGTGCAAGTGGCTCAGCCTCTCTGAGCTGGTTTCCGGGCGCATTTTTTTATTTTCAATCTGCAAATACTTACTGAGTGCCTAGTAAGTGTCAGGTGCTGGAAAGCAGTGAAATCGCTACCTTTAAGGTTGTGCCCAGGCTGGATACATCACACCCTTAACACAAATGGTCACTGTCATTTTATTATTACTGTTATTATTTTACAAAGACCTGAGTGTTAGCTTGGGTGCAGTTCCCCTCCTGGAGCTCACTGGGAAGCTTGGAAGAGGGCCAATGCCACTCTGAGCCTTAGTTTTCTCATCTGTGTTCTGAAGGTAATAGCTCAGACACTGGGGCAAAGAAGACATACGAGCCCCATCCACAGGAGGACCTCACACCCCGCTGTGGAAGCCTTGATTAGAACCAGTAGCCTCCCATCCCCGCCCATGGAGCTGAAGAGGCCGGTGTCCTCCCCATCAGAGACCCCCGCAGGAACACACAGCCACAGGCAGGGGTCCAGTCGGAGGTTGGAGTTTATTTGTACCAGAGCCTGGAGACTGGGAGGGTGAGGGACGCTAAATCCCTCTGATCCCAACCTGTGACAACAGACCAACCAGAGAGGAGAGCAGAGCCCAGCGGAATGAGATGTCCCTGTCCGGCCCTTCTGCAGGCGTCCAAGGCTGGGGGAGGCCTGTCATTAGCAACTGAGGAAAGGTCAGGTGGCTGACGGACCACACCTGCCAACTACCCCAGTTTCCACCAAGCAAGAGGGAGCCCAGTCCTGGACCCCACTCCTCCTTTTGGGGGCCGTTGGTGGATGGGCGGTCTCAGGAGGCCCAGGTGGAGCTGGTGAATGCCAAGAAGTGCCAGAGGGCAGGGCAGTATCATTTCCAAAGTGCAAGAAGCCGGCGGTGGGGACGCGGGGCAGGTGCCGGTGAGGGGCCGCGCCCTGCGCTCAGTGTGTCTGCAACAGCCGGGATCACTGGGACTGGGCGGGGGGCGGAGCCTCGGGCTCAGGAGGCGGGACCACAGACCCGGGCTCCGCCTCCTCGGCCCCCTCCTCGTCGGAAGCCACGCCCTCCTCCAGGCGGAAGACCTGCCGCACAGTGCGCGTGGTGAAGGTGAGCGGGCCTCGCCTGCGGGGAGGAGGACAGGCGGGACACAGATGACACGGGTGGCGGAGCGGAGGGGAGGTGGAGAGGGAGAAGAGGTATACAGAGAGAAGGGGAAATAGTCACATTGAGGGAGTGAGAGAGAGACAGAGAGAGAGAGGAGAGAGAGAGAGAGAGAGAGAGAGAAAGGGAGAGGCAGGAGAGAGAGATCCAGATCAGACAGGGAGAAATGGAGAGAGATTGGTGGACACGAGAGATGGAACGGAGATGGGGGCACAGAGAGGTGGGGGCACAGAGAAGGAATGAAGGAGATGGAGGCACAGGGAGACAGCAGCGATGGGACACAGATGGGGCAGAGATGTAAGGATGAGGGACACAGAGACGGGGACAGAGTGACAAAGGAAGACAGAGAGACAGACAGAAAGCCCCAGCACAGGGATGAGACAGAGAAACGGAGGCAAGAAGACAGATTACTCCCTGGTTCCAAGTGCCACCCCTACTCCAACCCAGGGACCCCATTTCCCGCTCCTGCTGCCCCTGGCAAGCCCTCCCCACCCCGTCCAGCCTCTGCCTCCCTGGATCCATCAGGCGTGGAGTGGGCACGCACCGGAGCCGGTTCCTCAGCGTGGTCACCTCGCGGTTCATGGACTCGGCCGACTCGGTGACATCTTCCAGCTCCCGCTGCAGCCTTCGGCGCCCGGCCTGGGCCCGCGACGCCTCCTCCTCCGCCTCCTCCAGCTGCCGCTTCAGCTGCTTCACTCGAAGGTTCCCTTTCTCCAGCTTGGTGGAGCAACGGCCAGGTCACTTCTCTGGACACCGTCTTTAGCCCTCCCTCCCCAGGACCTCCTAGGCCCCAGCCCCACCCCTGCGGCCCCCTGTTCAGGTCTTGTCATTTCCCTCTAAGGCTCTCATGCCAGGCTCTCCTCTGTAAGCCGCCCTGCTCAGGGCCTGAGAAGGGTCTTCTGCACCAGAGATGACCCTGTCCCTTCCAGTTCACAACCCTCAATGGCTCCCCATCTCTTGCCTTCTCTCTTCTTTTCACAAGCCCACCAAGCAGACCAAGTTCACCAAGATTGCTTCCAAGCCTTGCCATCTCTCTCTCCAGGGAGAAAAAACAAGATCTTTTTTTTTTTTTTTCAGTGCTGGGGTTTGAACTCAGGGCCTACACCTTGAGCCACTCCATCAGCCCTTTTTTGTGATGGGTGTTTTCAAGATAGGGTCTCAGGAACTATTTGTCCTGGCTGGCTTTGAACCGTTGTCCTCCTGATCTCTGCCTCCTGAGTAGTTAGGATTACAGGTGTGAGCCACCGGTGCCTGGCTCTGACTTTCTTTTTTTCTGTCTTTTATTTTCTCATTTTTAGATTTACTTACATGTGTATACACTGTTTGGGCTGCCTCCTCCCTGACTTTATTTCTTATCAGTCATCTCTCCACCCTGTTTCTTCTCTCTCACTACACTTGTTTGCCTTTTCCTCTGAAGTCACCAAGCTTATTTTGATCCCTCCCAGCCTTTGGACGACCTGCTCCTTCTGCCTGTTTCTTCCTCACCCTTTAGGTCTCACCTCAAACGTTACAAAGCACCTCAAAGAGCTCTTCATGATCACCCCAATCTAAAGAGGACACCCCACTCTTGCGCCTTCCTATCCCTTTGTTAGCTTTTTCTCTTCATAGCCCTTGCCAGGATCTGTGATTAGCTTTGTTTGTTAATAGGTTTACCAAATCCTTTCCTGTGCTCACTGTATGAACCCCACGAGTGCCAGGACCTTCAGGTGGCTTCACAGCTCTATTCCCAATGGCTAGCACAGTGTCTGTCAGGTAGTAGGTACTTAAACATTGTTTACAGCTGAACTTTTTTTGTGTTTGTTTTTTGGAGGCACCAGAATTTGAATGGAAGCAGGCACTCTTCCAGTCCATTTTGCTCTGGTTATTTTAGAGATGGGGGGGTCTCATGAAATATTTGCCTGGGCTGGCCTCGAACCTCTGCCCTCCTGATCTCAGCCTCTCAAATAGCTAGGATTACAGGCATGAGCCACTCATGCCCAGCTACAGCTGAGCTTTTAAGGGCACAGTGACTGTGTCTAGCCAGACAGATGTGGGATTTGATCCAGGCTCTATCATGTAGTAACTCCAGCAAAACAAATTACATCTTCTCTTAAGATAGCAGTTTTGCATCTTCAGAACTCTGAACTATGAGGTGGTGCCTACACTTGGACAGTCCAGCACCTGTACGCAGCTTCTTGTGGCTGTGCTGTTTCCCAGTCGGACGTCCCACTGCTGCCCTCAGCTGCTTACCTGATCCCGAAGTTGGTCGGCCACCCTTCTTTCCTCCTCCACCTGGAGAACCACCTCCTTCAGCCGCTTCTCGGCTCTGCGCACCAGCTTGCCTGAGAGGATGCGCTCTCTAGAGGGAGGGGATGGCAGAGGCTCAGGGAGGTGATCACCAGGGACCATCCCATGGCCTTGCCCATCTCCCAGCTGGCAGACACTGTCACCCGTGCTCCCATCTGCAGGATATCTGTGCCTTTTGTATCTACCATGATACCTGATGTTCCTAAAAATGTCTCCTGTAAATCAATGTGAGTCAATGCTCTGTATAGCTATCCTTATCTCAACCAGCAAAACCCCTTGTTCCTTCCTATTATTGCTTATACTCTCTCTACAACAAAATTAGAGATAAGGGCAAAATAGTTTCTGCTGGGTATTGAGGGGGGGAGCGGGAGGGGGTGGAGTGGGTGGTAAGGGAGGGGGTGGGGGCAGGGGGGAGAAATAAACCAAGCCTTGTATGCACATATGAATAATAAAAAAAAAATAAAAATAAAAAAATAAAAATGTCTCCTGTGAGACTGTGATTTATTTATGTTTTTGCAGTGCTGGGATCTGAACTCAGGGCCTACACCTTGAGCTACTCCATCAGCCCTTTTTTGTGATGGATTTTTTTCAATATAGGGTCTCGAGAAGTATTTCCCCAGGCTGGCTTTGCACCGTGATCCTCCTGATCTCTGCCTCCTGAGTAGCTGGGACTACAGGTGTGAGCCACTGGCGCCCAATGTAATTTATTTATTTATTAGTGGGACTGGGGCTTGAACTCAGCTTCGAATTTACAAAGCAGGTAATAACCAGAGCAAAAACGACTGGAGGTGTGGCTCCAGTCGTTTTTGCTCTGGTTATTTTGGAAATGGGGGTCTCACAAACTACTTGCCTGGAATCTCTATCCTCCTGATTTCAGACTCCCAAGTAGCGAGGATTACAGGCATGCAGGGCCAAACTGAAATTGTGATTTATAATAAATGTATATGTGGTTTTCGTTTGGTTTCCTGGCACTTCAGAATCTCTGAAAGTATGTATCTTTTTGTATGCTAACGGCAGATGGCTGGGATGTGGTGGATGGCTTCAGGAAGGGACCCACCATGTGCCTAGGAAGTTGACTGCTTCAGCCTACACCCTCCACTTCAAAGGAGGGGAGAGCAGCGAAAGTGAAGGTGTCACCAGTGGTCAAGGATTTAATTCACGATGCCAACATAATAAACCTTAGACAACCCTTAAGTACGGGGTGCAGGAGCTTCTGGGTTGGCAATCACGTGGAGGGTGGTACCTGAAGGGGTGGAAACTGTGACTCTTCTCACAAGCCTAGCCATATGCCCCTCTCTCTCTCTCTCTCTCTCTCTCTCTCTCTCTCTCTCTGGCAGTACTGGGGTTTGACCTCAGAGCCTCACACTTGCTAGGCAGGTGTTCTACCATTTGAGGCACTCCACCAGCCCTTTTTGGATTTAGTTATTTTTCAGATCGGGTCTCAAGTTTTTCACCTGGGCCTGACCCTCCTACCTATGGCTCTCAGTTGCTGGGATTACAGGAACACACCACTGTGCCAGGCCCACTCTTGCATCTCTCAGTGTGGCTGTTCCTGAGGGTTTTTTGTTTTCTTTTGTTTTTTGTTTTGTGGTACTGGGGAGTGAACGCAGGGCCGTGTACTTGCTAGACAAGTGCTCTACCACTTGAGCCACACCTATAGTTCTTTTGACTTTAGTTTTGTTTTTGTTTTTGTTTTTGTTTTTGTCTTGGTGATAACTTTGCCTGGACTGCCTCAAACTCATGATTCTCCTGCCTCAGCCTCCCGAGTGCCTGCAGACAATGATGGGAACACTGAATGGCAAATCATGCAACTAAAGAGCTGTAGCCCATCTCAGCCTCAGTTTTGGGAAGAACAATGGTACTTGTCTCATGAGGATTACGTGATACATACAAGTAGTCCAACCTCTGCTACACCGAGTCCTGAAGAAATGGGAACTCTTAGTCCTGTTGTAATGCCTACTGCTGACTAGCATTGCTCATAAGGAAATCTACTGCAGTGAATGAGTGACAGGGAAATAAAGGCATCATTAGTTTGATTAGTGCAGTGGATCTCCACTGGGGAGTGCAACAGGATTGTTCTTAATTACTCCAACTGGAGATTTAGACTTAACCCTAGGTTGCTCAACTTCCTGGCTCTGGATGTGAATTTGTCTGGGATGTGGTGCTTGATGCAAGTGCAGCCATTCTGTGAACATGAGGAAAATACACAAACACTGACACTGAACCCTATCTTTTGGCTGGCTGGCTCCAACTCTTCTCATGTGAGAAAAAGAAACTTCTATTTCTGATGGATTGGTGGAAAAAATGGTCCCAGCTCTCATCCCGTTGGCGGTATGACTACAGCTGTTGCTATCAAGTACTGAGTCTTCCCCATGCCCTTGAACGTGAGTTAGCTACAGAACTTGCTCTGTTTGGTGCTGGGGATGGAATCCAGGGTCTGCTGCCTATCAGACAGGTGCTCACCACTGAGCTGCACCCCAGTCCCAGTCCTCCTTGTTTTGTTTTTTATTTTTTTATTTTTGGTGGTACTAGGGTTTGAACTCAGGACTTAATGCTTGCTATGCAGGCACTCTGCCACTTGAGCCACACCTCCAGCCCTCACTTGCTCTGTTTAGCAGACTATGGCAGAAGTGACATAGCACCAGCTACACCTCAAGGGCTCAAGAAACCATTCACACATTCCCTCACTGTTGGGACTTTGACTTTGCATATGAGCAATCCCGGGCTATCCTGTTGAAGGATGGGAGCCACAGAAGCAGAAGCAAGTTAGCCCAGCTGTGCTGGTCAAGGTCTTACGCATACTTGCGCCCAGCCAGGATCAGCAAATCCATGTAACTAATCCTCAGCTGAGTAAAGATGCAGATGTGAGGCCCACTGAGCCAAGTTCAAGAGAACCTACCCAGCCAGCCCCAAACTCAGGAGCAGTAATAAAGAGTTGTTTTAAGTCACTAAATTGTGGGGTGATTTGTTACACAGCTATAGCTACCTGTTACACTGCCAGTGCGACTGCAGTTCCCTTGCAGCCCAAAGCATGCTCCCACCTACCTGCTCTCCTGCTCCAGTTGCTCCTCCGCCTGGGCCAACTTAGACTCAAGGGCAGCAATCACCATCTTCTGGCGGGCCCGGGCCCCAGCATCCTCCTCACCCAGCCGTCCCCGTAGCTCCTGGATCTGCCGCTCCAGCTGCTGCCGCCCACTCTCGGCCTTGGCTGAGAAACTGCGCTCAGCAGACAGCTCTGTGGTGAGGGACTCCACCTGCAGCCAGTGGAGTAGGGCAGGACATCATGACAGAGGCTCAGAAGGAAGGAGGTGGCAAATCCAAGCACCTCCTAGAAGTAAGTGAGCTGATGGTTACTGTGTGCCTAGCACAGAGCCTTCCATATGCTAAGTTTTCAGAAAAACAGCAGCTTGTATTTTTAGTGTTACTGACATATCAGCAAACAGCAGTGTCAGCACTGGGTTTTAACCTTTTGGACAGTTTTATTGCTATTTTAGTAAGTCCAGAGACCATCACAAACATGTTTAAATGCTGTAAATTCTACCTCTGACTGTGAATGAGTTTATCCTGGGGGTTATCACACTTTTGCTTGTGCCAGGATCATCTGGGGGAACTTGTGAGAAAAATGTGTGCTATAGGGTCCTGGCTGCCAGAGATTACGGGGTTGGAAGGCGCCCAGGAATCTGAATTCACAATGAGCAGACCACAGACTGGAGAGGAGACAATGGCAAGGCCTCAACACACTGCAGCTACAACATCGCAAATGTGTAAACACAGCCCTAATACTAGCTTCTGTTACTCTGAGTGAATGAGGCCCTGGGCTGGAAGTGAGTCAGCCCCAGTCTGATTGTGCTTATTTCACTCTGATCTCCCCAGGAGCACTGTCAGCTCGGTGGTTACCTCCGCTCTTTGGGCTTTTCAGTTTTTATTATAAAATAAAGCAGTGAGACAGAAAGCCAAGCATGAATGGAACAAACAGTTTCATGAGTTATTAAAAGGTAGGAAGCGATGAGTGACATGAAGGAAGTTAAAAGAGAGATCACAGGAGGGAGAGGGCTGCCCTGCACAGGGTGCCCAGAAAAGCAGGCTTAGTGAGTGAGACTGAGGCACACTAGGAGCAGTGCAAAAGCCCTGAGGTGGGCATGAACTTGGCTTCCTCATGAAACAGTGCAGAGTGAAGACTTGCCTGTGTGGGCCTTGCAGGAAGGCTATGACTGGCTTTCCACTGGTCCCCAAGGGAATAAGGGCCAGGCCTTACTCCTCTCTGGACCCCCATGCAGTGTCAGGTGTGATTTGAAACACTGAGAACATAATGTAGACACAAGTCTCTCTTTGGAAACCCCATTCCTCTGTTGCCTGCCTGGCAAACTCCTACACTTACTACAAGATCTCCTCTACCAGGCATCACCTCTACCAGGAAGCCTCCTCTGATAGCCCATAGCTCTAAGCCAGGTAGCAGTTTCTTCTAGGTTTCCAAAGTGCCTGTGTTTGCTCCTAATCAATCTTCAAAACCCAACCCAAAGACCCCCTTCTCTATATTGAGTAAGAGGCCTGGAGATTACAGTCCCAAGCCCTGGGGACGTGGGCTGGCAGGGGTGGCGAGCTGTGCGCACCTGCAGGAGCAGCTTGCGGTAGCGGTCATTGAGCAGCTCAGCGCTGCTCTGCTCCTCCTCCAGTTCCTCTTCCATCTGCCCTAGGCGCCCCTCGAGCTGGCGCTTCTCCTCCAGAATGGCTGTCCTGGGGAGAATGGAAGGGGTGGGTGAGAGAGCAGGATGGCTAGAGGAGGAGGCCTGTCCCGGGTCACCAAGGGCCACTCACTTGCTGAGGTTGCCGTTTGCCACCTCATCTGCCATCTCGTCCCGCTCCTGCTGGGCCTGCCTCCGGGCGCGGTCTGAGGCCGCCAGTTCCTGCAATGACAGAACGGTGACAGGACGGGGTGAGGGGAAGCTCGAGGGACACCAGCCTCACCCCTCCCTGTCCCTCACACTTCATTGTTTCCTGCCACCCCTCATGCTGTCCCGGGGTACACTGACGGGACCACCTCCGAGGCCCTCGCCTTCTCCTCCTAAGCTCAGTGTCGACTTTTAAGGTTGCTTCGCCTCCATTTCCCCCAATCACCGGGCCACATCCACAAGGTACCCCCTGTGCCTCCTGCTGCTGGGTGACTCTGCCTTCTCCTCCTCACCAGCCCTCTCAAGCCTCATCCTCTCCCCAGCCTCCCTGCCTCCAAGTCTTTTCCCACCTCCCGTCCATCCCCATGGAACTGACAACTGATCCCGACTTTGTCCTGCTCAGAATCCCACCATGATTTTGGGGCTACAGCCCCCAGGACAAAAATCCCTGGTCTCCCAGCTGCGCAGGAGCATGGTTAGCCCCGCCCACTTCCACAGCCTCTCTTCTCACGTGTAAGCCCCGCCCACCTCAAATTCCAGGACCATGTGCTGAGCCCCGCCCACCCCAACCTCCTATCCTAGGACTCTGTGGTTAGCCACGCCCACTCCTAAAGCCTCTAGTCCCAGAGGCACGTGGTTAGTTCCGCCCACCCAGGACCACGTGACCAGCCCCGCCCGCCTCCCCGGCCTCACCTCCTGCAGCCGCAGCACCTCTGCTTCCAGCCCCTTGAGGCGCTTCTCACTCTCCCGGTTCAGAGTGAAGATCTCCTCCCGGGAGCCGCGGGTCTCCTCCACCTCCCGCCACAGCTCCTTCATCTGGGTCTGGGCAGAACGAGTGGGCTTGGCTTGGCCATCCTCTCGGGGCCCTCCCTACCTTAGCACCAGCCCTGCAGGGGCTCCCGTGGACAAGCAGGGCGATCTGACATCCCTTGCAGACCCGGGCTTCTGCCCACAAGCCCCTTGCTGTGTGACCTTGGGCCCACTCTGCTCCTTCTCTGGGCCTCAGTTTCTCTCTTAAGGCAAGTTCAAGTGGGCCTAACGCAAGTGTAATATGGAGAAAAGGAGGAACAGAGAGGTTTCCATGCCCAGGGTAGCAAGTACCAGAGCCAGCGTTTGAACCCAGGCTTCTCTCTCCAGGGTGTATCTTTGACACATAGATGTAGAACTATTTTTGTGGGACTGGGGTTTGAACTCAGGGCTTTGCATTTGCAAAGCAGGCGGCTCTACCGTGAGAGCCACTCCTCCAGTTCTTTTGCTCTGGTTACTTTGGAGCGGGATCTCGAAAACTATTTGCCTGGGCTGGCCTGGAACCTTGGTCCTCCTAAATAGCCGGGATTACAGACGTGAGCCACGCGGCCCCCCCCACCCCCCGCTGGGCTGTGAACGTTATGGAGGAGCAGCTGATCTGGTGCACTGGTGGTGGAGAAGGCAGGCTAGAGTGGGTCTCATCCAGGACCGTGCGGGTCCCCCTCTCCTTACCTGCATCTTCCGCAGCTGCTTCACTGCGTCCTCCTTGCCCTGCCCCGCGGCTGCCGTCTGCGCCTTCAGCTCCTCCAGCTCGGCCTCCAGCTTCTTGCGCGCGGCCACTGCCAGGGCCCTCTGCTTCCGCTCCTCGTCCCTTTCTACTTCTGCGTCCCTCAGCTGCGGGGAGCGGGGGTGACAGGAGGAGTCAGGTCAGATGACAGGACGCCCAGACCTCCTCTCTGCACTAGTGTCATGGACGTCCACCTCAAGCCCTGTTCTTCCTCCCTCCTTCCCGGCCTCCATCGCCACCCTACAGCCCCACACAACTTCAGAGGGGTCTTTGACACCCAGGGCTCAGCCTGCTCACAGCCCTGGCCTGGGTCCCCAGTGCCCCTGTGCAAATCGTGGACACACATCCAGAGTTGGGTCAGGGTGCCAGAAGAGAGGAGAGCCACTCAGAGACCTCTCTGACCTCCAAACTTCTCGCACCCCCTTTCTGGAACCTGTTGTATTCCGTAGCCCACAGGGGCCTTTCGGACACTCACAGTTGCCCTGCCCCTCCCAAACTGGGCACTCGCCACTTGTCACCCCTCCCCCCCAGAGCAGATGGTAGGAACCCCCTGGACTGAATGAGCAATGAGTGAGGATGGGGACTTCCTGGAGCCAGTCACGATGGAGTGACCAGTGGTCAGTAGTTTGGCGTGCACAGGGGCTGGGGCTTGGTAAATACAGGAGACTGGGCACGTGAATGACAATGACACAAAGCTGAAATCATTTTTTTAGCAACACTGGGGTTTGAACTCAGGCCCTTGAATTTGTACTTAAGTCACTTGAGCCACACCTTCAGCCCTTTTTTTGCATTTAAGGTTGTTTTTTTCTTTTATTCATATATGCATACAATGTTTGGGTCATTTCTCCCTAAGGTCGTTTTTTTAGAGAGGATCTGTGTTTGTGCTGGGGCTGACTGGACTTTGATCCTCTTACCCAATCACAGGTGTGTCCCACCATACTCAGTTCACTGACTGAGATGGGGTTCTTACTAACTTTTTGCCTGGGGTTGGCCTCAAACCATGATCCTCCCAATTTCCACCTCCCAAGTAGCTGGATTACAGGCGCAAGCCTGTGCATCTAGCTTCATTTTTTGTTGTTGTTTTGTTTTCAATACTAGGATTGAACCCAGGGCCTCACACATGCTAGGCAAGTGCTCTGATTATAAGCCACATCCCCGGCCCTTTTGTTTGTATTTTATTTCTGAGATAGGGTCTTGCTAACGTTGCCAGGGCTGGCCTTGAACTCTCCATCCTCCTGTCTCTGACTCCCAAGTAGCTGGGATTTCATACATGAATCCTGGGTCCTGGTATGTTCTTTAGGGTGGCAGTCAGATGAGGTAGCTGGGTGAGTGGAGGGAGTAAGTGTCCATTGGTGCAGAGGCTGAGTAAGGGTATGCATATGTGCACATGCATATGTATACGTGCATTTGCATATATGTGCATGCATTTGCGTGTGTATGCATTCATTTGCATGTGCAAACAGTAGAGGAGACACGTGGACAGTTTGGTAGATGAAGGGCATATGCTTTGGTGCATTAACAGCTCAACAGGATGTGTATGGGGCTGACCAATCATGACAGGAAGATGGCACCATGGGAGGAGGATGACTGGCCAGTGGGAGGGTCTCACGGGACCCCTTGCCTGCCCCAGGGCACACCCAGGCTGGACAGTGGCCCTCACTCAGCTGTACCTGCTTGGCCAGCTGCCTCCGCCTCTCCTCGCCAGCCTCATCGCGGCCCTGCAGGTCACGTTCATGCTGAGTCTTCAGAGCCTGCACGGTCACCTCCAGGCGCAGCTTGGCGTCCTCCGCTGCCGTCAGCTCATCCTCCAGTTCTGTCACCTGTGTCCGCAGGTCACTGGCTGCCTGTTCTGCCATCCTGCGGGTTCGTTCCAACTCATGCACCTGGGCGGGAGGGAGTGAGCAAGTGTGGGTACCCCAGTCTCCATGGGAGGGAAGCTGGGGTCCAGAGTAGCGGGGGATGCAGCAAGTCAGTGTGCCCGTTCTAGTTATTTCCTCATTCATTCGGCATTTCCTAAACACCTACTATGTGTCTTGTTTTAAATCACTGTAAAACTAGCCTGTGCATCATACAGACTGAACATCCCTTATTTGGAAATCCAAAATAAAAAAAAATATTTTTAAGTCAGTCTCCCTATGTGTCCCAGGCTGGGTTTGAACTCAAAATCTTCCTGCCTCAGCCTCTCCAGTGCCGGGATTACAGGTATGCACCACCATACCAGCTCCAAAACTTCTGAAGAGCCAAGATGGCACCACCACAAGTGGGAAATTCCACACCTGACTTCATTTGACAGGTGGCACTCAAAACACAGTGCACTAAGAATATTGTATAAAATAATTTTAAGGGATGTGTATAAGGTGTCTATGCAGCATAAACGAATTTCATGTTTAGGGCTGTGTTCTAATACATGATATAGAATTACACACAAGCAAACATTCCAAAATCCAAAGCAATCCTAAATCTGAAACACTCTGGTCCCAAGCACTTCAGTTAGTGGGAGGTCGCTCCACTTGTAACTCTATTACCCAAAGCTTGCGACAGTTCAGTTTAAATGTCCATTTCATCAGTGAACTCTCAGGGCTGGAGGTGTGGCTCAAGTGGTAGAGCATCTGCCCAGCAAGCTCAAAGCCCTGAGTTCAAACCCCAGTACCAGTAACAAATGGGAGGAAAAAAAGAAAAAGGAGCATCAGCTGACTCTCACTCTAGGTGGGCTATTTCCTTGTAGGCTTGTAATTTTGGATTATGAGCTCGTTTTGCTGGGGCTGCATCGATGTGAAAATGGTTGAAGTCACTGTGCCCCAGAGGTGCAGACGCCCTGCTTATCACCTACTCCTTATCTACCCTTTATCCACCCCTTCCTGTCTTTCAGGGAGGTGTAAATTAAAACCCCAAGCTCTCCATAATTCTTAGTGGTCCGTGGGAGTCTCCTCTTAACTGTCACCGCCTGGAGAAACCACAGTTGACCTCCAGAGATACCCTGTGGCCAGGCTCCCGCACTGAGCCCCTGGCCTACTCAGCTCTCCTCACAGTGGACAGTGACCGTTTGCTTATGTGTCTTCCATGCTGAACTCGGTCTTCCACCAGACAGGGGACATCCACAGAGCAGCACTGCCCAAGTGACCCTCGCTAAGATTCTGGTCAGTCTTTTACTTTCAGCCCCTGGAAGGGGCTGCTGGTCCTTGCTTCTGTCTGTACCTGTCAGTTAATCATGGTTTTGTTTTCTTTTGTGACCCACTTTTTTTTTGGTGGCACTGGGGTTTGAACTCAGGGTTTTCACTTGGTAGGCAGATACTCTACTACTTGAGCCTCACTACCAGCCCTTTTTTTCTGTTGGTTACTTTTGAGCTGAGGGTCTTTCTCTATGCCCAGGGCCAGCCTGGACCATGATCCTATTTGGGCTTCCCACGTAGCACAAATTGGGTATCAGTCTCAACCCTTTGCCTGGTCTGGCCTCAAACCCGGATCCTCTCAATTCTGCCTCCTGAATGGCTAGGATTCTAGGCTGACAGCACCAATGCCTGGTCTCACTAACATCTTATCCCATAAAAGCTTTTGGAACCACTTGATGGTCTTTCCAAAGGGCAGACCTTACTGTTTGGAGAATAAACAGGGTTTCAGCTCCGGTACCCCCAGGGCTGGGGGGCGGGGGCACACGGGGGGCGGGGTTTCTCTGCAGACGCGGCTAACTGCGCGTCAGCCCGACCTCAAGACACCGGAGAAAATGAAGCCCTACCCACCGCGAACCCAGGAGCGTATGACTGGGAGTGGAGGCAATGAGGCCATCGGGAAGGGTTTCCGCCCAGGGACTAAGTAAACACAAGACACTGCCGGTGCCTCCCTCCATCAGCGTGGGCAGCCCGTGTCCCTGCACCCCGTTCTGCTCCACCAACGTATTTAGTAGATGGACGATGGAGGGCTGGGGTGGAGGGGGTAGTGGCCTGTCTTGACCTTTCAGAAGGCTGGGATAGGGGCTGTGTGAGGGAGCCTGGGCAGCCCCTACGGGCTAGGGAGGGACGTAACTTCAGGTAATAGAACTATCAGGCACAAATTACTCCAAAAAAATATGTTTTAGGATGATTCTGAATGAGACGCAGGTACTCAGTAAGAATGGATGGTGGACAGACGGATGGATGGGCTGGGATGGGGCCATGGATTTGCTTCCCTTCTGTGGAGGGAAAACAGAAGCCTGGTCCTAAGACAGTGCGCTCAGGGTGGAGGCGAGGGGGTCCTCACATTGTATGTGTGCATGTGTGTCCAGGATTCTCAGACTGCGTGTTGTGGCAAATTCTCCATGTTCTCTCTCTCTCTCTCTCTCTCTCTCTCTCTCTCTCTCTCTCTCAGTCTGGGAGTAGTTTTCCATATGCACTGGACACATGCACGTGTTTAATGGAGATTTCTCCGACATTCCATGAATGCGAATGTGAGCACATAGTGCTTTTTTTTTTTTCTGTTTTGTTTGCTTGTTTTGAGACAAGATCTCATTATGTAGCCCAGGCTGACCTGGAATTTGTGATCTTCCTGCCTCAGTCTCCCGAGTGCTGGGATTACAGGCATACGCAACTATGCCTGGCTCAAGTATGTGGCTTTGTGAGCCTCTCTCATGTTGTGTGTGTGCGTGTGTGTCTGGAGGAAGATTCTCCTCCCCTTCCTGGTCTCTCTGGACAAATATCTGTGTGGGGTGAGCACTGTTCCCCTCTGTGTTTGCGCACGAGCACACAGCCTTGGCAAGGTGCTCTTCCTGTTCTGTATGTGATAGCATGTCTCCCCGCATCCAGGTGCCCACATGATCAATCCTGGGGCACAGGCCCTGCTCACACTCTTGCCGACGTCATCCTTGCTGCTCAGCAGTGCCTCCAGCTCGGCCCGCAGGGCCCGGTTCTGGCGCTCCAGGTCCTCCCGAGCCTCCTGCTCCTCCTCCAGGGCCCGTGTCAGTGACAGGGCCCGAGCCTCACGCTCCCGGCCCTCGGCCTCCACCCGCTCGCGCTCCTCCACCACCCGCAGCACGGCAGTCTTCTCCTCCGCCAGGAGCTGCAGGGAGAGGAGGGGACACAGGTCAGCTGACACGGGGGTCCAGGGAGTGGGGAGGAGAGGAAGGGGGGAGGGGAGGGAAGGGGAGGGAAGGGAGACAGAGAAGAAAGAGAAGAGAGAGAGAGAGAAGGGAGACAGAAGAGAGAGACACAGACAGAAGAGAAAGAGAGAGGAGACAGAAAAGATAAGAGAGACCCACAGAGAGAAGAGAGACAATAGAGAAACAATAGAGAGAAGAGACACAGAGAAGAGAGGAGAAAGACAGAAGAGAGACACCAAGAGAGAGAAGAGAAAAGAGGGAGGGAGGGAGAGAGAGAGAGAGAGACAGAAAGGGAGAGACAGACAGACAGAAGAGGGAGGTGGCAGGATTGAAGTGTATCCCAGTCCCAATTCAGCTCAGCTCTAGGATGATGAGATGGATTGGTACTTTGCTCCATATGCAGAGGAAAGGGTGCTTCTTCCTTTTGGGTGTGAAGGTAGAAAAGTGCTTAGGTGTATTTTCAAAACAGACTCCACCTTTACTGTGTTCTTTGAGACACAGTAATTGGCCAGTGATCATTCTTATGAGACACACAAAGAAAGAAGAGAATATGGTGATGTTAAAGAGAAAAATCCATTCACAGACGCTGACCCTCAGGTGACATCCATGCAGAGCTCATCACACAAGGACTTGAGCTGTGACAAGAAGATTTAGAATGAGATGGAGATAATGGAGAGACGAGACAGGGTTACCTCAGGAGGAATTTGAGAGTAAAACAGAACCACGTGGAAGGGCTGGTGGAGTGGTTCAAGTGGTAGAGCATTTGCCTAGTGAACTATTTGCCCAGGCTGGCTTTGAGCCATGATCTTCCTGATAGCTGGGATTACAGGCGTGAGCCAGGGGAGGTGGCGGAAACTTTAGGAAGTGGGGCCTTGTCGTGTTCCCCAAAAGCTCATGTGTTGCAACAAGTGACTGGATCATGGGGTTCACTCATCGATTGGTTCATAACTTCATGGCCCATTGGGAGGTGGTTGGAAAATGAGCAGATGGAGGTGGTGGGTCCTTGGGGACTGCATCTTGTCCTCCTTTCTCTTTCTCTCTCTCTCTCTGTCTCTCTCTCTCCCTCCTCCTTCTCTCTGCATCCCAGACACTGTGAGGTGAAGGACTCTCCCGCACCACACACACGCCACCATGATGCTCTGTGTCACCAACATCCAGACCCTGGACTGAAACCTCTGAAACCGTGACCCAAAAAAATAAACGCTTCATTCTCTCAGGTGTCTTGTGACAGTCACAGTAAGGTGACTAGCACAGGCCTAGGGGAGGCCTTCCTGTCATGGGGCGTGGGGGCGGTGTCTGTCCTTGAAGGTGACTGGGAGACCCAGCCCCTTCTCCTTTCTCCTTTCCCAGCTGGCAGGTGAGCTGCTTTGCGCTGGCACGGGCACCCACCATGACGAGCCTCTGGGCCACAGGCCCAAAACAAGGAAGCCAACTGACCCCAGACTGGACTGAAACCTATGGAACCCAACTAATCCCTTCTCTTTATGTTATTTATTCACTTGCGGTGCTGGGGATGGAGCCCAGGGCCTCACAATGGGCAAGTGCTCTACTCCTTGAGCCTCGCCCCTGGCCCTTGGTTGATATTTTGTTTGCAAGACAGCATCCCATTAACTTCCCCCCCAAAGCTGGGCTAGAACTCAAGATCCTCCTGCCTCTGCTTCCCAAGTAGCTGAGATTACAGGCGTGTGCCATCACACCCGACTCCAACCTTTCCTCTTTATAAGCTGATTTACTGTGAGTATTTGCTATAGCACCAGAAAGCCACTGACCCATGACCATAACTCCCTGGAGTTCGTCCTCAGACTGGCCAAAAGCTTAGCATTGTTCCCATTTTCTAGATGGGTAAATCGAGGCTGAGAAAGGAAAAGTAACTTGCTGGAGGTACCCGGAGAGTCAGCAGGATAAAGGAGACATGCTGATTTCTTTACTCCTCATAGTGCCCTTGGTGGGGGGGTGGGAGAGAGGACACTGCTGTCCATCACCAAACCAGGACACTTCCAAAGTGACAGAGAGTGCTGCCAAGATCAATGGCAGAAACCAGGACAGAGAGGGTGGCCCAGTTTACAGAGGCTCAGGGGAGGCAGCGCTGGCTTCCTCCTGCTCTGCCACTTCACCACTGACCTGTGACGACTGTGCGCGCATGTAAGTGTGTGCATGAGAGAGAGAGAGAGAGAGAGAGCCCAGCTGGGGAAACCGAGGCACACACCTGGTCGAACTTCTTCTGCTTCTTCTCCAGCGAGCTCACGAGCTGCCTCTGTTGCTCCAGATCCACGGTGACATCGTCCAGCTCCTGTTGCAGCCGCCGGCGGCCCCGTTCCAGCCGCTCCACAGCCTCCGTCTTCTCAGCCAGGCGCTGGGCCAGTGCCTCAGCCTCCCGGGCTGCCCGGCGCCGAGCCTCCTCCCCGGCTTCCAGTGCGCCAGCCTCCTCCTCCTGACGGCGCCGCCACTCTGAGAGCTGGGGGGGGAGGGAGAAAGTGGGGTGAATGACCAAGGTGTGAGCTGGTGGCACCCCGTCTCCCAGGGGGAGACTGAGGCCTGAGGATGGGAGGCCTCGCTCCACCTGGCTCTCCTGCCTCAGAGTGGGATGCAGGTTGTGAGTACTGTGAGCTGGTCCAGGGGATACAGACTACTCCTTCCTGGAGCTAGAGATGAATCAGGCAGGTTTCTCTTTCTTGGGGAACATCCCCCCAGTCTGAAGGGGAAACTAAGCCAGGATGATGGAACCTAAGGTAGAAGAGGTATAGGAGCCATTTGAGTCTACAAGAGGGTTTCAGAATCTGTTCTGAATATTCAGGAGAGTTCCTTAGGGAGGAGCATTTGAGATGGGTTTTGAAGTATGCATAGGAGTCTGCTGGCTGAAGGATATTTGCCAGCATGAATGAAGGTATTTTTTAAGATCTACCATAAATTAGGCTCTAGGTTGGACTGTGCTGGGAACCCAGATCTAACTCTGACGGAGTTCCACTTTGTGCTTTTGGTTTGTTTATGAGACAGGGTCTCGTTATGTAGTCCAGGTTGGCCTTGAACTGGGATTACATGTGTGTGCTACAACACCTGGCTTTGAAGCTCCACTTTGAGGGGGTTCACAGTTGGGCTGGAGGTCTTATGGGCAGGACAGTCCCAGCCCAGGGGGCCCAGAGTTGGGATAGAAGAGAAAGAAGCAGTGTCCAGAAGAAAGCTACAACCATAGGGGAGGTCGGTACCACACTTGGAAGAATGAAAGGGTTTTACCAAGAGAACTGGGGAAATTGGGACAGGTGACCGACTGTGGACACAGATGCTGGGAGCTGTGGGAGGGGAGTGAGCAGGCAGAGTGCCCTAGGGGGTGAACAGGAAGCTGAGAGGTGAGGTTGGAGCCGGCTGTGTGGACAGGGGCAGGAGGCCTGGCTGGCACAGTGGGTGGTGGGGGGTGGTGTGGACAGATGATCGGGAGCAAGGGTGGCACCCAGGGGCCTGGCCTGAGTGGATGGGCGGTGGGCTGTCCCTGAGCAGGGGCTGCAGATGGAGAAGCATGGAGGCCTGGCCTCCCTGCGGGGTGCTGGCTGCCCACCTGGACCTGGGCGCTCTGCAACTCGCGTCCGGCCCGCTCCCTGGCGGCCGCCTCCTCCTCCAGCTGCTCCCGCAGCCCGGCAGCCTCGGCCTCCATGGCACGCACACGGGACCCCAAGGCCAGCTTGGCCCGGGTCTCCTCCTGCAGCAGCTCCTGCGTGTGGGAGGGGCGGTGGTGGTCAGGTGCAGTTGGCAGGACAGTGGGGATAGCAGGGAACATCAGGGCAGAGCCAGGACAGGGCAGGTCACCTGGGCGTCGTGTAGCTGGGCCTCTGTGCTGCTCAGCTCCTTGCCCAGCCTGATGGCCTTGGACTCGGCCTCATTCAGTGCCGAGGACACGGTCTCCAGTTCAGCCTGTGGACAGAGGGGCAGGGGTGAGGCCCACCTGGCTGGAGCGACTCCCACCCAGCTGACCCCATCGACAGCACCTCGCGTCCCCCGCAGCCGCGCAGGGGACAGTGGCAGGGCACGGCGGCTCGGGGAGAAGTTAAACACTGAGTCCTCAGGAGACCCAGCAACTCCGCTCCTCTGAGGGAACTCAAGATGTGAAACCCGTGTGGGCCTGGAAAACCCGGACCAGGTATCTGCCAACAGGTGACACAGACCAGCAAAGTGTGACAGAGCCAGGCCATGTTATCCAGCAATAAAAAAGAACCAAGTGCCAGGCCTGGTGTGCATATCTGTAATCCCAGCCTCTCGGAGGCAGAGGTAGGAAGATCTCGAGTTTGAGGCCAGCCCAGGCAAAGTTAGCAAGATTCTGACTCAGACTGAAAGCTGGGTGGGCACTGTGACTGACGCCTGTAATCCTAGCTACTTGGGAGGCAGAGATCAGGAGGACTGCAGTGCAAAGCCAGCCCGGGAAATTGTTTCTGAGACCCTATCTTGAAAAAACCCTTCACAACAAAGGGATGGTGGAGTGGCTCAAATGGTAGAGTCCCTGCCCAGCAAGAGTGAGGTCCTGAATTCAAAAAAACCAAAACCAAAACGAATGTTTGGTCTATGGGAACTGATCACTAATATTAGCTCCATAATTCTAAGAGTGACCACAGAGGCCCAGAGAGGGTTGGCATCTCACCCAAGGTCACACAGCAGAAACCCCCTCTGCTCACACGCATGCCCATCACCCTACTCACCTGGGCTCGCTGCAGCTTGTCAGCGGCCTCCACTCGAGCCCGTTCCCCATCGCCAGCCCGGCTCTGCACCTCCTGCAGCTGAGACTCCAGGCGGCGCCTCTTCTGCTCCCCCTCTTGCCTCGTGGTCTGCAGGCTACTCAGCTCTGCTCGCAGCTCAGACACCTCAGCCTCCAGAGCCGAGCGAGTTTTCTCCCAGGCACCTTTGCCCTGGTGGGGCAGGGAGGTGAGTGAGGAAAGGTGCCGAGGCATCCCCGTCACAGGCCAGGCCCACCCCTGCCGCAGGGCCTTTACACTGGCTGATCCCTGGGCCACCCCAATCTTCCTCAGATGTCCCTTTCCTGAGAAGCCCTCCTCCACCTCCTCCACCGAGGCACTCTGAAGATGCATGGGGGGCCTGAGCCAAAGAGAACCATCCAGAGGTTCCCCCTTCCTGCCACAGCCCCCCCATCTAATCCATCCCCACACCAAACCCACCCGCCGGGCCTGCTCCAGCTGCTCCGACAGCTCCCCGAGCGCCTGGCCGTGCCGCTGCCTCAGCTCCTGGACTGCCACCTCGTGAACCCGCGTCTCCTCCTCCAGAGCTTTCTTTAGCTCGATCACCTCTTGCTCCCTCTTGGAACTGTTGTTGGGAGAGAGAAAACAGGAGCAGAACTTCAGACAAAGGGAGGGTGGGACTTTGACTCCTTTGTCCTGAAGATGGAGACCTCAGTCTATACTTCACAAAGGATGAGGGTGGTGAGGCTGGAAGGGAGTGGCTTTAAAGACGAACTCCTACTCATCTTCCACAGCCCTATTCAAAAAGCCCCCTCCTTGGGGAAGCCTTCCTGGGTCCTTTCCCATAGACTTGGCTCAGGGTCTTTTTGTTTATTACCCACAGTGCCCTGTGCCGCTCCGTTGTTCTGGACTGAGTTTGTCTTTGCTCCAATTTGTCTCCTCCAAGACTGGGGGCCCTCTTAGAGTAATGCCTGGGTTTGGTTCCCCTCTGTCCCCAGTGTGACCCAGGCTGTGTTCGTTTACCGCAGCTCCTGCTGGGCGTTGGTGGAGTCCAATGTGTCCTCCAGTTCCCCGCGCAGGGCCTCCAGCTCCTCGCCCAGGTCCCGGCGCTGCTTCTCGGCCTTGGCCCTGGCCGCGCGCTCGGTCTCCAGGTCCTCCTGCGCCTCCGCCAAGCCGGCCTGTGCCTCCCGGAGGGATTTGAGCAGCTGGGCTCGGGCCCCGCCCTCCTCCTCTGCCCTGCGGTGGGAGGACGACAAGGACCACAGATTGGCACCAAGGCAGGCAGGGATGAAGGGAGACTTCTGGGGCTGGAGAGGCTGGATGGGGGTTTTGGAGATGCCCAATCCAAGATTCAAATCCCAGATCAGGTCGGGTGTAGTGGGGCATGCCTGTAATCCCAGCACTCTGGAGGCTGAGACAGGAGAATCTCGAGTTTGGGGCCAGTTTGGGTACATAGTGAGATTTTTGCCTCATGTGCAAGGCCCTGAGTTCAAAACCCAGCTCTCCCCCCCCACAAAAAAAAAGAGAGAGGAGAAAAAAAAAGGTACCAAGGCCATATGTGGTAGCTGCTGGGGACTGAGCAGAAGGAGACTGTAGACAGCTGCTTAGCGGGTGCAGGGTTTCCTTCAGGGGTGATGAGAAAGTTCTGAAATGTGCTACAGGTGCCACTTATACCACACCGAGAAAGGACTAAAGTCACACAATTATGTACTTTCAAGTGGTTATTGTCACCAGGCATGGTGGGGCACACCTGTAATCCCAGCACTTGGGAGGCAGAGGCAGGAGGATCGTGAGTTTGAGGCCAGCCTGGACTATATAGAGAAAAACTATCTCAAAAAGTCAAAAGTAATTAAGTAGATAAATAATTTTAAGGTCTTACTATCTCGTGAATTTCACCTCAGTTAAAAAAAAAAAAAGGGAAAATATAGCAAGAGTAATAATGAGGCAGGCGTGGCAGTGTCCGCCTATAATCCCAGCGACTGGGGAGGGGAAGGCGGAGGGTCACCGTCTGAGCCTGGCCAGCAGGAGACGCTAAAACCAGAGGTGCTGAGGCGTGTGGCTCAGTGGTAGAGCTCCTGCCTCGCAAATGTGAGGCCCTGAATTCAAACCCCAGTAACACAAAAAAAAGCGACTAAAAGTAGTAACAAGCACCTTCTTATACTATTCCTATTAGATTTTATAAATGTCATTTTACAGATGAAGAAACTGAGGCTAGAGGGGCGACGTCATGAGAGTGACGTAGCCAGAAAGGGGCGGAGCCAGGATTAAGAAATCCATGTCAAGGGTGTGATTAAACACGCGGCGCGCAGGCGCACACAAGCGTACGCGCGCTCGTACGCATGACGCCCGCGCATGCGCACTCGGCTGGGCGCGAGGCTGAGTTTGCCGCACTCCTCCTGACCCAGGTGGCTCGGGACTGGCGATGGCATTTGACAGAAGGGACGGGCTCCGCGCGGTGCCACCCGACCTGGCCAGCGCCGCCTGCAGTTCCTCTTCCTTGCGGCCCAGCTGCACCCGCAGCTCCTCGGCGCGCTGCTGCTGCTCCAGCATCTGCTCCTGCAGCTCCGAGCTCTCCCCGTCCAGCCGCCGCTTCAACTTCTCCAGCTCCTGGCGCCCCTTCTCCTCCTTGCGCAGGCGGTCTGCGGGGACAAGGGGGCCAGGGCCGCGGGCTACAGGCCGGCCACTCGCCCGGCGCGGAGCCCCGCCATCGTCCCCAAACCTCCTCCTCCTGCTCCTCCCGGACCCCATCTCAGGGCGCTGTCCCATATCCGGGCCAGACGCTCTCCCGGGGTCTCTGTGCTGCTCCTCGCCGCCAGGGACAGCCCTGCCCCCTCCCTCTGACTGTCCTGTGTACACACCCCTGTACCCTCCCTCTGACTGTCCCTGCCCTGTCCTCTCTCTGACTGCCTCTGCCCCATGCCCACAGCTCTTCCTCCTCTGACTCCAACTCTCATCCCATTCCGCAAACAGCACCCCAAGGGTGGCAGTACACGAGCTTGCCGGGACTTCGGGGCATGGACCCCCACAGCCCTGAGCGGTGCTCACCTTCCATGTCCGCAATGGTGGCCTCGTATTTGAGCCGGAGTTTATTGAGGCTCTTGACCTTCTCCTCCTCCTCAGCGGCCTGCGAGGAGAACTCGGCCAGACGCTCCTCCAGCAGCCGCCGCTCCTGCAGGTCAGGGGGTCACTCAGGACATGCGGCCTCTAGTGGCTTTCCTGAGCATCCTCGCTCTTCCTGCACCTCCTGCCCCTTCCCTACCCTCCCACCCCGTGGTCCACCTGTTAACTGCAGGCCAAGGGCTCCGCTTCTCTGAAAAACACCTGTGTCCATTAAGTCGCCAACCCATGAGGGACACAGGCTGGTCACGGTCACTACTGTTGTAAACAATGCTGCAGAGGACATGGCTACCCATCTTCCTCGCTCCTGTCAAGTCATGACCCTGGCACCCTTCCCTGCCTGGCTCACAGAGGCTGTCGTAGTGACAGTGAATTACATTCACATTAGCGTTTAAGAAATGCCCAGAGCAGAACTTTTCACGTCGTGAGTGGGTGGCACTGCCATGGGGCTAAGCCATCCACCCTGCAGACTCTGGGGGAGAAGGCCTCCGTGAGCTGCTGAGACTCAAGGTGCTGCTTGTTACGCAGCATCAGCGCGGTAACTAATGTATGTGGTGAGGGCAGAGAGTCCCTCGAGAGCCCTGGCTCAGTTGTGCTGTGAGGACATCTGAACCTGCCTTGAGTCTCAACAGTGTCCTCAGCCCTCTGTGCCTGGGAGTTCCACACCATCGGATTCTACCAGTGGCAGTTCACAAATATTTGGAAAAAAAATTGGGTCTGCACTGAACACATACCCCCTTTGTGTCTTTGTCACAAGTCTCTAAATAATACCACACACCAGCAATTTACACCGAATTTACATTGTATTAGGTGTCACAGGTCATCTAGAGTGACAAGGTACACAGGAGGCTTGAGTATGTTTTCTGCAAACACTGTGACATTTTATATATAAGGTATCCAAGGGGATCCTGGAACCCCACAGACACCAAGGAGTGATTTCTGCAGGTTACAGTCAGGAGAGATTACAGTCAGGAGAGACTATCTGATAGAACTTTCTGGAATGCAGTAGCCACGTTGGACCATTCAACACTCGACACACAGCTAATGAAACTGAGGACTTGCCCCTTGAATGCCACTCCATTTTAATTAGCTTAACTTCTCATTTTGGTAGGACTGGGGACTGAACTTGGGTCATCGCGCTTGCTAGGCAAGTGCTCTACTATTTGAGCCACGTCCCCATATAGTCCTTTTTGTTTTGTTTTGTTTGGTGGGACTGAAGTTTGAACTCAGGGCTTTGCACTTGCAAAGCAGATGCTCTACCCCTTGAACAATGCCTCCAGTCCATTTTTGCTCTGGTTATTTGGAGATGAGATCTCATGAACTATTTCCTCAGGCTGGCCTTGAACCTTGATCCTCCCAATCTCAGCCTCCCAAGTAGCTGGGATTATAGGCATGAACCCCCAGCCCCTAGCATTATATAGTTCAAATTGTCTCTATGATGACTTGGAATACGTACTTTGTTGATAATTGTTATACTTCCTTGCTCAGGGAATAAAGACAAAAAGAAAAGCCCTGTACATCTTCAGTACAGATGCAGCTTTTTAAAAACGCTTCTCACCTGTGGTTGGCTGAACTGTGAGTGCAGACCCCACAAATACAGTGCTGACTATGTAAAAGTACACTGCTGCCCTGTCCCTGACTCATGGGGGTCGCCAACTTGTATGTGTTTGCGACCTCTTAAGCATTATGTGTGGTGTGGGTTCTCATGTCCGTGATGGCTAATGATGGCTCATCTATCTTCACACTTTGGTTTTCTGTCTGCTCCTCTGTGGACAGTCTGTTTACTTGCAGCTGTTGACCTACTGTTTGCTTTGTGCTCCTTATCTCTCTCTCTCTCTCTCTCTCTCTCTCTCTCTCTCTCTCTCTCTCTCTCTCTCCCTTTCTTTTGGTGGTACAGGGATTTGGGCTCAGGGCCTTGAGCTTGCTAGGCAAGCACTCTACTGCTTGAGCCAGATGTCTCCTGTTTTTCTCTGAGGCTGACCTCAGACCTCAGTCTGCCTCCTGTGTAGATGGGGTTACAGGGCTGCACCACCACACCTAGCATATTGGTTATGATGGGGTCTCAATAATTTTTTGCCTGGGTTGGCTTTGAATCTTTATCCTCCTGATCTCTGCCTCCCAAGTAGCTTACAGTCATGAGCCACCAGGCCTGGCTGTACATTGTTTTTGAGGCAGGACATCAAGCCAACTTTGCCCTGCCTGACTTCAAACTCAGAGCCTCCGGCTTCTGCCTCCCAAGTAGCTGGGATTTCAGGCATGAGCCACTACACCCACCACTTGTTCATTTCCAGGAGTTCCTTCCACCCTGTGGATACTGGTTCTTCATCCAGGAGGCGTGGCATGGCCTTGAGGACATGCCCACCAATGTCCCTTCCTGTTCTCAGTCCCCACCTTGCTTAGCTTGGTGTTCTGGTCCTCCAAGATGAGCAGGTCCTCTTCAAACTTCTTCATCTTCGCCTCCGTGGTCACCTTCTCCAGCTGCAGCTTCTGTCGTGCCCCCTCCTCAGCCTCCAAGTGGCTCTCCAGCTCCTGCAGGGAGGGAGGAGGGAAGAAGGCCCCAGGGGCTGTGGGTGCAGAGTGATAGGGAGGATGGAGAGCAGCACCCCACAGACCCCCTACCCTGGGCAAAGCTGGCAGGCTCAAACTCTTCCTGGTCTTTCTCTTTCAGCTATCAGCTCAACAAGCACTTATTGAGTGCCTAATGTGTACTAGGTACTAAGGATAGATAAAATCCATGTTCTTACAGAAACTGCTTCTTTGTATGTGGGGGTGTTGGGTGCCGATTATATACAATAAATATAATATACAGATGTTACTGATCACTGACAGCCCCCCAGGCGCAGTGGAAAGTATGGTGCAGTACCCAACAGCAGGTAAGGTGCTCCCACCTCTTGCCCTTCCTCACAGTGCTGGCTTATGCCTGAGAGGGAGGCACCATTGCTTCCCTGCCAGTCAGGAAATTATTATAATAATCCTGAAACCAGGGGTCACTGAGAGCCCCTACTTGTTCCTTTGGGTTTTTTTTCTCTTTTTTCCTGGTAGTGGGGATCAAATCCAGGCCCTCCCACTTGCTTGACAAGTGCTCTGCCACTTGAGCCACACCCTTGTTCTTTTGTTTGCATTTTATTTCTGAGATAGAGTCTTGCTAACTTTGCCCACATTGGCCTCAAACTCTCAATGCTCGTGCCTCAATCTCTTGAGTAGCTGGGATTACAGGTGTGCCCCACCACGCCCAGTTTACATGCTGAATTTTGAAGGAGAACCATGGGGGAGGGCAAATGCAAATGCAGCAGCGCAGGGGTAGATGGACCCCAGAGATGGAGACAAGCAGAGTATGGAGCACATCACTTGAACACCTGAATCCAGCCATACCTGAAGCTTACCCATTCTAGAGTCACCCATTATTTGAATATATCTATGTAGATAGATAGATAGATAGACAGATCTGCTTTTTACTTCAGTCACTCAGAGTTGAGTTTTCTGTAAATTCACGGCACAAAGAAACATTTGTAAAGGCAAAGGTGGGTGGGGTGGACAGAGGGGCCAAACCTGTATGTGCTGCTGCAGTCTCTTCTTCTCGGATTGCAGCTGGCGACTGCACTCCTCCTCCTCGCCCACGCGGGCCTCCAGCTCTGACAGCGCTAGCTCCAGCTCCTGCTTACGCGCTGCCAGCCGGGTACGCGTCTCCTCCGTCTCTGCGCACAGCTCGGCCTCTGTGCGCAACAGCTCGGCCAGGTGGGCGCGCTCCTCCTCCAGCTGCGGAGAGGTGGGAGGTATGGGTCAGTTGGTGGCCGCCTAGGGTGGCCAGCCATGGAGCACCGTGTCTCCCCTGTCTCTTAACTTACTTTACCCCGAGGCCTTGGGGACAGGAGGAAGGGTGGGAGACACAGCCCCATACTGGCTCTTGCCCACATCCCCCTCTGGATCAGACCCCTGATGTCTCCCAGTCCTCACTCCTCACAGCCCATCAGTGGTCAATTCTGTCCCTCCTGTCCCCAGCTCTGCCCAGGCTCCTTCTCCCTGCCCCCATATCCCTGGCTGGCTTAAGTCCTGTCCTCTCCCACCTGGACTCTCTCTCCAGCCTCGTTCCCAGCCTCCAGTCTCTCCAGTTTCAGTCCACCTCCAGGTAACTCCAGGGGTCTTCCTCCCACCTCCCATTTCATTTAACAGTCTAGCTAGAAATCTATCCCAAATAATTCAGAAAAGTCAACAGAAAAATACTCAAGAAAGGCTTTGCTCCATTACTGTCACCATTGTTTTATTTTTTGAGACAGGTTCTCATACGCAGCCCAGATTGTCCTCAAACTAACGATCCGCCTGCCTCTGCTTCCAGAGTGCTGGGATTTTGACCTGGGCCACCTGATCCAGCACTCCAGCATTATTTTAAGATAGCCAAATACTGGAAAGAATTGAAAGTCCACCACCTGCAGATGGCAGCCCTATCCCAGCTGGGTCCTGTTCTGTCCCTAAATCCCACAGGACAGCTGCCTGCGCATCCTGGATCTGCAGCCGAACGAGGCCCATCGCCATGGTTTCAGGCCCAGGGCTTGACTCAGCAAGAAGCCCCGCCCCGAAGTCCCCGAGATCCCCCGAAGTCCCGCCCCATTAGAGTCCCCGCCCACAGCCCCGCCCCACACCCTGCCTCTCACCCAGGCTCGGGGCCCCCCACCCTGAAACCCCACCCCTCTTACCCCGGCCCCGCCCCACAGTCCTGGCCAGTTCTGCCCTGAAGTCCCGCCCCTTCCCAGGCCCCGCCCACAGCCCCGCCCCACACCCTGCCTCTCGCCCAGTCTCGGCCCCGCCCTGAAGCCCCGCACCTCCTACCCCGGCCTCGCCCCTGACCTGTGCCACGCGGCTCTGGAGCTCCCCCACTTCGCGGGCGCTCTGTTGCTGCAGCTCCTGGGCTTTCTGCAGCTCCTGGGCCCGCGCCTGCAGCACCTCGTCCTGCCGTGTCACCTGCAGCAGGGGCTTCACCTAGGGGAAAGTTGGGGCGGTGGCTTTCTGTGTCCTTGTAGGGTAATAAATCGGCAGCGTGAGTGAGTCCATCCAGTAAACCTGGGGGTGATTTGGGAATCTCCGACACGGCCCTGGATCCAGCTGCATCTGAAGCTGTCCTGGATTTTTTTTTAAAACTAGGTTTATATACGTAGCCTAGGCTGGCCTTAAACTCTCGGTCCTTTTGTCTCAGTCTCCCAAGTGCTGGGATTACAGGAGTGTGTCACCACACCTGCCTGTCTTGTATCTTTTATCCCTGTTGGCTTGAGTCAGACTTTTGTCATTTGCCACCTAAAGAATCCGGGTAACAGAGATTGGGCTCATTGGCCTCTTTTAGAGATACAGAAAACTGAGGCTCCAGCAGAGGAAGTCACCTGTCCTCTGTCTGCCTCCCTGTCCCCTACCTTGATGAAGAGGCGCCACCACTGCCAGTGCCGCAGCTTGAGGTAAGCGGCACAGTTCCGCTGCATCACCCTCAGCGCGCTCTGCTGCTGCTGGCGCCGCTGGAAGGCCCTGGGGGGGACGTGGAGGGCCGTTAGTAAGGGTCCCCTCCCAGCCCTGTCCCCTGGCAAAGCGCCAGCTCCTTCCACTTCTCCTTGTCAGCTTCCTCTCCAACCCCTTTGGGTACCGGGCCTCACGCATGCGTGCTCCCACCTGAGTCACACACCCCAGCCTTTTCCGTTTCATTTAGTTTTTGGAACAGGGTCTTACTGACTTTCCCTGGATTGGCATGGAACTGTTGATCCTCTTGCCTTTGCCTCCTGAGTAGCTGGGATTACAGCCAGGCATAGCGAAGTCTCTTTTAAGTGGGATTGTCCTACAACCTTCCTGCATCCTGCCAGGCTCCCATGTCACTGGGTCTTTTGCACAAGTTGTCTCTCCTACCTGGGTCACCTTCTCTTTTGTCTGCCTAGCGGCCAGGTGTGACCTGGCTGCAGGAAGGACTCCTCACTGCACCTCTATGCCCCCGACAAACAAACCCAGACCCAGGCAAACCTGGATGATTGGTCACCCTAGAGTCAAGTCCAGTTCCTCTGTCTCCACATCCCTCAGCACAGGGCCTGGCCCACAGCGACCCTCAGGAACCATAGAACCAAGGAGCCTAGGCATCTCTGTGTGGTTCTCAGTCTTTCCACCATCTTGGAGGCCCTTTGGCCATCCCCACTCAGCCTCAGCCCATAGGACCAGGAGACAGCGTGGCCCCCACCTGCGAGCCAGGTATCCCCGGGCAGCTGCCTGGAAGGATACGATGATGTCTGTGACCTTCAGGTCCCGTTCCTCTTCCAACTGGGCCAGGACCCCTGCCCGGAAGAAGATCTTGCTCTGCCCCACGCGGTAGAGGTTGGGGTCCAGTTCCAGGGCCTGGATCTGTGTTTGGAGAAGGGGGGCGGAGAACAGTCAAGAGGAACAGTGAGGAAATAATGAATTGGGGATGGGAGGGTCAGAGGAGTGGGGCACAGGGATGAAGAGAAAGATGAGGAGGGAGGTCCCCTCCTCCCTCCCTTACCATTCACCCCCAGCACATGTGCACACCCCAGACCCTCACCATCTTCTCACACGCCTGCTTCCCGTCCATGAAGCCTTTGGGAATGGCATTGGGTGTGAGGATTTCGTACCTGCAGAGGGTGGGAGGGCGGGAGAGCAGTCAGGTGGAGCGAGGTGAGTGTGAGACACACAGATGCCCAAGACTTGTCAGGAACACCATAGTGTAAAATAGCCCACTGCTCATTTTTTGGGGGGGGGTGGTACTGGGATTTGAACTCAGGGCCTCATGCTTGCCAGGCAGGCACTCTACCACTTGAGTCATGCCCACAGTCCTGCTTTTTTTTTTTTTTTTAATATTGATTACACATTAAAACACTTTGTGTGCACTGGGTTAAATAAGATTGCTTGTTAAAATTTTCACCTGTTTCTCTTTATCATTTATATATTTATTTATGAAACAGGGTCTCACTATGTAGCCCAGGCTGGCTTCAAACTCATAATCTTCTTGTCTCTGCCTTTTGTATGCTGGGATTACAGGAATGCACCTCCACACCGGTTCTACTTTTTCTTTTTCTTTTGGCAGTACTGGGGTTTGAACTCAGGGCCTTGCGCTTGCTGGGCAGGTATTCTACCACTTGAGTCATTCCACCAGTCCATCTACTTCACTTTTAAAGTGCAGACTGCAACGTTTGAAAGTGAGTTCAGGTTCTTGTTTTAGGGACCGCTGCCTTAAACAGCAGCCACAATGTCCCCAAGGCCCCCTGGGTGCTTCCTCCTGGGAGTGCATTGGGCTTGGGGGTCCAGTTCTTCCACATCCCAGCAGAGGAAACTGAGGCTCAACAAAGCCAGTACTGTGCCCCAGGTCCCCCAGCTCAGAGGCAGCAGTGAGGGGACTCGAACCAGTGGCTCTTCCCGCAGCCCCTTGCTCACCGCTGCCGGAACTCCTGGAACAGGATGCGGTTGGGGAAGCCCTGGCGGCAGATGCGGATTCCCTCCAGGACGCCATTGCAGCGCAGCTGGTCCAGAACCAGCCTTGGCTCCAGCTTCCCGGCCTGCAGAGATGCGGGGGAAGGGGGAGGGTGGTCAGCGGCGGCCACAAGGGGGCGATACGCGCCGGCCAAACCAGCTCAAAACCGTCCTAATCCTGCCAAACTGGTAGGGTTCCACCTGTAATCTACTGAGCTCTGGGGAGAGAGGTAGCTACAAGTCGGGAAGGGGAGAGAGACAGACACCCAAGTCGCAAATAAAAATGTCAGCGCTCAAGGAGAAATAATACGTGGGAAGGAAAAAGGGGACGTGCACGCTGAATTTGCACACAGGATGGTGGACAAAAGACCTTACTGGAAAGTCATGTGAACGAAGCCTGCTAATCAGTATTTGGGCTGCTAATTTGAATCGTCTTTGGTCAAAAGCAATACATCAATGTCAAAAAAAACAACAACTAGAGTTGAAAACTCCAAATAGTATGCGCTGTCATTTTAAGTAACACCCCAAAAGAGAAAACCTTGCAATTAATGTCTGACTAGTCATAGATTGTATGCCCCACTCCACGCCCAGGGATGCTGTGTTGGGGAATGTCTTAGGCCACACCTAGGCAACAGCCTCAGCCTTTTCCTACTCCAGCCTACCCCAGGGCCTTTGTACAAGCTACTCTCTGCTTGGAAGACCACTTACTTTTTGGAGCTCAGTTGTTGGGAGTCTTCCTTGACTTCTCTGACCAGATCAAATTCTATGTGACACTTACTGCTCCTATAAATTCACCTGGATGTTTATTTCAGGTAGCTGGGCTCGCTACTCTGCTCTCTTTCTGACAGTGTGCCCCCAAGTCCTGTACCTGGCCCATGGCAGGTGCTCAACAAATTGAAGTCACATGAATGGATGCATTTTCCCAATATGGCCTAGAGCCTGGGGATGGAAGTAACTTGCTCAGAGTGGCAGAAGCAGACCAGGGGACCTGAGATCAGATGTAGGTACAGCCCCTGTCCAAGGCTGGACCTGCCTACCCAGAACAGGGCCACTCACCCTCTTCTCATGATTGGGGACGATGCAGCGGACAAAGCTGGGGTTGGTGTTGCTCAGCGTGGCCATGAGACGGCTCAGTGATTCCTTGTAGAGCTGTCCCACTGTCCTGAACATCCCTCGGCGGGGGCGGCCACCAGGGGGGACGTCCCCAAGGCTGCTCACCTGCTCCAGCCCCACAATGCCCTCCACTGTGGGGGGAGGAAAGAGGCACACAGAGAGAGCAGGGTCAGGGGTCAGCTTTAGGGAACTGGGCTGGCCCAGGTCAAGGTCAAGCGCATGGAACCCAGGGCCTTGCTCACATGCTCTGTAAGTACTCTGTCACTTCAAGCCACAACCCCAGCCTTTTATGTTTGTATTTTTGTTTCTGAAACAGGGTCTCCAATAACTTTGTCCAGGCTGGCCTTGAACTTGCGATCCTCATATCTCTACCCTATCCCATCTCACAGAGGAGAAAACCGAGGTCCAGAGGGGAGTGATGAGGGAAGCAGCCACAAGGAACCCAGTGCAACTGCACATTGGGAACTGGAACGGGGCCCTGATGGGAAGTGCAAAATGTGTGGAGCTCAATAAAAAAATTGGACTGGAGTTTGAACTCAGGACTTCACACTTACAAAGCAGGTGCTCTACTGCTTGAGTCACTCCTCCAGTCCATTTTGCTCTGGTTATTTTGGAGGTGGGGGTCTCGAGAACTATTTGCCCAGGCTGGCCTCAAACCTCGATCCTCCTGATCTGAGCCTCCCAAGTAGCTGGGATTACAGGTAGGAGCCACCAATGCTAGGTTGGAAAGGCCTGATTTTAAGTAACTCTTTCTCTGTTGCCACCTGGCGGGTGCCCACACCTCCTTCTGTACCTGTCTAGAAAGTCAGGTACAGGGCTTTCTCAAGAGCCCACAGCTGGGCAGAATCTGATGTCCTGCAAAACTGAGCCTGCCTGAGGGTCACCAGCAGTTGCCTGGATAACCCAGCCCAGTGTGTGGTCAAATACACTCTTTACTTCCCCAAGTTCAAATCACTCCCCCACCTCCATACCTCAGTTATTTCAAAATGATAATTATCCTTTATTAAGTTCTTAGGGCATAAGGAAGAGCTAAGGTTCTGGGTTTGAATTTGTGTGACCTCAAGCAAGTTCCTTGCTCTCTCGGATTCCTTTCCTCATTTGCATAAGGGGCAACAGTACTAACATACACCTTGCGGGGTTTTTTTTTTTTTTTTTTTTAGGATTCTGGGTGTCAGTTCTAAGAGGGCTTCATGTGAAGTAGAATTTTTTTTTTTTTTGGCAGTACCAGAGTTTGAACTCTGGGCGCTCTACTTCTTGAGCCACGCCTCCAGCCCTTTTGGCTCTATTTTTCACCTAGGATCTGGCATTTTGTTGGGGTGGAGCTGTAGCACAATATTCCTACTTATGCCTCCCTTGTAGCTGGGGTGATGGGTGATTTGAGATGGGGTTTTACTAATTCCCCTCCACATTGGCCTTGAACCGTGATCCTCCCGATCTCTGCCTTCTGAGTAGCTGGGATTACAGGTGTGAGCCATGGCACCCAGCCCTCACTTTTTTTTTCCTGGTACTATGATTTGAATCCAGGGCCTGGTGCACATTTCCAGCAAGAGGTCTCCCACTTAATGCCCCCAGCTTGTTTGTACTTTCATAGGAGGTTTAATTAGAAGACGGACCTCTGCTGATAGATTCTGCAAATGCAGAGTCTGGCAAGGAGAGAGAGGAATGGGAGGGACCCCGCACAGACAGGAGTGGGGACAGATGCTCACATGCAGGCTCCCCGCCCAGGGTCCCCCCACCCCATCCAGCAGGCCTCACCGGTGGGTACACAGAGACACCCGCCCCCTGGTGGAGAAGTGGAAGAACTGCGCCTCCCTGCAGGTCCTGGGGGCGATGGCGGGAAGGAACCCAGGATAGAGAATTGTTGGAGGCCCCCATGTTCTGGGGAGGGAGGGCAAATGAGGGGTGGGGGAGATGGCAGGAGAGATGCATGAAGAGAGGAGGGAGAGAAGGCGGCAGGAAGAAAAAGAGGAAAGGATCATTAAATCAGTAACAGAGCAAAGAAGGAGGGAACCCAAATATTGCTGTGAACTTTTCAAGTCCTGTTCACCTTTGTATCTACTCACTGATGGTGGCTAAAAGGATGAATTCCTCTGTGCAAGAGGAAAAAAAATCCCTTCCCTAGACATTGAGTTGGTCTCTGTTTCAGTAAGTATCCCTTTTTGCCTGGCTGCCAGGAAGCTCAAGAACTAAGTTGATGCTTCCAGTGCATTTGTTAGTTCTGTCTCTCAGAGGAGAGCTTATCTCATTTGCCTTTTCCCCTGGGCTGCTAGGATGTTGGGTGCCCAACTCAGGGATTAAGATTGCTGTAGTAGAGATGGTCCCAACTCCCTGCCCTTCCCTGCTTTCCTACCCCTTTGTCTGTATCTTGCAGCATTTTGAACTGGGCTGTCTTTGCAAGTGGCTTTCTTTAGGAGAATTGTGCAGGAAGTGACACTGTGCCAGTTCCAACCTGGATTCAGGAGACTTTGCAATTTCCACTTTTGTGGAGAGCTAGGCAGACCAGTAGGGCAAACGAGGGTCCCCTGGGTGAATTGTGTACCAATGCATGGGACACACATTTTAAAGAAGGTGTAGATTCTCATAGCAGAATCTGGTTTTGTTACTTATCAATCCTCTGACATAAATGATGTGAGACACAAAAAAAAAATAAGTTTCTCCTTCTGACATCAGCTTATGAGCTCAAGATATTCCAAGCCCCTTTGCTCAATGAGTTCATTATGGAAAGGACTCATTTTGCTTATTTAGTTTTCTTGCTTAAATCACATAAGCAGGTCTTTCTACAGGTATGCTTTTCTGCTTGGTAAACATTAAAGCAATCTGACAAATGCCAGAAACCTGGAATCAGGAAAAAAAAAAAACAAACAAGATGCTGGTTCTGCTGGTTTATAAAACCATTTCACAGCTCTCCCCTTGGAATGGGGGCAGGAGACAAGGCTTGGAGGAGGTCAGGGTCCTGCCATGGGGGCACCTGGCTTTTCAGCCTACACTTCCAAGCAGCTGATAACAAATCTTTCCCTGTTGCAGCCCTGTGTCCCTGTCCTCCTCCCTGGGGCCTTGAAGAGGTTTTGTGTGGGAGCAAAGTCTCAGAGTTATCAAACCTGAAAAACAACACCACTCTGAGCTCTCTTGTTATTAATTCTTCTTCAGTAGAATTTCTTAAATATTTTAGAGAATATATGCTTATAAGTATGCCTAAAACGTATCTACAAATAATTAGTTTTCCCTTCCATTAAGAGTATATATGGGGGCGGGGGGAAAGGGGGAGAAATGACCCAAACATTGTATGCATAAATGAATAAAAGAAAAAAAAAGAGTATATATAGTTGGTTCTCCATATTTTTAGGTTTTGTAGCTCTGATTCAACCTGATTAAAATATTTAGAAAAAAATTTGCATCTGTGCGGAACAAATAGCAGACTCTGAGCTTGCCATCCTTTAGATAATATAGTGTAACAACTCTTTACATAGCATTTACATTGGATTGGGTACTGTGAGGTATCTAGAGATAATTTAAAGGCTATGGCAGGAGGTGCCTAGGTTATATGCAAATACTATGCATTTTATATCAGGGACTTGGAATCAAAGCAGGTCCTGGAACCAATCCCTGTGGATACTGAGGGATGGCTGTATGTATTTATTTTTCTGTTCTGATTGCATAGGCTAGTATTGCTAAAAACCAGTGATTAACAGCAGGTCAACAATGGGCATCCTTGTCTTGTTTCTGAGTAAGGCAGGTGTTTTATTCTTGCATATGATGCTGGCTTAAGACATCAACCCATCAACCCATCCATCTACCCACCATGCATGGAAATACTGATCTGTTCTGGGCCTGGGAAGATGGCTCAAGGTCAGACCTTGGTCTCTGTTGCAGGTGTTCACACCATGAGGAGGGGTTGGGAGAAGAGGTGCTCAGGCCTTGGGGCGACGGGTGGGAGGGGTGGGGGAGAGAGGGGGAACAGGCCTCAGAAAGCGGGTCCTCACCATCTTTCCAGATCTCAGCTGTCAGCCTGTCTGCGCTCTGGTGAAGCAAGGCTGCCACGTTGTCATTCAGTGGGTCCATGTTCTTCATCAGCCACTCGTTGGCCTTGTAGTCGACCTGAGTGGAGTGGGTGAAGGAGGGCGTGATTTGGGAGCTCCCCTATTCTCCCCAAAGCAGAGCCACTCACCCTGGGGTTCAGTACGAACTGGAGCGTCGACGCCACCTTGTGTCCAAACTAGGAACTGCACATCACCTGCGTCTATTCGCCCTTGACCCTGCTCTATGACCTTGTCCACCACCTTCTTCCTGTTCATTCTGCTCCAGCCCCACTGGCCTCCTCACACAAGCCCATTCCCGCCAAAGGGGTGTCACCGTGGGCGTCCCTACTCTCTTGGACTCTGATGGTGGATTTTCACATGCTGCCTCCTGCTGAGCAATTAAGGGACCCCTCTTGACATTGCAAATCTCTGCACATGGCCTCCAAGCAGACAGGGCTCCCCAACACACACCTGGGACTGACTCATAATCCATCGTGGGGCTGGGCACACAGGAGGACTTAGAAAATCTTGGGGGAATGACCAGAGTGCTAGATACAGAGCATACTACCTACTGGGCAGACAAAAGGCCTGTGTTTTGCTTGCACATGTTTGCTGAATGAGTGAAAAAAATTGCATATTTCCCCTTCTGACGAACTCCTACCCATCCCTCAAAACCCCTCCTGGAGGCAAATATCCCCTTCTGGAGGAAGTTTTTGCTGACTTGGTCAGAGTCCTTGCTCCTTCTTGGGCTGTAACTAGCTTCTACTCTGTGTGACTGGATATCAGGGGTCCCTGCTTTCCAAGTAGCCACGTGGAGAACCCTTCCTCGCCCCTCCACCCACGTGCCCCACAGCTGACCAGCCCTGACCTTGCCAGCATAGTGTAGGACACTGAAGTCCGCCTGATCCCGGAGTTGCCTTGGGCGCTGGAACTTGGGATGTCCACCCTGCTCCTGGGCCACCTTCTCCACGAAGGACTTGTCTGTGGCCTTGGGGAACCAGCACTCCTCATCCAGCAGGGCCAGGAGTCCAGGAGGGTTGGCCTGACCATCAACAGGAAGGGGAGAGTAAGTCAGATCCCCAAATTTAAGACACTTATATTGCTGCTAATTTTGGGCTCTTAGAAGTAACACTTAGGCCAGGTGCCACAGGCTCACGCCTGTAATCCTAGCTACTCAGGAGGATCGCGGTTCGAAGCCACTCAGGCTCTGCAAGGCCCTAGCTTGAAAAAAAAATCACAAAAAAGGACTAGTGGAGTGACTCAAGGTGTAGACCCTGAGTTCAAACCCCAGTACGAAAAAAAAAAAGTAACACTTGGGCATAGAGTCAAAAGTGAGCACAAGTTACAGCTGCAGCCATTCATTATTGGGAGGCTCCAGGTCCGGATCACCGGTTGGTCTTAGGGATGGGGAAGCAGATCGGACACTTCCCCTCTGCACGGCAGAGGGCGCGAGTCGACTCTCGAGGGAACCAGAGCAGCCGGCATGCGGGAAGAAGGCGCCCCGGAGCCAGAGGGAGGCGGTGCATTGGTGGGGGGCCCGGAAAGGGCGCTCATGGGCAGGGTGTGGGACAAGACGGAGGTGCATGGGCGGTAGGGCGCGGAGCTGGGTCCCATTGATGGAAGCAGGCGAGGCAAAGCGGTTGGACACCGTAGCCAGTGGGCGGGGCAGAGAGGACCATTGACAGAGGGCGTGGCAGAGCGGAGAGGAGGGGCTTCAGCGCCAGTGGGCGGGGCAGGGTAGGAGGAGGGGCTTCGGCGCCAGTGGGCGGGGTGGGGCAGGAAAGAGGCCATTGGCAGGGGCGGGGCAGGAGGAGGGGCTTCGGCGCCAGTGGGCGGGGTGGGGCAGGAAAGAGGCCATTGGCAGGGGCGGGGCAGGAGGAGGGGCTTCGGCACCAGTGGGCGGGGCGGGGCTCACCGGGCGCTCAATGAGGTCGATGCAGGGCTGCAGGTCAAGGCCGAAGTCCAGGAAGGTCCAGGGGATGCCCTCGCGCTGGTACTCCTCCTGCTCCAGCACGAACATGGTGTGGTTGAAGAGCTGCTGCAGCTTCTCGTTGGTGTAGTTGATGCACAACTGCTCGAAGGAGTTCAGCTGTGGGGACATGGACGTGAGCGGGGGGCGCCGGGCCCCGGGCGGGACGGAGACCCCAGGGAGGCGTGGGATCTGGAACCCCGCCGCGCGCGAGGGCGGACCTGGAAGATCTCGAAGCCCGCGATGTCCAGGATGCCCAGGAAGGAGGCGCCCTGGCGGGGACTGCGGTCTAGGGCGCGGTTGAGGCGCAGGACCAGCCAGCGGAAGAGGCGCTCGTAGGTGGCCTTGGCCAGGGCCTCCAGCGCGAAGTCGGCCTGCGGGGGCGGGCGACACGGTGAGGGCCGGACTCAGCTCTCCAGTCTAGTTCTAAATTTGAGACCCCCACAACATGGGTTCAAATCCCAGCTCTGCCACTCAGAGGTTGTGTGACCTCAGGCCCAATAATAAACTTCTCTGTGCCTGAGCTTCTTCCTCTCTAAAACTGGGGACCGACGAGAGTACTCCAGGTGAGAGGGTGACTCTCAAGCCCCTCCACTGTGCCCAGCCTAGAGTCGCCAGAGATCTCTGCCCAAAAGCTAGATTCTGACAATCTGCCTGTCTCATGCTCACCCCTTTCCATCACCACTGTGGGCCTGAGCCACCAACTCCTGCCTGACCTTTGGCTGTGGCCTCCTACAGTCTCCCCATCTCTACCTGTGTTGGAGAATCAATTCTCTTTGCAGCCACCATGGGGATCTTAATAAGGGCCAAGTGAAATCAAGCTGCTCCCTGGCCTCCCTGTGCACTCTGGACAAAATTCACCTCCCTGCTGTAACCTCTAAGACCTCGCATGATCTGTGCCCTGCTGACCTCTCTGACCCTGGCTTCACCTGCCCTCTCCCTTGCTCTGTAGGCTCACTGACCTCCTGGATGGTCCCAATCCACCAAGCTTTCTCCACCCCAGGGCCTTTAAACCTGCTCTTCCCTCCACCTTGAAATATCTAGGTTTCACTTCAAAAGGATGTTTTCTGACCTGTTTTATAGAAAACATCACTTTTAAGTGTTCTATTTATTTACCTTCCTTAAGCCTCACCTTAAGCCCCACCAGGGCCTGGTCTTTGTTTTGGTTACTGCTTTTATTCCTGACTCCTGGACCAGAGCAAGGTGACAGATCAGAGCCCCAGTAGATCTGCTCAGTGACTGTCAGGACCCTGTGCATGGTTCTTGCTGAAACTGTGTGTCTCTTCCATCCCGCATACCTGTTCCTTGCTCTGGGCTTTTTGCACAAAATCTCGGCCGACTTTGATGCGGGGTGTGAGCAGAGCACGGGAGAAATCGGTCACCCCCACTCCCAGGAGGCAGCAGAGTTTCTGTGCAGCTGAAGGGGAAATGCAGAAAGACTTGGTCAGCGCTGGTGGGGATGGGGACTCTGCCCATGGTGAAGAGCAGAGATGGACCCAGCCTTTCCCAAGACAAGCACTGTCAGTTCTAAAAGTAGGTCCGTTCTCTGGCCCAATAATTCTCTTTGTAGAGAGAGATAATCACCAGCTAAAACAATCCCAAAGAGATCAAAGACTAAATCTCAAGGATGTTCAACACAGTGTTGTTTATAACCCAGAAAACTAGGAAGCAACCTAGGTGCTCAGCGATCGGGGATTGTAAAGCAGCAGGGAATGAAACCCTTCGGTAAAAGCAGGAACATAACAGATTTCTAAAGAAACCCTTTTTTACTTTTTGATCATTTTTGCCAAGAAAATGGGGGAAATGATGGTAGGAAATATTTCATGAAATATTTTTCTTTCTTTTTTCTTTTTTAGTTTTCTTGCAATGCTGGGGATGGAACCCCAGACCTTGCACAGGCCAGGCAAGCCCTCTACCACTGAGCTACATCCCCGGCCCCATGTTAAAATTTTAGTTTTTAATTCTGAATTTATCTAAAATACATTTAAAAATGTTATGCACCAAACCAAGCGTGGTGACTCACACCTGTAATCCTAGCTACTCAGGCGGCAGAGATTAGGAAGATCTAGGTTTGAAGTCAGCCCAGGCAAAAAGTTCACAAGACCCCATCTTAACTAATGGCTGGACACAGTTGTGCACACCTGTCTTCCCAGCTACACAGGAAAGCACAAATAAGAGGACTGCAGCCCAGGTGAGGCAGGGCATAAAGTGAAACCCTAACTCAAAAATAATCAGGGCGAAATAGTTTCTGCTGGGTATTGAAGGGGGGAGCGGGAGGGGGTGGAGTGGGTGGTAAGGGAGGGGGTGGGGGCAGGGGGGAGAAATAAACCAAGCCTTGTATGCACATATGAATAATAAAAGAAAAATGAAAAAAAAAAAAAAAGAAAAAAAAATAATAATAATCAGGGCGAAAAAGGCAGGTTCAAGTGATAGAGCACCCACCTCATAAGCACAATGCCCTGAGTTCAAATCCCAGTACTACCAAATGAAAACAAAACTGTTCTGCTCTCCACGTCTTGTTTTCTTATGGGGAATGTTGTAGAAAGATGCATGAGCATAACAATGTTAGGCAGATAGATGTTTGTGCAGGAGAAAGGTGAGGCTGTGTGGGAGGGGTGTTCTTCCCACTCTGAATTAAACCCATAATCAGGAAGTGATCTCAAGCTCCATAATTTTCATGATTTGGGAACAGCTACTACAAATACTCAGCTCAAGCGAGAGCAAATACCCAGGAAGAGACATCAAAATAGCATGAGGAGGATTTCACTCTCTTGTCCAAACAACTGCACTTGCTAATTTTGTTTTTTAGGTAGGACTGGGATTTGAACTCAGGGCTTTGCACTTGCAAAGCAGATGCTCTACCACTTGACCTGCGCCTCCAGTCCATTGTGCTCTGGTTATTCTGGAGATGCAGTTCTCGAGAACTATTTGCCAGAGCTGGCCTCAAACCTCACTCCTCCCCATCTCAGCTTCCCAAGTAGCTGGGATTACAGGCATGAGCTACATGCACCTGGTTCAATATTCCATTGAAGAAACAAAAATGGAAATGGCTGTTCTCCTCCTCCTTAGTCTTCTCTTCCCTCCTTTCCACCCCCTCACTCCTCCTCCTCCCGCCCCCGTTGGAGTGAGACATGTTCCTGGCAAAGGGCAGGAAGCCAGCGAGGTCCTGGTAGCAGGGAGCAGGTAGGGACGGGGACACTGGTGGTACCTGTGTTGTCAGGCATGGTGGCTTGATCTGTGTTTCTCTCACTCCTGAGCACGATGTTGCCAAACTGAAGGACAGCGGACACCGTCCGAAGCATGGCTGTGGGTGACAAGGCATAAGGTCACATTCCAGGCCCTGGTGCACCATACTTTGCTGTTTTGGGGGGTTTTTTTTCCTCTTTTGGCAGTACTGGGGTTTGAACTCAGGGTCTCATGCTTGCTAGGCAGGTGCTCTACCACTTGAGCCACACCTCCAGTCCTATTCTGGCTTATTTTGCATGCAAAGTTTGCATTATCACTGGGCACTGTTTGCTTCGTCAGGATCTGTCCCAGAAATCAATGCCTGCAAGATTAAAAAGGATTGAGTAGCCAGGCATGGTGGTGCACTCCTATAATCCCAGCAACTGGGAGCCTGAGGCAGCAGGAGGGCAAGTTCCAGGCCAGCCTGAGCTGCATAGTAAGACCCAGTCTCAAACGAAAAGTAAAAAAAGAAAGAAAAATGACTTAGAGAACTAGATGAAGATGGTCTATATGATATAAAATGTTTTCTTTTTCCTTTTTTTTTTTTTAAGTGGTACTGTAGTTTGAACTCAGGGCCTCGAGGTTGGGAGGCGGAGGCTCTACCATTTGAGCCACGCCCCAGAAAGGTCTTTAAAACATTGAATGGAAAATGCAAGGTGCACTGAGGGGTAAACAGCATAGTGCTATCCACGTAGGAAGGGAGAAAAGACTGAGAAGGTACAGTCCGTTCTCAGGACTCGAGCTAGTTACAGGAGTACTGAATTGGTGAATGTGACCCATTGCCTCTGGTGCGCATATAGGAGCGGGGTCCGGGGAGCCTCTGACTGTCACATTTTTATCAACCGATCAACACATCACCTGTGTTATGCGTGCTTCTCTTTAAAGACCCTTTATTTAAGCTGAGCATGGTGGTGTCCGCCTGTAATCCCAGCCCTTGGGAGGCGGAGGAAGAAGGATCACAAGTTCAAGGCTAGCCTGGGCTACATAGTGAGACCCTATTTCAAAAGTAAAGAAGACTCTTATTTAACATTTTACACTGCTGCTTCCTGCACCTGGAGCTCAGTGCTCTGAACAATGCTGTTTCTTGTGAACGCAGCACAGCGCCCTACCTCTTGTGAACACGAGGGGGCGCTCCAGCGCCGCCGTGCCCGGGGACATTTCACCCCGTAACACCAGTGACCAAAAGTAAATAAAATAAAATAATAAAAAGTAAAAGGAGGGGCTGGCGGAGTGGCTCAAGTGGTAGAGCGCCTTCCTAGCAAGTTTGAACTCTAGTACTGAAAACACACACACACACACACACACGTGCTCCTTGGGAGGCAGAGGCAGGAGGATCGAGAGTTCGAGACCAGCCCAGGCAAATATTGTGAGACTTTGTCTCAGAAACAATCCAGGTGGCCCACGCCTATCATCTGTTACTCAAGAGGCCGAGGTCGGGAGGATCACAGCCCGAGGCCACCCTAGGCGACAAATGTGAGGCCCTCTCTAAAAAATAACTAAAGCAAAAAAAAAAAAAAAAAGGGCTGGGGGCCCTAGTAAGTGCCACCCCAGGTCCCATAGGACCTCTGAGTACAGAATGGTCGGTAATTCTTGCCAGCAATCTGCAGCTGTTTTCTGTATAAACACAGAAGTGTTTGGGTTGAAAACGAACTGAATTTCCCCAGGAAGACCGCTGTTGGTTTTTTCAGAACTTTATCAAGGACTGGTCACCACTTCAGAATGTCCCCATGTCCTCTGACGACAGAGCACTGGAGTCGGGATGTGACCCGCCTGGCTGTGTTTGTGTTTGTGCTGTGTCATGGCAACGCCCATGGTCATTCTAGAATGCCTGTCACTGCTTACCCAGTGACAGGGACACTGACTTATTTTCACGTTTCGTTTCCCCTGTGCCATCCCCTGTTCCTATAAAAATAATAAACCATATTAAATCTAATCAGAATTGTCACTACAAATCTCCCCAACGTATAATGAATACCCTAATAAAAAATTTATAATAATAAAAAAATTCAACTTTTACAACCACTCAACAAGGTGGTGATCCCCATTTTACAGCTGGGGAAACTGAGGCACATAATCAGCATACGCAAGATGACACAGCTCAAAAGCTGGCAGAGCTGATTCAACCTGGGGCCTTTGGTGCTTTCAGCAGCAAACCATCCCCTGCCCTTCACTGAGCATGAATTTTGAATGTAAGACTGCATAGCTGGCTGGGCCTTGTGGCTCGTGCCTATAATCCCAACTACTCAGGAAGCAGAGACAAGAGGATTGCTCTCCCAGGCCAGCTTGAGCAAAAATGCAAGATCCTATCTGAAAAATTACCTAAAGCAAAAAGGACTGGGGGAGTGGCTCAAGTGGTATAGTGCCTGCCGAGCAAGTGCAAGGCCCTGAGTTCAAACCCCAGAACTGAAAAAAAAAAAAAAAGTACACAGCACATACAGAAAAGGGCACAAAAATCACAGATGTCTGGTTCAATGGAAGCTGCCACCTCCCTGGCCACCTCCCTGAGTAGGGACCAACCCACAAACACAGACAGCGGCAGAAGCCTGGTGACCAAACCACAGATGGTCTGGTCAGAGTGAGGACTGCACTGGAGACACTGCGGCAAGTGCTGGTGACATGGAGTGTCCCCATGAGAAAGTCCCCACTGGATGCTTGGTACCGTTGTGTGTTTGTGTGTGTTTTTGCTATGCACAGCACAAAGCTGACTGGGTGAGAGGTGTGTGTGGAGTGAGAGGCGAGGGCTGGCGCACCTGCTGCCCACTCCTGCCAAAATCATGACACTGAATCCGATCCCGAGGAAACACACCCAAACTGAGATAAAACGACTCAGTAATCTCCAAAAGTGTCAAGGTCATGAATGATAAGGACAGACGCAGGAACAGGTCCAGACTGAAGGAGCGTAGAGAGAGGTGATATTTAAATGCAGCACAAAATCCCCAACTGGGGAAGAATGTGTGTGTGCGGAACTAAAAAAAAAAATTCTTTTCTGGCTGGGCATGGTGGCTCATACCTGTAATCCCAGCTTCTCAGGAGGCAGAGATGGGAGGATCAAGGTTTGAGGCCAGCCTGAACAGAAAGTGAGACCCCATCTTAATCAATAAGCTAGGCATGGTGAAGCCTGCCTGTCATTCCACTATCAGGAAGTGTAGATCTGAGGCCAGATCAGGCAAAAAGTGCAAGACTATTTCAAAAATAAATACAGCAAAAAAAATTGTTCTTGGCATAAAGGACGTTGCTGCGAAAGCTGGTGTAAGGCCCGTGGATTAAGTAACAGGGCTGTGCGGTCCTTAGCCCCCTGGTGGCGTTCTGCATGGTGGCCGTGGAGGACACCCTTAGACCACGTGCTAATGGGATAATGGTTCCAAGCATGTCCACTTCCCACTCCCTGAGACCTGGGGCTGTGACCTCACTGGGCAAATGGGACTTCGCAGGAGTGATAAATGACATCTGATCCCGGATTACTGGGGTGGCCCTAACTTCCACTGCAAAGGTGGGCAGGGGGTCTCACAAACAGTGAAGACCCTGTCCGCAGAGGTGAAGCGTCTTTTGAAGATGGATGGAGGAGGCAGGCACAGTGGTTCACACCAGTAATCCCAGCCACTCTGGAAGTGGAGGTAAGAGAATGAACTCCAAGGCTGGGCTGGGTAAAAGTGTGAGACCCTGTCTGAAAAATAAGCTAAAGTAGCTGGGCGCTGGTGGCTCACGCCTGTAATCCTAGCTACCTAGGAGGCAGAGATCAGAAGGATCATGATTCAAAGGCAGCCCAGGCAGATAGCTGTTGAGACCCTATTTCAAAAAAATCCATCACAAATAGGGCTGGCAGAGTGGCTCAATGTGAAGGCCCTGAGTTCAAGTCCCAGTACCACCCAAAAAAAAAAAGAAAAAAAAAGCCTAAGATCTGGTCACATGTGAGCGCAAGGTTATTGGTGGAGGTTTTTGGGGGACGGGGTCTGTCTGAAAGGAATTGCAAGAAAGACCCAGTGCTCTGCTCAAAGTGGAAGCATGATGCAGCCCCAAAAAAGACTGAGGTTTCTTTATATGTATCAAAGAACTGTGGTCGAAACCACTTCGTGGGGCGCATCTGGAGGCAGCAGCGGGGCTAACCTGCTAGTTTCCATATATGGAAGTTCTAGGGCAGAGGGGAGGCCGGGGTTAGAGGCCTGCTGGAACAACCGACATCTGGGAACTTTTTTATCTCTTTCCAGGCAGTGAGGAATAGTTTGATAGTTTCATCACCAGCATGGGGAACATCAGCCCTCGCGCTGAAGAACGTCTCCCTTTATAGAAAGACAGCACAGTCGGCCCTGTGTCTTCACCTGGGTGCGCTCAGCCAGCCCTGGATGGAAAATACTAGAAAAAAAACCCCCAAAAACTGCAACTGCACTGAATGTGCTCCGACTTTTTCCTCGTTGCTATTCCCTGAGCAACACTGAGAAATAAATAAGCATTTACATTGCATTAACTTTTTTTTTTATTGGACTGGGATTTGAACACAGGGCTTCACGCTTGCAAAGCAGGCGCTCTAATGCTTGAACCACTCCTCCAGTCCATTTTGCTCTGGTTATTTTGGAAACGGGGTCATTTGAACAATTTGCCCATCTGGCCTCCAACCATGATCCTCCCATCTCAGCCTCTCAAGGAACTGGGATTACAGGTGTGAGTACCAGTGCCTGGCTTATGCGAACTATTATAAGTCATCTAGGAACGAGTTAAAGTATGGTAGGACGCACATAGATTATGACTTTTTCTTTTTTTCTTTCCTTCTTTCTTCCTTCCTTCATGTCTCCTCTCCCTCTCCCTCTCCCTCTCCCTCTCCCTCTCCCTTCCCCCTCCCCCTCCCCCTTCCCCTCTTTTTGTGGTACTGGGGATGGAATCCAAGGCCTTCTGCATACTACAGAAACACTCTACCACCCAAGCCCCGTCCCCAGCCCTTTGGTTTTTGAGGCAGGGTCCCCCTAACTTTGCTTAGCCTAGGCTGGTACTGAAGTATCGAACTTCCCGCCTCCGCCTTCCAGTATCTGGGATTACAGGTGTGAACCACCATGCTTGACACCTTTTCTTATGTATCTAAAATATTTCTGTGAGAAGGGAGGGAAACTGAAGCCAGTGGCTGGTGGAGACTCTCAGTGTGACCTTTGGCCATGTTCAGGTTGTGTCTATCAAAGGCATATGTTACTCCAAAAGTATGGTTTTCTTCTTCCCCCCACATTTCTTTCTGAAATGCAGAAATTAGAACTGTTGTGTGCATCTGTGACACAGCAGGGCAGTGGCGAGAAGGTCACATGGGCTGACTGATGGGTGTCAGGAGGCCAGGCAGGACCATGGGCACAGTCTGAATTTGTTTGCCAGCTGCCGAGCTGCCAGCCAGGAAAGCTGGGGAATTACACAACCAGCATTGGGAAATCTGGCTGGAGGAACCCACCCAAGACTCTGTGTTAACAGCACAAACACACACAAAGAGTTTGGCCACTTGCAGCCTGGGTACACAACCAAGCAGACACTCCATTCCTGGCATTCCTGATTCAACCCTGGAGCCAACAATAGCTCAGGGGCCTCCTAGGGCACCTCGGACCAGAGGACAGTTAGAGCCGTTGGCCCCAGCTCAGCCCTGGAAACACCCGAGGGTCTCTCTTTGAAGGCCTGATTAAAAGAACTACAGTCTACCCAACATGACCAAGTGTGGTGGCTCATGCTTGTAATCCCAGCTACTCAGGAGGCAGAGAGCAGGAAGATTGAGATTCGAAGCCAACCTGGGCAAATAGTTCACAAGACTCTATCTTGAAAATACCCAGTGCAAAAAAAGGGCTGGTGGAGTGGTTCCATGTATAAACCCTGAGTTCAAACTCCAGTACCCCCCCCAAAAAAAAGATGAGGTCACAGGGCAGGCCCTGACTCCAGTGTGAGCAGTGTCCTTATCAAAAGGAGATTTGGAGAGACAGGTCTGGTAGTGTATGCCTGTAATCCCAGGTATGTGGGAGGAGGAGGTAGGAAGATCAAAGTCTGAGGCTGACCCCAGACAAAAAACAGGAGACCCTATTTGAAAAATAACTAAAGTAGAAAGGGTTGGGGGTGAGGCTCAGTGGTAGAGCACCTGCCCAGCAAATGCAAGGCCCTGAGTTCAAAACCCAGTACCATCAAAAAAAAAAAAAAAAAGGTGGGAGGAGTGGATTTTGACACAGACACAGACAGGAAGAATGCCACATGAACACCAAGGCAGAGATCAGGTGATCTACACACCAAGGAATGCCGGAGATAGCCAGCCGCCGCCCAGGGCAGGAAGAGGAGACCCAGCAAACAAACCAGCCCTGACCCAGCCCTGATCCTAGCTGCCAGAAACAGACAAGACACCATTGTCAACACCCTTGATCCCTTTTTCCCCAGCAGGGGGCGCTAAGCTGAGCAATCAACACCAGCCATGGCCACCAGGACTACCCAGAGTGACTGTGCCGGGGGGCCTGGGTCTTCCCCAGACCCTAGCCAGACCTCCTTCCTGCCCCCAGCGTCTTCCACTCCAGAGTGCCCTTCCACAACCTCCAGGGGGTCTTTCTGCTCCCAAAGTTGACCTCATCCTGCCCCTACCCTCCTCGCCCCCACACACGCCACCCTCCACTCCCGGCCCTCCCAATCTTCCCCAGTGGCCCCAGGGCCAAAGTCTCTGCACTCCACCTGCCTTGACAGCTCCATCTCCTTGGCCTTGGCACACTAGACTGAAGTCTCTCCAGAAGTTTGAATCTCTCCAATGTGACACATTTTCCCTGCCTCAGGACCTTTCCACAGACACAGACGGTTCCCTCTTTCCCTGCTGTGGCCCCCTTGCCTGCACACAGCAGGCACTTAAAAAATGCTTGACCCCATAGGAGAAGTCATGAATGGCTGTGTCTCCAACTGCCTTTGTCAGGCTAGGGGCTCACTCACAGGTGATCTCCTCAGGAGTGAACCCCAGCACCCGCAGGGACTCCAAGGTCTCCTGGAACAGCTCCCGCTCCTGGCCTGGTGAGGACGATGGCCCATTGGTCAGGAATCTGTACTGGGAGCAGGGCTCCAGGAGGAGGTCAGCTGTGGGGGAAGGAGACAGGGTCAAGATTAAGGGCCAGTAAGGCATCAGATCCACCGATGGTGACCCTGGGACCAGCCCCTCGCCATGTGTTGCATGGGAGAGAGTGAGAAGGGCCAGGTGTGAACCAGACGCTTAGCACATGATCCAGTTCCATTTTCTCCTTTCGATCAAGTTAGCAGAGGCCAGCACCAGGGTACATGGGATTTCAGAAGCCACAGAGAGCAGGCACCAAGCAACCAGAAGGAGGCTGAATAAGCAGGAGCCGAGGCGCCATCGTGGACAGGAGCAACAGGCACTTCAGCAGCAGAGGCAGGAGCAGGGGACAGGATGGAGTCAGAGCCACAGCAGCACAAGGGGCAGGAGCCAAGAGGCAGGACACAGTAGGACTGTCAGACAGCACAATGGATCCGGAGTCGCCACGGGGCCCCAGCTGAGTGAGCAGAAGCCACCAGGAACAGGAGCACAGAGAACAGAGCCTGGCGTCAGGAGTGAGCATGGCAGAGCCATGGAGCCACGTGACCAAGGGGGAGCTGGAACCAGAGGGCAGCAGAATGCAGGGAAGCCAGGCGACCACAGCACCAGGTGACACAGCCAAAGTAGTGGCCTCCACTTCCTTCCTTCCTCCCCGTGGTGCAGAGATGCTAGGGTTCCCAGGGTTGCCCACCCAGGCGGGCATGCAGGGAGGGGAACAAGGCTGACCTTTTAGTTGCTCACTAGCACCTCCTAGCAGCTGGTAAAAGATGTGAAAGCTGCACTCGTCCTTGGCCTGGCGGATGGCCCGCGACTTCTCCAGCAGGTCTTGAGGGGGAGAGAGTCAAGGAGACAAGCAGAGACGAGGGAAACCCACCCAGGTCCCTCAACCAAGTCAAGCTACGACAGGGACACACCTATCCCGTGACGCTGTGCTGTTGCTCACACAGCCTAGACACAACTTTGCCACTAACTGATGGGTGCCCTGGAGCGTATCACTTAAGCAATTGTGTCAGTTTTCCACCTGCTCAAAGAGCGTTAAAAAAAAAATAACATATTTCAGCCAGGCATGGAGATTGGGAGGATTGCAGTTTGAGGCCAGTCCAGACAAATAGTTCTCAAGACCTCCATCTCCAAAATAACCAGAGCAAAACGGAGTGAACCCAGGTCATTGCAATCTCCTGACCCACTCTCTCCATGCTCTCTTGGAGGGCTTGTGGTAAATTCTTCTGGACACTGCATGCCACCTGGGCAGGACAGGGTGACCTGTAAGCAGAAGGCCTTTCTTTGCAAGAGGTCTGGAAGGCGGCACTGGGAACCTGGATTTCCAAGGGTCCCCTGGTAGCCCCTAAGTGATGAGAGGGGCTAGCAGGTGTAAACTGTTTGTGTCAGGTTTCCCTGAACACTGGCTGTCTTTCTGGAGCAGGCAGAGGGACCCCGTGGCCACCCCCAAAACAGCCCTGGGTCCTGAGGCTCAGAGCTTCCTGGTGGACATGATCTTGTGTCTAGTTGCTGGAGTGAAGTACGACTGTCTCCTGAGACTCCATTAGGAGAAGCTTCTGGAAGCCAGGCCTAGATTCCTGGCCTCTGCTCCAGCGGCCTTCCCCTTCTGCCCCTGAGTTCTGGTCTCCCCACTGTGGTAAATCGCACCCTGAGGCGTCCTAGTAATCAGGGAGCATCAGCAAGGCTGTGCCAGCCTGGGAAAAGCAGGCGCAGCTGGGCACGCGTGTCCTGTACACGCAGAGGTTCCAGCAGCAGAGCTGGGACCCCATGTCCCATGCCGGGATTCCGAGGGTCTCCCTGAGCAGCCGCCCTGGGCTTGCGACTCCCGAGGGCTGGGGGAGGATACAGGTCTCGATGTTGGCGCCCACGATGTACCCTGCAACGTCGAAGTTGATCCGGATAAACTTGCCCTGGAGGAACGAGGTGAGGGTTTCAGCTGAGGTCCCCTCAGACGCGGAAGTCCCCAACCACACCCTGCCTGGAGCCTGGCTGCTGCTTACTTTCTTTCCCCCTCTATTGGAGTCCATGGAACAGGGAGTCCTCAGCAGGGCTCCCTGGGAATCCAAGGTCCTGGACCCTTGACGTCTGTCCTCAGAGGCTGGAGGGCAGGACCTCCTCCCTCAGAGCCAGGGATCTAGGTCCCAGCCCTCCTCCCTCAGACCCCTGTCCCTGACACCCAGCCCGGTCCCCAGCACTCACAAATCGGGACGAGTTATCATTCTTTACGGTCTTGGCGTTGCCAAAGGCCTCCAGGATGGGGTTGGCCTGAAGAAGCTGCCTCTCCAGCTCCCCCTGCCGGGCGTGGGAGACAGTGCACCGTGAGGACGCGGAGGGGCGCCCCGCGGGGCCTGTGGGGGGGGGGGGGACACCGGACACTTCTTGCATCCGGGTCCTGCCTGTCCATCTACTGTGAGGGGAACGGGAAACATCTCCAAGGCATTGTTAAGTGCAAACCAAACGGAAACAAGTTGCAGAACACTACTTAGAATATGGTCCCATTATTAAAAAACGAATGAAGGAAAAACCACAAAACAAAACTCTTATTTCTACAGGCATATACGCATGCTGTAACCATTGGGAAAAGGTGTGTGAGGATGCACTCCAAACTGTCAACAGTGTAAGCCACAGCTAGAAAGGGGATGGAGGCTGGCAGAGTGGCTCAAATTGGAGAGCACCTGCCTAGCAAGCATGAGGCCCTGAGTTCAAATCCCAGGACCACCAAAAATTTTTTTTTAAAGGGGGGACTGATATGAGGCAAAAGAAATTTCCCTTTGTTGATTCTGTGGTGGTCATAGCCCACGCGTACCTCACATTACTTGTAGAATTTTCAGTTAAGGGGAAAGTCTGTGCCATCTATACGAAGTGCTTCACACTGTCTAGCACATAGTAGGCATTTAATAAATGGTGGGTTCCTTCCCAACCAAGCTGCTCCATGGTAAGTACCTTACCCTGAGTGCATGGACCGCTGTGGGCACCCTGGCTGCATGCACAGTAGGACTGCACAGCAGCCAACACACAGCATGGCTGCCACAATGTTGGGCGGGTCTGGTGTGTGCACATGGTGGGACTGCACTAAACAGCAGCATGGGGCCCGGGTGTGTACACACAGTAAGGATGTCACGGGTGGCTGCATGCACACAGTAAGATTGCATAAGGTGGCAACACAGCCCTAGCGTGCACACAGTAGGTCCACCATAAGTGGCAGTGTGCCCTGGCTGGTATGACCATTCTCGGTCCCTGTCTCCCAGGTGACCAGACAGGAGGGAGTTCTCTGCTACTCACATAAGATATGGTGCTGACGGAGGCCTGAGGAAGTCACAGGACACGAGACATGGGACACGGACCAGGACACAGCACATGGGACATGGAACAAGGACAGACACCCAGGTGAGCTGGCAACGTGGTTGGGGACAGAGGGGCTGGGAATTGGGAGTGTGGAGTGTATGGCCTGAGGGCCACACACCTGGGCTCGAATTCCACTGTACCCCTTCCCAGTGCGTGACCCATGAGGACCCCCCAACATGTGCCTGGGAGGTAAGCAGTTATGGGGGGCTAGCCCTGGTAGTGGCAGAGCCCCAGCAGGATAGCTTACGGGGACGCCTGGATCCTTTCTGCCTTTTGGCGATGATGCCACATGAGCTAGGTACTGGATGACCTTCTTGGTGTTTTCTGTCTTCCCAGCTCCAGACTCCCCACTATGGGGGACAAGAGGAAACAGGGCAGGTGGGGAATGCAGCAGGGTACGCTCTGGCCTGTCCATTTCAAACAGCGACACCCAGCTGGGACCCCACCACTTCTAGGAAGTCCTCTGGGATAACTCACGTGCAGAGAATTGACTGATCCTCACGGTCTGTAGGGGACAGAAGGGGGACAATGTCACCTGGAAAGGTCTTTCAGGCAGGACCCTCTGGCCCCCTACACCTTTTGAAATTATTCTGCAGAGGTCTTGTTTTGATGCACAACACTCCCAAATTCTAACACTCCACCCCAACTAAATCCCTTGCTTGCTGTGTGACATGGGACAGCAGTTGTCTCTTTCTGAGCCTTGAATGTCTCACCTGCAAAATGGAGACAGCCCCCAACTGAACAGAATATAATTCAACCACCAACCTCAATTTGAGTCCTTACCGTATGCCTATCTGATGTTGGACATCAGAGACGTGACCCAAGAGAGAGGTCCTGAATTCCAGAGTGCAACCCTGGAATACATCACGCCTCTCCCCACCCACCCCACCCTGGCCTGCACTGCCATTCCACCAAGGCACGCTAAGGACTTACTAAGCACAGACACAGGGGTTATGGGAAATTGGCAGGGGGTCTGCTGTCACGAGGCCTCAACTTGTACGTGTGTGGCAGGGGGACAAAACACAGAGAGTAGCACTGAAAAGCCGGGCGTGGCGGTGTGCCTGTAATCCCAGCATTTGGCAGGCAGAGGGGAGGGTCATGAGCTCCAGGCCAGCCTGAGCTACACAGCAAGACCCTGCCTTAAGAAGAGAAAAAGAAGAAAAGGAAAGAAAAGAAACTAATACCAGAAAGTCATTCAGCTCCAAATCCCAACAGAGCTAAGAGCGGGAGAGAGAAACCATGTCACAGGGGAAGCTAGCATGGCTTCTCGGAAGAGGTGAAGTTTCAAACAAGGGAAGAGCATCCCCAGCAGATGGTACAGCCAGAGCAAAGGTCCTGGGGCGCACCTGAACTGGGGTATTTGAGGGACAGAGAGGAGGCCAGTGTGGCTAGGGGGAGGGGACAGACACAGGGGTTTTGAATCAGGGCAGGAAGTCTCTGGGTGGTCTTATGCCCTCAGTAGGACCTCCAAGTGAGCAGCCTGGTTTGGGTGACATGTGGACACAGGTTCACCACCTGGCCACACCTCTGTGACCTTGGGCAAGTCACTGAGTTGCTTTGTGCCTCCATATTCCCATGTAAGAAATGGGAGGGAGGATTCTGCCTGAAAGATCCTCCCATGCCAGGCATAGTGGCTCACGCCTGTAATCCCAGCTACTTGGGAGGCTGAGATCAGGAGGATCTTGGTTACAGGCCAGCCCAGGCAAATAGTTCATGAGACCCCCCCCCCACCATCTCCAAAGTAAACAGAGCAAAATAGACTGGAGGTGTGGCTCAAGGGGTAGAGCTCCTGCTTTGTGAGTGTGAAGCCCTGAGTTCAAATCCCAGTCCAGGCAAAAAAAAAAAGTAACTAAAGTAAAAAGGGGTGGGGGCGTGACTCAAGTGCAGGGCAATTGCCCTGCATGGGGAAGGACCGGGGTTCCAACCAAAGTACCACAAAAAAAGCAAAGAAACAAATTACACCAGATAACCAGACACACTGTTACCACTGCCCAGAGGTACAGGTGTGATGTGAGACAAGAGTCGGTCCAAGAGCCCAGGTCTATCACAGGCTGTAACTCACGCTCCACACACCCCTGAAATTCCCACCCAGCCCGTGTCGGGGGGCCACAAATTCCCAGGCAGTGCTGATGTGGTAAGGGGGTCACACTGGGCTTTCTTCAATATATATACAAAATTATAACATGTAGTAGGAAGACAGCATGCTAAATAAATATTATATAGAAGCATGAATACAAACATACAAAATTTTAAATATTTCATATGAATTTCGGTTGTAAATATTTATTAAAGTAGATGTACAATGAAAATGTAGTAAGAATCATGCATATTATATGTTAATTCTATAATTTTTTCTTTTTTTTTTTTTAGACAGGGTTAGTTCTCCTGCCTCTGCCTTGCAAGTGCTAGGATTACAGCTCTGACTTCTGCAACTTGGTCTACACTGTGATGAGGTACAGCAATTCCTTCAGTGGACACCCTTGTGCAGTGCACAACCTGCCCCGCAGCCGTGTGCTGTCATCTGTCTAAAGGTGTGTATTTAACCCTGTGACAACACAGATCATTCTGAAATTTAACAATAAACTTTGAGCCCGGCCCGGTGGCTCACGCCTGAAATCCTAGTTACTCAGGAGGCAGAGATCAGGAGGATCCCAGCTCGAAGCCAGCCCGGAAAAACAGTTCAAGAGACCCTAGCTTGAAAAAAGCCCATCACAAAAAAGGGCTGGTGGAGTAGCTCAAGGTGTAGGCCCTGAGTTCAAGCCCAGTACTGCAATAAATAAATAAATAAACAAACAAACTCGAGTGAAGGAACAGCTAGGAATGTCTGTCTCTCAGGTAATTTCTTCAGGACCTGACATCACTACTGAGAGCAGGAGTGCCTGACCAGAGAAGATCTAGAGCCTGGCATGGTCCCTGCCAATCTCCCAAGAAACCTCGCAGTCTGAAGTCCCCCACGAGTCCCCACTGTGAGCCTGGCTCCCTCCACAGAGCTGCCCCGCAGCCACCCCGCACACTCACCCTGCAGCATGCTCCGATATGCTCCCTCCGTCACCGCGTACACGTGGGGCGGCACCTCGTGGCGCTTCTTACCCCGGTACATCTCCACAATGGCCTCCGTGTAGATGGGAAGCTGCTTGTACGGGTTGATGACCACACAGAACAGGCCGGAGTACGTCTACACAGAGCAAGAGCGAAGCAGGCCTCAGTGGTCCTGCGAAGCCAGGGGAGCAGCACAGGGCCGCCAGGTACAGTTGAGCAGGTTGAGCACTGCACCATCTGCATCAGGTCCGTCTACACCATGACCACGTCGATTTGAATGCTTGTTAGGAACATTTTCAAGGTGGATGATAGAAAAGAACCCCCCAAAGTTCACCATGGGACAGAACGGGGCCTTTCCAAGCCTGATACACATAGAAGGGCCATGGGCAAGAAGGTGTTTTTACTGTTCACTCAGTTCTCTGGACTTACAGCATCTGCAGCAAGGAACCTTACAGGAGCCTGTCTGGTCTCCACGCTGGGATTACAGGCGTGCACCACCAAGCCTGGCAGTGGCACTACAGTCTTACTGGAAGGAATGCTAAAATAAAGATTGAAGGTGCAAGAAAATAAGTTGTTTTTTTTTCATCCAAGTTTATAGGCCCCTTGAATTCTAGCCACACACCAGCTAGACTGGGATCTGGGCTTTGTTACAGTGTAAGGCCCAGTCAAACTCACAGGAAAGGGACTCAGTATTCTGGAGGCAGTTGGTTAGGTAGCTAAAGAACTAGTTAGCCACTTAGCTAACCCAACCAGACAACTAACCAGCTAAACTAGAACTAGTCAGCTGAACTAGCCACAGACTTAGCTACTTATTGGCTTAGCTGGTTAACTATTTAACCATTAGCTACTTAGCTAGCTAAGTCACTTGCTTAGCTAGTTAGCTGGCTAGCTGGTTGGCAGTTGGCTGCTTTAATCTCCCAGACAAGCCAACCATGGTGGCTCATGCCTGTAATCCCAGCTACTTGGGAGGTTAAGATCAACAAGATCAGGGTTCAAGGCCTGTCCAGGCAAACCACTACTGAGAACCCAGCTCAATTAATAAGCCAGGTGAGCTAGTGCACATCTGTAGGCTCAGCTACATGGGAGGTGTAGGTAGGAGGATCTTGGTCTAAGGTCAGCCAGAGCAAAAATGCAAGATAATATCGCCAAAATAAAGCCAAAAAGGACTAGCAGTGTGGCTCAGTGGTAGAGTGCTTGCCTAGCAAGTGCAAGGCTCTGAGTTCAAACGCCAGTCCCACCAAAAAAAAAGAAAAGAAAGAAAGAAGCTCCCAGACAGCTTGGGCTTCTCTACACGGCAGGGTGTGGCCACAAGCTGGCGGCTCCCAGGTGCCAACCTTCCAACGGCGGGGGTTGGGGGCAGCCCAAAGCTGAACAACCGGTTTGCTGGGTGTCTGCCCTCCAGCTCGCTGCGGAGGGTGGGGCGCCCGGACCACATTCCCTGGGAGGGTATCTCATGGCGGCTGGCGCCCAGTCCCCACTGCCGGCTGGCCGAGGGAGCCCCCTCCCCACGCCACCCCCACGCCACCCCTACACCCGCAGCCTCCAGCTAGCCAGCCAGCCACACCTTGTTCCCAGGACAACACCCATGACAGGGAACCTGAGCCGGTCAATGAGGCCGGGGACCAAGGGGAGAAGCAGGTGCGCCCAGAGGGGGCCGGGGACACCCTGGTCACCAGAGAAGGATCTTGGGGCTCTGAAGACGGACCTGCCCCCCTGGTGGCTTTCCCCAGGTAGAAGGGGCGAGGACACAATCCCTCCTCATGACAAAAGCCCTAGGGATTAAGGAAGATAATGAAAAAAATGCAATCCAAATAAACGCCCAGGCTGCTCATGTTACCTGCCCACTTGGGGGCCACGGGCTTGCTCAGACTTTGAACCCACACCATTCTGGTGTTCCCAACTGTGGATGGCTCTGCACAGTGGCTCACATTCTTTAAGCCTCAGTTTTCAGCTCTGGAAAGTGGGACTTTTAACCCCTGCCACCTTAAAGGGCTTGGAAGGGCAAGGAGGAATCTTTCAGTAGATCACAGAGCAGGGAGGTCCTTAAATGGGTCCCCAGTAAAGGGACTGAGATCCTCAGCAACTCCAGGCCATGCAGGTCCTCAGTGGTAGAGACTGGGCACTCCACCTTCCACTGTGCAAGGCGACTCTCCTTACCATCAGTTAGTCAGTCAACAAACTGTTAGCACCCTTCACACGTTCTAGCTTAGTGGCCTGAGCAAGAAACCTTTCTGAAGGGTGTCACAAGAATGAATAGCACTTCCTGCAAAGGGTGGCTGGGAACCATGCACAAGTTCATGTGGACCTGGAACACTGCATAGGGTCAACGTGATGGTCGTTAACAGCTTCTGTTGGGCTGATAGCCTGCCCTTGCCAAGCTGTGGGAAAGAGCACAGCCTTACGTGGATGCAGGGGGCAACAAGGCCACAGGGGAAGTTTAGAATGCAGGTAGTCACTACGCATGAATGATCACAGCTAGGGCCCACTTTGCTTCCTGTCTGGGCTTCTGGAATTCTCTCTTTCTCTCTCCCTATTTTACTCTGGTTATTTTGGAGATTGGGGGAGGTTTCCAGAACTATTTTCCTGGACTGGCCTTAAAGTGTAATCCTCCTGATCTCAGCCTCCCAAGTAGCTGGGGTTATAGGTGTGAGCCACCGACACTGGTTCTGAACAATCTTCCTAGTGACAAGGACCTAGGGTCTGCATTGGGGCCAGCCTGAGTTCAAGTCGAGCGGAACGGGTTTCTAGCTGTGGGACTTTTTGAAGGCCTGCCCCCTCTCTGAGCCCCTCAGGGCCTCCTCTCAGAGTCCTGGTCTCCAAATGGGAGTCAGACTTCATCCAGATATCCTAATCTTGTGCGTGGTGACCCTGGACCAGGGTGTGGCAAGACTGGGAAACTCCAAGAGTCTAACCTGGTGTTTGTAGCTGGCCAGCTGCTCAGGTTTAAACCCAGGGGCAGTGGGACCCGGGCCCAGGTCACTTAGCATTCCTGAATGTCAACAGTCCCTGGCCAAGAGGTGAGCTGAACCCAGCACTCAGAGTAGCGCCTGGCACATCTTAAGTGCTCAGTAAATATTTGCCAGCCATTGATCTTCATTCTCACTCTGACTGTCAACGCTCTTTGTCTCCCTAACCCTGTTCCTTACATTAATGGAGTTAATCACTCCTTGGCTGCCCAGGAAGCATATTAAATAATAAAATTGTCCAGGCCACACCCCCAGAGGGTGAGATACAGTGTGGACATTTCAAAGAGTTCCCCAGATGAGGCCGTGTGTGAAATCCACTGTGTACCCTGTCTGTTGTAGACGTTGAATACCACGCAGATGTACTATGATGAGCACAGGGGCGTACAGACCAACACATCAAGCTCACTCTCATCAATTCGATCTTACAAGGTCTCACTATGCAACCCAGGCTGGTTGAGATCCTCCTGCCTCAGGCTCCCCAGTGCTGGGATTATAGGCGTGCACCACCATACCTGGTTAGTCCCATTTAATTTTAAAGCCTGGACCCAGACTAACCTGGGCATTTCTCACTGGACAGCCCTGGTCAAGGTAACTTGGCCTCTCTGTGCCTCCATTTCTTCATCTGAAAAATGGGGTCCAAAATGGTTGATAACTATGAATATTTGCTGAGATAACGTATTTTACAGAGCTCAGAAGAGTGCATAGTAAATGCTTAATACATATCAGTCAGCCAGGCATGGTGGCTCACACCTGTAATCCCAGTTATTCAGGAAGCAGAAATCAGGAGGATCAATGTTCAAAGCCAGCCTGGGGCAAAAAGTTAACAAGACTTCATCTGAACAAAAACCTGGGCATGGTAGCAAGTGCCTCTCATCCTAGTTTCTTGGGAGACATAGGAGGATCGAGGTCCAGGCTGGCCAGGCAAAAACTCTAGACCTTACCTGAAAAATAACTAAAGCAAAAAGGGCTGGGGACAGAGCTCAAGTGGTGAGCGCCTGCCTAGCAAGCACAAGGCCCTGAGTTCAAACTCCAGTACTGCTAAAAAATAAATAATAAACGAATATTAGTTTTGATTGTTACTAGCTGCCTCTGGGCCTTGGTTGTTTCTTCTGTACCATGGGGATGGTGACAGACTGCCTCATTAAGAGACATTAAGTTTTCTATACTCATTGGTCTGCATTCGTTATTATTACAATCCAACAACTTGTCATTTGGCCTGAGTGCAAGGACAGCCACAGGACGTGGGGTGCGGGCCTGGCAGCTCCCATCTTTAATCCCGGCCCGGGGGTAGCACTCACATAGATGAGGCCTGAGTAGTAGCGCTCGCGCAGGTTGTGCAGCACCGAGGCCTCGTTGAGGCAGGTCAGCTCGGCCATGTCCTCCGCCTTGCTGAACTTGGGCGGGTTCATGCGCTGGATCAGGTCCCTGGGCAGCCGCAGCCGCCGGCCACTCTCCGCCAGCTCCACCTCGGCCTCCTCCTCGCCCTCATCGCGCAGCGCCGCGGCCTCGAACCCGTGCAGCTCCGACGGCACCCACACCAGGCGCCTCGCCGTCCACTCAACCTGCGGGGCGCTGCCTGCTGCCCCCGGCCCGCTGCCTGCGCCCGGAGTGCGGGGCGCGAACAGGAAGGGCTGGGCCGCCTCGGGCACCGGGCCCGGCTTGGGGGTCACCTTTCGCCCGGGCACTGACAGGGTCACTGCTGCCATGGTCTGCAGGAGAGGAAAAGAAGGGTGACGTCAGGTGGGGACACCCCCAGTCCCTCAAGCTTCACCTTCACCTCTTTGACCTCTTTTTTTGTGGTACTGAGATTTGAACGCAGGGCCTACACCTTGAGCCACTCCACCAGTCCTTTTTGTGTAAGGTATTTTTGAGATGGGGTCTATGAACCATTTCCCTGGGCTGGCTTCAAACCGCCATCCTCCTGATCTCTGCCTCCTGGGGAGGGAGGATTACAGGCGACCACCTGTGCCTGGCTCTTTGACCTCTTTTTATGCTTCTGCAAAATGGTTCTTCCATTCATTTCCTCTCTACTCATTAATTCATTGTACAATTTAGCTCAGTGTGGTGGTACCTGTCTGTAATCCCAGCTAATCAGGAGGCAGAGATAGGAAGATCCTGAGTTCCAGAGCAGCCCAGACAAAGTTAGGGAGACCCTGTCTCAAAAAAAAAGAAAAGAAATGAAGGGAACTAGGTTCCAGTAGGTGTAATCTTACCTATTCAGGAGGCAGACATCAGAAGGATGTTGGTTCGAAGCCAGCCCCAGGCAAATAATTCGTGAGACCTTATCTCGAAAAAACCCATCACAAAAAAGGGTTGGTGCAGTGGCTCAAGGTGAAAGCCCCAAGTTCAAGCTCCAGTACCAAAAAAAAAAAAGAGGGGGACTAGGGGCGTGGCTCAAGTGGCAGGGAGCTTGCCCTGGGTTCCAACTCCAGGACTGCCAAAAAAAAAGTTATACAACTTGCCAGACTGCGGGAGCCAGGTGTGGATCTAGACATTAACAATGACCCTCCCCCCCCACACACACACTTCAAACACAGTGAAGTGAGCTTGGAGACATACCTACTGGGTTAAATAAATTATATCATTAACATTAGAGTCACCTTTTACTTTTTCTTTGCTGTGGCTTCTAGGAAATTTGAATACACACTTGGCTTGTATTTTATTTATTTTGGACAGCACTACTCTAATCTGAGGAGACTGATAAACAGATAAATAAGTAAACTGTATAGTGTATTAAGGTCAAGCAAGGTAGTTCACTCCTATAATCCTAGCTACTTGACAAGTGGACTTCAGAGGATGGCAATTCAAGGCTACCCCAGGCAAAAAGTGAGTGAGCCCCTATCTTAAGCAATAAGCTGATGTGGTGATGCATGCCTGTCATCCCCGCTATGCAAGAGGTGTAAATAGGCGGATCATGGTCCAGGCCAGCCTGGGCAAACACCTTGAGACCCTATTTGAAAAATGGCTAAAGAAAAGGGACTGGAGGTGTGAGCATCTGCCTAGGAAGTGCAAGGTCCCAAGTTCAAACCTCAGTACCACCCAAAAAAAAATTACTATGTTAAATGGTGATAAATGTCAAATGAAGAAATAAAGCAGGGACAGGGAACACTAGCCTGGGGGTGGCCAGGGAAGGCCTCTCTGATACGGCATTTTTACATAAAGACCTGATCAAGATGAAGGAAGCAAGCCACAGGTATGTCAGGAGGAAACACACTCCCAACAGCCAGTGCAAAGGCCCTGAGGCAGAAATGCGCCTTTCCATCTGTGGCACACTGTGAAGTGACTGCAGCGGTGCAACTGTGAGGAATAAGGTAGGAGGTCAGGTAAGAGAGGGAACAAAAGACACACCTTGTTTTTTACTCTGAGATGACAGCCCTGGGAGGATGTCAATTTGATTTTTGTCATCAGGTTCCCCCAACCACCTCCGGTCACACCTGCCCCATGTCTGCAGAACACACTGGAGTCTCATCGCCTCCAGTAACACTTCCTTCTATGGTGTCATTCACTCGCTCTTTTATTCACTCAACACTTTCAATTACCAGGCTTTGCCCAGATGGGTCTGGGGACTTGGGATGACTCAGATGGGCCCTGCCACAAGGAGCTCCTGGGGACAGATCCACATGTCCTCTCACACTAAGGAGAGCCTCTCTCTCCAAGGGCCAGTGGTGAGGCACAGTAATCCAAGGTCAAGGCCGTCCAAGCACAGTCAGGAAAAGGTCCTACACTGTGCTGTGTTCGTGCAGAAGGCCAGCCCTACGTTCCCACTGCCTCAACGACCCCATCGATGCCTGCCTCCAGCTACAGAACACCTGGACAGACCCATGCAGCCCCACTGCTTCCAGGGACAACCTTCCAAACATCTGGGAGATATCCTACATGCAGACTCTGCGCCACCCATAGGCTGCCCTTCCTCCCAGCCCTTAGCAAGTACTCTCACAGAACTCCCAGATCCCGCGTTCTAAGCCTAGATCCCCTTGGCCTCAAGTCCCCAACCCCAGGAGCCCCACAGGGTCAAGGATCACCCCAGTCTCTTGTGTGGCCTCGATATACCCACAGCCAAGCTCCATTGCTGGGACTTTACCCCACCTCACCCACCCACTTCCTCTCCAGCCCTGTGGCCTTTGACCAGGAAGGGTTTGCAAGTTTTTGCAGTCTTCCAGTCCTACACCTGTCTGGACCCAGGGGTCCAGGCTCTAGCCCATAATGTCCCGGGACCAAGGAGTACAGACCCCAGCTCTCTGAGACTCCCACAGACCCAGGGGTCCAGGTCCCTGCCCTCCTCCCTGGGACCTGGCAGTGCAGCCCCTCACCTCACCACAGCCAAGTTAGAGGTGAGGATGCTGGGTTCTGAGAACTGATGACAGCCCCAGAGGGAAGGGCTTTTTGCTCCAAATGGCTAAGCCCTACAATCACCCAGCCCCCCCCCACCCCTTCAGGCAGAAGCAGTGCTCTGCCAAGACTCATTACTGTCACCTAGGCAGGTGAGAGCACCTGCCCTGGGAGGGGCAGACACTGCTGAAGTTGAAAGGGAAAATGAGCCAGGGATCCGCCCCTGGGGCAGGAGTTGGGGCTGAGGGCATCCAGCCTCTGACCCCAGCTAAGACTCCTTAGATCCAGGAGTCTTGACCCAGGAGTCCTCCCTCAGACCCAGGGGTCTTGACCCAGGAGTCCTCCCTCAGACCCAGGGATCGTCACCCAGTCCTCCTCCCTCAGACCCAGGGGTCCAGACCCATCCCTCCTCCCTGAGACCCCCAGGTCCAGGCCCCACCTGTCCTCCCTCAGTCCCAGGGGTCCAGGCCCCAGCCCCCCTCCCTCAGACCTAAGGGGTCCAGGTCCTAGCCCTTCTCCCTTGACCCAGGGATCTTCACCCAGTCCTCCTCCCTCAGACCCAGGGATCCAGACCCCAGCCTCCTCCCTCAGACACAGGGATCCAGACCCCAGCCTCCTCCCACAGACGGCGGAATCCGGGCCAGTCCCTGATCCTGGCCCCAGTCCTTTCCTCCTCAAGACCCAGGAGCCCAGCCTCGCAGCGCGGTCCTTACTCAGACCTGGGGTGACCGGCCCAACCCCCTTCCCGGATCCAGGAGTCCGAAAGCCAAAACCCCATCTCCCCCAGACCCAAGCGCCTTTGTGGTCGTCCTCTCAACCCACCGATCCCGTGGGCTACCTGGGGGCGCCAGCTGGAGCGGGAGATGGGGAAGGGGCACGGGAATTCCCCGGTCCTCTTCAAAGACTCAGGTGCGGCTCCCTCCGCGGTCCAGTGAAGGGCGGGGCCAGCGCGTCATGGGGCGGGGCCCAGCTCTGACGTCACCCAGCACCTGCCAGGCTGGGGAAGGGGGCGGGGCCTGGAGCTGCAGGGCCTTTGACCTGGCGACAGTAGCTGGGGAGAAGAGAGCCTGTAGCCAGGTGGGCGGCGGGGGCGGCGGCGGCGCCAGGGGCTCCTCCTTCACTGGCGGGCAAAGGTCAAGGCCCACAGAGGACAGGGTTTAGGACTCCCAGGATTTGAATCCCGTGCCACCTTTCTGGGCCTCAGTTTTCCTCGCTGGAAATTGCGGCGCATAAAATGAATAAAACGATCCAAGGGCCAGTGGGTCACGCCTGTAATCCTAGCTACTCCGGAGGCAGAGATCAGGAGGATCACGGTTCGAAGCCAGTCTGGGCAAACAGTTTGTAAGATCCTATCTCGAAAATACCTATCACAAAAAAAGGGCTGGTGGAGTGGCTCAAGGTGTAGGCCCTGAGTTCAAGCCCCAGTACCGCAAAAATAATAACAATTATTATTATTATAAAACGATGTGGACAAAGTGCTTTGGCCAGTCCTTCATCATTCATCCACTCTGAGCCTCAGTTTCCCCAACCTTGCAAATGGGACAACCGAGAGTACCAAAGAAGACGTCAAAATGTTCTTCAAACCTCCTGGAATGAGGGAAATGAGGGCGACTCACCCGGTGAGAGGGTCTACCTCGTGCCAGGTGTTCTTCTGCTTTCTTAGAAAACCACCAAGAGTTTTGATTTATTGAAAGATCTTAACCAACGAGAGAGCGACGCTCAGAGTCTCCTTTTCTCTAACGGGGAAACCGAGGCTTGAAGATGCAAAGGACGTGCTCAAAATGACACGGTTAGGAAGAGGATGAGCTGAGCTGGACTTCAAGCCCAGTCAGTTACTTGTCACTGTAAAGAAGGGGGTTTGAGGAGCTGTAGCAGGACCTCAAAAAGATGTGACTTCCCTCCACCCAGCTGGGAACTGCAAACTTGCTTCTCTAAGTACGGGGAGAGGGGCGGTTTACACCCCAAGAAGCCACCGCCTTCCTTAGGTGACCACGAAAGGATTAAAAAGGTTAAAGGGCCCCCCATGCGCTCGATGTGATTTTGCACCCTTCCCTGCAGTCCCTGCCTCTGACTAGTCTGTTTTTCCCTCTGTAAAATGGGTACAATATAACCCACCTGGAATTAACACGCTCATGAAAATAAACACAAGAACAAAAGCGCCCAAGTACATCGCTACGTGTTGAAATACGACTTTCCCTCGTCACTCTGCTCTCGCGGGTCACGACCCCTGTGTCTGGCCCGCGGCTTTTACACGTGAAAACAAGACACACTGCCATCCTGGGGGCGGGGGACTGACAGCAATGACTCAGGTAATTAAATCGTTCAAGGTCCCAAAGACAGCCTCAGTTTCCCGCTTCTGTGGAATACACCCGGGAACAACTGCGAGGACCCCGATCCGGTTTCTACTCGCACACAGTAGGAACTGGAGCTGGAGGAGCGCAGTGTGGACATCCCGGCCCCCTCCCCCGCCGCCGTCCCGTGACGCGCTCAAGGTGAGTGTCCGGGTCACCGCCCCTCTCCCGTAGCCCGTGCCGGCTTCCGAGGCTCGGGTCTCAGCACCCCCAGGATCCAGCCTCCCCGGGCTGAGTCCCTGTCGGCCGCCCCCGGCGGACTGTCGGCCCCGGGCACTCACCGGCTACCAGGGCCGTCCGGAGGCTTCGGCCTGAGGCGAGAGAGGGGCGGGGCCCGCACCGCAGCCCCGCCCCCACGAGCGCAGCAGGGACCAATCGGCGCCTGCTGCGGCAAGCTGAGGCCCCGCCCCATGGGGGGGAAAAGCGAGCGCCAATCAAGAAAAGCGGCTGATGAGCAAGGCCAATCAGAAGTTGCCGAAGAGTGCCAGCCGTGGGAAAAGAGCCTGGCCAAGAGAGCCGAGCCCCGCAGCGCGGTTGTGGGTGGGACCCAACATCTGACAGACAGCGGGTTTGACCAATGGAGAAGCGCGGGGAGCGGCTGGGGGCAGGAGGCCCAAAGAGACCTGGTGAATGGGACGCTTTGTGCCCAAGGCATGAATGGGAGCCTTTGTGAAGGCCGGCGTGGGGTGGGAGGGTGGGAGGCTGCCGGATGCCGGAATGCCTGGGTCCTCCGGGAGCCGGCAGGCATGAGAGACAGGAGGCAGAATTCACTTTTGTCAAACACCGATTGCATATCAGGCACCATCCCAGGTTCTCACCCCCGGGGAGGTGCGGGCTGCTGATACCATCAGTAGTGATGATCATTTATTAAGCGCCGGATGTATGCCAAGGAGCTGTGCAAAGCTCGTTCCCTGTATGAATTTCAGGGTGGTGAAGATCTTCATCTTGCAGATGAGGTCAACCCAAGCTGAGAAAGAGTGCTAATTGCTACAAGTCATTGAGCTGAAGAATGACAGAGCAAGGAGTTGGACTCCCTTCAAATCTCACTCCAAAACTTGTGCGTTTAATCACCAGGCTATGCCCAACCTTGGGCCAATGATTCCCAATTCACAGATGGGTAAACTAGGCTTGGGAGAGGCAAGAGACATCCGAAAGTTGCCAACAAAGGTTCTACTTAACCCCAGGGGGCCATCAGATTGGCTATGGGCCAGTTGCTGCTTTTTTTTTTTTTTAACTTCTGCACATGTGAAAAGGGACTGTTGATAAGTCTTCCTCTACCCTTGCCCCTCCCGCCCACAGATCAGGGGGATCTCTATTCAGACCCAGCCCCTTTTCTGTTCAGGCGAGTCTTCACCTCGGCTCTCAAGGCCCTCTCCCGTCTCTGCTGTCGTCCTCCCACCACACACTTGCATTCTGTTCTGCCCTCTTCAGTTCCTGGAACACTCCTCAGGCAACAACCTGCCTCAGGGCCTTTGCATTCCCTGTCCCTTCCCCAGGCTTTGCATGGCCGACTCCATCTCTTATGGGTTCTTCACTCAGGACTGTCCTCATATAAAGCAGCATCCATATCTCTCTCTCGCTGCTAGGCCTCCTTTGTTCTTCATGGTACTGGTAATATCTCTGTGCACCCCCCCCACACCAAGCGGTACTGGGGTTTTGAACTCAGGACCTAGCAAGTGCCCTATCACTCGAACCACATCCCCAACCCTTTTGGTTTTAGATTATTTTTCAGATAGGGTCATGTGCTCTTTGCACAGACTGGCCTGGGATGGCGATCCTACCTCTGCCTGCCAAGTAGCTGGGATTACAGGCATGAGCCACCACCTCTGGCCCTCATAGTATCTATTTATCTGTTTATTGTATCTCCCCACTGGAATTTAAGTCCCAGGAGGGCAAGGGACAAGGATTTTTGTTTCATTCAATGGTAAATCCTCCAGGCCTGCCATACAGTGTTTAATAAGTGTTTATCAAATAGGCAGGTTTTTTTTTTTTCTGTACTGGGGTTTGAACTCAGGGCCTACACCTTGAGACCTTTTTTGTTATGAATGTTTCCCAGATAGGGTCTCAAGAACTATTTGCCCGTGCTGGCGTCAAATCTTGATCCTCCTGATCTCTGCCTCCTGAGTAGCTAGGATTACAGGCATGAATCATGGAGCCTGGTGGTGGTAGTAAATTCTTATATGATATGGATTAAATGAATTAGTACATAGAATTTTTTTATGGTGCTGGGGATGGAACCCGGTGCCTTGTACATTCTAGTCAAGTGCTCTACCACTGAGCTACATAAATCCCCAGCTCCATTCAATGCTTTTAGTGAAGCCCTGGCACTGGGGAGAAGTCTAAATAAGCAACAGTCATTGTTACTGTTACCTGTTGCCAGACAAACAGCACGGGCAGAAGAGAAATTACACAATACATCTAGGTGAGTACTGCAGACCCAGGTTCGAGCCTCCGGTGCCCCATGCATTTTTCAGCAATGCAAAGGTGAGTCACAGAACTGTCCTTGTAGACATCAAGTGTCCAGGCTGTCCTGGCTTTGAGATGCAACAGCCACTCCCACTCTTTGCAGATGGGGAAACTGACTCCCAGGGAAGGGGGGAGTTTTCCGAGATTAACTGCGTGGGACTACAGCTCATGAGGCATGACTGAGAACCAGGAAGGAGAAGGTCATTATCTCAATGCATCGTAGTGCCAGCCCTATGAGGGTGGCACTGACTCTACCCCAATGTCCGTGCCCAGGGCCTCCTGGATCCTGCTGGTGCCAGATCTGGGTAAGACACCAGTGGGTCAGACCCTCAGTCTGAGACTGAGAAAGAGCTGGGCTCTCATGGCTCATACCTGTAATCCCAGCTACTTGGGAGGCTGATATCAGGAGGATCATAGTTTGAGACCAGCAGGGGGAAATAATTTGACAGTCCCCATCTCTAAAATCACCAGAACAAAATGGACTGGAGGAGTGGTTCAAGTGGCAGAGCACCTGGTTTGCAAGTGCAAAACCCTGAGTTCAAACCCCAGTTCCACCCAAAAAATAAATAAATAAAAATTTAAAAAGACAGAGAGAGTGTTCCAAGAGAGCATTCTGCAGAGAGGTTAATGTGCCAACTGTGTGCTGGACATTGAACCCTTGTTATGGACTAACTCATCAGGCCCTCTCAACAACCCTATGAGGTTCGTACTTATTATTAACTCCATTCAATGGATAGAAAACTAAGACTCAAACCGGGTATGGGTGTCACTCAGGAGGTGGAGGCAGGAGGATCATGATTTGAGGCCAGTCCAGGCAAAATTACTGAGACCCTGTCTCAAAAACAAAAGAGGAACAAAGGGGCTGGGGGTGTGCTCAAGTGGGAGAGGGCTTGCTTGGCATACGTGAGGACCCGAGTTCCATCCCCAGCACTGCAAAATAAAAAAAGTAACAATAACAAAAGAAAACCGAGACTCAGAGACATGACAATCCTGTGCTTGATGACACTAGGGAAGAGTGCGAATTGGAACACCGCAGAATTTCAAACGGCTCCTGAGCCCATTGTCTACCCATAATCTGCCTGGTAACTAGTGATGCCATCAGTTGAGTCAGTGCTAAATCTACCTGGCAACTACTGACGTCATCACCCCCACCAAGCATCTCAACCTGCCTGGAGGTGTCACTCATTTCGCTCAGTCTATGGGGAAACTGATGATGTCATTGAGTGAGAATAACGAGTTTCCTTTGCTAATGGTTTTCTACGGTCCTGTCGCCTGTGCCATACACTTTAATAGTTGCCAATATGCATTGAGTGGTTATGCCTTTTATATATCTTAAATCCCATAACTTGCTCAATAACTCTGAGTGCTAAGTATTAATCTGACACCCATTTTATAGGTGAGGACACTGAGGCACAACTGCCCAGATTCACACATTTCCAAAGTGACAGAGCCTGGATTTGAACCTACATAGTCTGGCTCTAGATCACTACACAAAACTGCCAGAGAGAAGCTGAGACCCAGAGAATCAAGTGCAAAGGAGGCATCCCACTGCCTCTGAGCCATGCATCCACCTGCTATCCACGCCTGCCGAGAGCATCCTCAAAACAAATTTCCAAATTCCTTCTATTGGGGATCAAGGCCTCCCACCAAAGCTGGGCATGATAGCACATTCCTGTAATTCCAGCTACTTGGGAGGTAGAAGTAGAAGGATCACGAGTTTGAGACCAACCCTGGCAACATCAGCAAGACCCTATCTCAGAAAAACAAAATACAAACCAAAGAGGCTGGAGGGAGGCTCGAGTGGTAGAGTATTTAAAGAAAAATGTTGGAGCTGAAAGGCTAGAAAGATAAGAGAGCTGTGACCCACTGCTTTTGTGGATAGAGAAGAGTCAAGGGTTTTTTGTTTTGTTTTGTTTTTGAGTAAGAAAACAAAATTGAAGGGGGGAAGGAAGCTTGTATGCCTGGTGGGAGGAGGGAGACCCGAGTCTTCACAAAGAAGAGGGGGAAGGAAGGTATTGGGTTTCTCTGTGGGTCCTGCCTGTAATTCTGCCTGGACATTTTCTCTGTGGCAAAGACTTGAATGGCTCCAGTATTTTATTTTTGGTTGCTGGGCTGCCATCTGGTGCATGTGACTCAGGCTGGCACTGGCATTGAGACAAGAGCAAGCTGGCAGCCCTGTGTGGGTCACGATGAGTGACAGACAGTTCTGTGATGACAGATATTTCCTGAGTACCTACTGAGTGCTGGCATTGTTCTAGACTGGGAGTTAGTAAGCTTTTTTGTAAAACGGAAAACAGTAAAGATTTTCAGGTTTGAGTGACAGATGGTCTGGGCTGTAACTGTCCATTTTGTCCTTACAGAATGAAAACAGTAAGGTGTGAATGAATGAATGAGGTCATGTTCCAAGAAAACTTTGTTCACACAGACAGGGAGAATTTGGCCCTTGGGCTGTAGTGTGTAGACCCCTGTCTTAGACAGGGGATGGCAGACACATACACATGGTCCTGCTCTGTGATATTTAGGTGTTGTTCTGCCTACACAGCAGGCAGGGGGAACTAGTCTGCCCCAAAGTCAAACCCAGTTCCTCTTCTGCTCAGAATTCTGTTCTGGCTGCAGTCAAACTCAGGTGGCCTCACCTGCACCTGTCTGACCCTGCTTCTGTCCCCCTGCCCTCCCCTCCTGTCTCTTCTCACTTCCTCACTGCTCTGCTCCAGCCACACTGGCCTCCTCTTTGCTCCTCAAACACAACAGGCTCTGTCCTGCCTCAGGGCCTTTGTACCTGCCACTCTCACTACCTGGAATGCCATTGTCACTATTTTGATTCCCTCATCTCCTTGTAGCCTCACTGAGGTCTTCCCTGAGCACCTGT